ATACAGGGAAATAAAGTTAAGGAACAAGTAGTACATGCAATTAGGAAAGTAACTGAGTGTGGTTCAACTAGTAGTAACAGGCAAAAAGAGTAAAAAGTTCTTACAGAATTAAGAGAAAAACGAAACTGGAAAGAAAAACAATTATTAAAAGGCAATAAAAGGAGCGTAACCGAAAGGGAAAATTAGTAGTAACAAGCAATATAGGAAATTATCAGAAAGCTAAGTAACAGGAAGTAACGGGCAAGAAAGGGAAGTGAATGAAAGTCGACGAGTAGCAACAAGCAATAATGGATTATACCTAAAAAAATTAGAGTAACAAGTTCTTACAGTAATAAATAGAAACAAAGTAACTGGAAAGAGTAACAAGCAGTAACAGGTGATAAAAGGAAGGTAACTAAAAGTAAAGTAAGTAGAAATGAGCAATAAAAGGAACAACTGAAAGTTCAGTATCAAGTAGTGACAGGCAATATAGAGAAGAACCTGAAAGGGGAGTATCAAGTAGTAAAATGTGATACAGGAAAGTAACAAAGTTCACAAGTAGTACAGACAGTAAAGGAAATAACCTGAAAGAAGAGTAAAAAGGTTTTTACAGCAATAAAGAAATGTAAAGTAACTTGATAGAATAACAAGTAGTAACAGCAACTAAATGAAAGAAACACTGAACGTTGAGTAACTAGTAGTATTCAATAAAGGGGAGTAACTGAAAGTGGAGCAACAAGTACTAACATGATATACAGGAAAATTAACAGAGTTAACCAACAAGTAGTGACAGACAATCGAGAAAGTAACTGAAAGTAAAGTAACAAGTAGGACTAAGTACTAATAGGAAGAAATGAGAATCAATTGACTTACTTCCTTCAAGTGGATACTGAGAAACAAGTATTCATGATCAATACAACTAAGGGTATCAAAAAAAAAAAAACTATATATCACAAGAAATTCATAATTAAAAGAAAAAGAACACATTTCAGCATGCAATATGATGAAACTTAAAACAACACTTTTTTTGGTCAGATGTATTTGTTCTATATATAAAAAAACAAGGAGAAGTAACTCTGTTGTAACAAACTTCAATATTTTAACTGATGACGTCTGCAGCACTTACAAATACGGACACTTAACAAATATATTTGTAGTCCTATCAAGCAAGAAATTTATTTCATATCAGCATTTCTTAAGTTCCTTTTAAGAAACATGACAAACTTCAATATTTATATTTATTGGATAAGACAAGCAGTTATTTCTGAACCTTTTCTCAATAACGGAATCCTACTTTGATGAATTCCAATGAAAAAGATTACATAAAAAATACAGAACTTGGGCTACTTCATTATATACTTTTTAAAAATCATAAGCAGGGGAGTTAACACATTTTCATGCTTCTTAAGATATAAAAATTAACACTTACTTCACTTCTCAGGGTGTTGATTTGCTATAAGTGAGAAACATACTACGGAGTCCGTGACGTCTCTTCTGTCCCTAACCAGTTTCACCTGGCCCGTTGAGCGTGCCCAAGGGTACCGCCGGCCAGAGACCCTGGATTCGTCGTGGGTTGCCGTCAGTAGTCTGCTCATCGCCCTCTATCATCAGCATCAAATCACTCTGTCCACATGGTCCCTTTGTTCTGTATTAAAACAATGGAAATATTTTACAAGGGGAGACAACTCATCTATACCAAAACTATACATTAAGATATAAAGGTTGGATTCAGTATTGTGAAACATATTGAAATAACATTTCAAACAACACATCAAATTTAATTTCAGCATTAGCACGTTCATTTCTTAATCCCATGTGTTTATAAAGTAATGAAATTAACACTTACATGTATTTAACCGGTTAAAAATGTGATAAATATTATAATATAAAAATTAAAGAATCTCTGGAATTTTTCTTTAATTCAAACAAATAAAACAAATACAAGCATATTTCGACTTGGAATCAAATCAATATTTAAAAACAAGAAAAATAAAATGTATGTGTATAGATGTATTTATAACAAAAAATCATTCAGTTGAATAATGATCGGCACGAGTTATTCCCCTTATTTACACAACGTAAAAATGATACTTTTCAAAATCAAACTAACAAATGCAATCATATTATGAAACTTGAAATATGGTAAACATGGCAGTACTCGTAAATATATACATGTGTGTGTGTGTGTTGATTAAAAAACAAACAAAAACAAAAAAAAAAAAAAAAAAAACAATAATTTCTCATTGTGTATGTAAACGATACGATTAGAAAATGGAATCAACCTCGTCGTGCTCCTTTCAATTTGGTATGTCTGTAAAGAATCGGTCTACACATCTTTCCCAGTCCGTCAGTGAGTCTTGTTTGTACATAACAAAATACCTATAATTTATCAATCTACATTGTAGATTAATAATTTGAATAAGTCATTATAAAGCATACTGCACTGTGATTGGTATGATAACAGATCCCCACCCCAACCCTAACCCTTGCCCCATCCCTCTCCTCACTCCTCCTTTGACACTTAGCTAATCATTATATATTTAATAATCATGTCTAATAAGCCACTAGTCACTGTTTGGTTAGATATGTTTTTTTATGACGCATTATTATACATCAAAAAGATACATGCATATTCTATAATGTCTTTGGATATCTTTAACATTACGATTTCTGTGTGTGTTCATGATATATAAATACGATTGGATATGGAAAGGATATATATATATATCTATTACATTTAAATGTTGGAATTCTATGTGATTGTAGTTTGATTGAATCATTCTTAACAAAAACCGTTTTCATTTTCTAGTTTTCCAAAAAGTTTTCAGACGACCTTTCCTGTAGATGGCATTCAGTGACGATTTACACGTATCGAGAAATAGAAGTTTGTCGACTAATACATTTAAATCAGTGACAGAAGACTCCGATTTGAGCAAGAGACTTGTAACAAATATCCTCGAAATGTTGTATGCATTCCCAAGTACATGTGGCGTTTTATAGTTACTGTAACTAGTATAAAAATGCCGACAGTTGTTTCAATCGCCACACAATCTGTCAATTTAGAGAACGTGCCAGCAGGAAGCTTCAGATGAAATGTATCTCCAACCGATATTCCCTTTCTCTTCCTTCACTCCCTTGTTCCCATCATTCTTCCTCCCTTTTCCCGTTGTTTGGTTCGATTGTACCGGTAACGATTTATACTTAGCTCAAAAATTGTACAACGTCTCTGTTGCCGATACAATTTGTATACATCACGTCGTACGAATCATGCTTTACTCAGCACGTGCACCGTAACACACCTGTCAAACTTGTCCAATATCCATCACGTGCTTCTCAGCAGAAACGTACGCGTGTTACATACGTCTCTGTTCTCAACAAAGCGCACTGTATGTAATAATAACTCGTGAATAACATAGCTGAGCATAAAACCATGGAAAATGGATTTCTAATGCGGTATCACTTTCCTTCCCTCCATCCATCCGTCTGTCCCATTTCTAGAACAGGTCTTGCTTTCAACAACGGAGGAGGGGGCATCAATCTTCCCCATAAAGCGATATATATTTCCCGCTATTTTTTCCCGCCAAGAAATACAGCATCTAAGGAAATGGCAAAGAGGTACCAAATGGGAAATTACCTATGATTCCTAGACAGTCGGTTTACGGTGAAGTGATAGTCCATGATACGTATTATAAGGAATTTTCCATGTTTGGCCTCATTTTGTTCAGATTTACACTAGGATCACGAAAATATACCATATGTAAATGTGGGGAACTAGAAAATTCCCCGCAAACTGAATGAACCCCATAACGTTGGTCCTAAGACTGGTGAGAGTTCCCCACAACGTAGCGTATGCTAACCCTCCCTCTCTCTCTCTCTCTCTCTCTCTCTCTCTCTCTCTCTCTCTCTCTCTCTCTCTCTCTCTCTCTCTCTCTCTCTCTCTCTCTCTCTCTCTCTCTCTCTCTCTCTCTCTCTCTCTCTCTCTCTCTCTCTCTCTCTCTCTCTCTCTCTCTCTCTCTCTCTCCGTTTGTTTTGCTCTTCTTCCTCTGCCTTTATGTTTTATGTTTGTATATGGAAACTTTGTTTATATCAACCTATACTGATCACTCTTGTGAAAGCCCATATCTGTTCAAAGAATCGAACACCGGACGGCAAGGCGAAAGACAACTTTGTTACCATTGCGCCATTCGACCATAATCTGATGATGATGATGATGATGATGATGATGATCGATGAAAAGAGGAGGAGGAAGTAGAAAAAATCTGGATGTGTCGTTGTTTTTATTAAAATCTTGCAAAGATTAAAGCAAATTGAAGAGAAAAAAAACACACACACGCGCTTAACAGTGAAGTTATGTATTAGGCAGTTCAAAATCGATAAAGAGGCGACATTACTTAACAATTTTTTCATTAAAGCTCGCTCAAGGCTCCCTTACATGGAAAAAAATCTGAAAATCGTTTCACAAATTCACTTATCAAATCGAAAGTCATGTAGAATAAGATACTAATTCAAAATAAGAAAAAAAAAGAAATTTTACTTAGAGTCAGTACATTGTTATACGGGACAAAAACAACAAAGAAAATACTGATATGTTAACAGAATTTTAATTCACATTCAAAATCGATAAAACTAAAGCCAAATATGAACAATGGAAAGATTTACACAGAGAGACTAACTTAGAAAAGTACAAGAAAAACAAGACTACGTGTTCAACGAGGATAAGCATCTTCTGCATGCGTCATGTAGTCTCATTGAATTAAGTTAGGTTTACGCTACGTTCCAAAATGAGAAAAAAAAGTCAATACTACCGGAACCACCAGGCACACTAACACATTTGTTTTACAGTCTGAGCTAATTTCACAAATATTTAATCTTCCAAAATACATTACCATTATTGATCTGCAATTGATGACAACGTCATCTGCAGTAAGTAATCAGATACGTCCTATGTGATGCGTGTTTTTAGCCCCTTCCACATTTGACGATTTTTTCCACTTCCGGTTTGTAATAATGGCGACATCCATACGTTTGTCAAACACGTGTATATCCTGAGAGTAACTGGATCTGCGACATGTCCTGTTATAGTTGTCATTATAGTGTAATAACATATTCCGAAACAAATTATGGGTAAAAGCAAAGCGAAGAAGTTCAAATCAAAGAAACCCCAGCCTACAGGTTTGCCCAGTGTGAAAGATTTTGAAGCGGCTCTTGAGCTGGAAGAGACCAAAACCATCGCATCAAATTCTACAATTCAAAATCTTATTGAAAAGGTGTGTGTTTGCTTCTTTGTAACGAGTTAGCCTTTTGTTGTTATAAAATCATTCGTCACTGACCACTTCACTTGCATCCGAGTTGTCATGTTACTGTTTTCCAGATGGACAAATAGTAGGCCTAAGATTTATATTTTGACATTGGCTAAAATGCTGTGATCAGGTGTGTTTCATAGAACGTTTAGCAGAAGCATGTTAGAATTTAGTCTTTGGTCCCAACTCACATTACGGAAAATCTTGACCAAAATGCCCAACATATTTACACAGGAAAGCAGGAATCTGAAGTTGTATATGAGAAGTGTTGTTATTATACTACAAAAATAACATGAATCACAGAAAATTCCTGCTGTTTTTGGAGCATTGTAAATCTAATTTACTTATAGAATGTCTGGTTCCTGTGGTATGTAGAATGATGTACAATTATTCAGGATACACTTTACATTCATGCTCACTGGGTTAGAAGTCCTTATGTGTAATCTATCCCAATGTCTTGAATAAGTTCTGACGTGAAAACTGTTGAGATCCATGCCACTTGAACAGTGATACATGACAGGTCTATCATTTGAATGCTACATATGTGTGCTTAAACTCCTGCTACTAGGATTGACATTGCAATGTGAATGTGTCCACCCCTGTCGAATCAACAAAATATCCAATACTACCCAAAATCACCCAAAACTACTCAACAGTTATTCAAAACTGCCCAAAACTCATACGATATATCCAAATGTGATGGATAACACTAAAATTTACAACATTTGTGTTTAGATTATGTCATTCTCATGTTGGCTTTGGCAGTACATACAGTGCTTATCTCCCCTACGTTGGGATACGGAAGGAATTACAGAAAGACAGATAGGGAGTGATTTTATTAGATCACCAGTCTTAGGCTCCCAATTAAAAAGCATATGTAAATTAATATGATAAATAATGCCCATCAATTACATTTTGACTAAACCCTGTCTTAACCATGTGTAAGGAGTTTTTTATGTAATGGTACAAAAAATGGTAAGGCAGATTTTAATACATATTTTATTGAAATTGGAATATGAAAATGTAATATATATATTGATTGATGTATTGATGTATATGTTTTTCTCATGTATTATGCAGGATTTACACATGATGAACGCATTTTCATTCAGACTTTCATACAGCCACATAATATATTTGTTGCCAAATATGTTAATTTCTTATCATAACCTGTACATGCTATACGGCCAAATCTGATACAAGAAAGACATAGACACAGCACAAATATTTGCAAATTTCAGCGTTATCTATCAGATTGGATACATCTTATAAGTTTTGGGTAGTTTTGTCCCCGCCTATTTAGTCTGTCGGTCCTAACATAACATTGGTGTAGATTCTCTCAACCAATATATATGTCACTGCTAACGCCATTCTATGTTTAACTATTTATTTGACGTAGAAATGTCAACAGATCTCAAACTTATGTCCTACAAGAAAGTGAAGAAACTTAACTCCTAAACACAATGCTGCATCAGCATTTTATTGTAGGAAGATGTGTCGTTTTCCATATTTTGATAAGATAATGTCATACCTTGTAATCCGAATATTTGACCTGGTAAACACCTGACCCTAGAAGCCCACCCCTACCTTTATCCACGAGTGGACAAATTAAAACCTATAAAAAAGATCCTTACACTGATCTGCCAACACAATATTCACTCTTTAATGGCTACATAAAGGTATGTTAATGAAGAAAAAAAACATTTTAATTTTTCCACTGAGTGTTAAGTGGTAATTTTTCACTGTACATATGGTTTTATTAAGCACATCCCATTTGTGTTTTTTAAGTGAACATAATGCTTAACAGGTAGAATACATTAAATTATTTACCATTTTTAAGTGAAACAGCTAGCTCTTATTTAGTAATGAATGTGATTTCATTGTTTTACAGCTAACCAGTACAAATGAGGATGAGAGAGAGTGTGGCTGTACAGGTATAGCTGGCCTGGTTTCCCAACCTCAGGCTATCACCTGTCTACTGCAACAAAATGTCGTCCGCATCCTCGCACCCCTCATCCTCGATCCTAGTGTACAGGTCCGGCACCGCGCACTGGGGGCACTGCGGTAAGAATGCAATGAAAATCAAATAGAAATTAAATTGGATGTAAATTCTTACAGCAAGATCAATGACAGTATCTAAATTTGTGCAACACAACACAAAAAATCAGAACATGAATATCAATTCAGACCTTAAATGTCTTTTGTCTGTTTTTGGTGCATTTGTACCACTGCTCTTTTATATGCCCCCACCGGCCAGGACATGTAGTGTTATTCTTGTCTGTTGTCTTGTCATAATTTTGTTTCCACTCATTTTAACAGATACAGATATTAGTACTCGGTACATAGTTTTTATGATAAAAATACACAGGTCAAGATCTGAGTTGGGTATGGTCAAATTCTTTTTTTCTAGACTTATAGGTATTCACTTCAAGAATTTTAATTGAAATACAAAAAAAGGGAATCAATATTGGAAAGCCTTGTCGAATTGAAAAAAAAAACAAAAAAACAAAATCTGCACACAAAACTTTCATTTTTATTTCATGTTCTTTACCATAGATTCTGTATTTTATCTTATGAGTTAAGAGTACATTGCTTAACTTCTCTATGGTTGCCAACAATGACTTTTGTGTTGCTCTGTCACATCTAGTTATATTTATAATTTTAATATTATTGGAAAAAGGCAAAATTCTTCTATTAATTTTTTATTTTGTGAAGTTCTGCACTTGTGTTTCATTATACACCATCCTTTTCTCTTGTAAATATGTATTTGATCATTTTTGGTGTATCCAGAAACCTCAGTGTTGATGGTGGCTTAGATGTATGTGAGGAGATGGTTCACAAAGATGTCCTGACCCCATTGGTGGCATTTTTTAAGCAAGTAAGTATTTTTCAACCTCTTCATCTAGACAGGTCGCATGCATAAAAAAAATCCAGATTATTATATTTCTGGAGCAATGAAACTTATTTCTTGTATTGCTTTAGTTTTTGCTTCTGTTGTTTACATTAACAACAAAACATATCTGTTCATTTGAAATATCATGTCTGACAACACATATGACTGTTACACGACATTTGCTCTTAGCAACCAATACTAGTTAAAATATATGTTTTTGTTATTTGACAAAAGAAATCTGATATGACCATTTGGATTTTAGAAATAACATTTATACATGTTGACCAATTCTCTTAATTTAAGTTCACAGTTACCATGATAAAAAAGAGAGAGAAAAGTCAATTTTGATAAGGATGGTAAATGTTTGATGAATTATCACCCCTGTGGTTACAGATGATGAAAAAACGAGAAAAAAATATTTTAGTGTATTCCCAGTTGTATGGATTTCCAAGACTTTAAAATCGTGTTTCTGCATTTCTTTTTGTTGAAATTAAGTCACAATATATAACTCCAATGAAATGGTGTGATTGGAAAGTAGAGGGAGAGAATTACAGACACTAGAAGCCATTAGAGATTATTCAGTGTTGTTGTGATTGTAGTATCCCATTGGATGGATACCTGAGAAACCAACAAAGAAACAAAAAGACATGAACACAGAAGCATTTATAGAAGGGACACACCTCCTATGGAACCTTTGGTGTGTATCTGTTTCTGATTGACATGACCTTGTTAAATTTTACTCAAAAATCTACACAAGCAAATCAACAGTTGATCTTTTATATGCATGTGTTCCATGTTTTAACTTTTAATATGTCCCTGGTACAAGTTGATTTTTTTATATCTATTTATGTTATGTACAATAGTATAAGTGTTAGTAGGATCTGATTTAAGTAAGAGCATGTTGAGGAAATGATTTCATGTTTTACTGACTTCATGTTGTTAGTTAGTAATTACTGGTATTGGTAAAAATCAAGTCAGTAATATTCTAAAATAATTAAAGCTGTTTGTAATCTAATTAAAATAAGATCTTCGAATCAGTTGGTTTTCAATGAGACATGTCGGTAAACTGGAGTGATTCTGAGATAGTAAATTTCATTATATCAGAATTTTGAATTTTTTGAAACCTTTAATGCTGCACAATTACATGTAACTTTGCTTTTGTAGTTTTATGTACTCTCGCACTGTTTCAGTGAGGCCACACAGACTGCCGTTGATGTTTTCAACAAAGAAGGACTTGGTGCCATCTTAATGCCTTGTCTACATCACACAGTATATGATCTCCCACTGTCTATAGCAGTAGGTCTGTATTTCACACAGAACTGACTTATAACAGAATGCCTCTTTATATGAGTTTGTGAGGAAACTCTACTTTGAATATGGTCATGTACAGTTCAAAAGTTTCAGTAGGTCCAAAATAAGGTAGAAATTATAAGTCTGTAAAATGGGAACAAAATCTGGTTTTGGTTGATATTTGTCCTCTCTGATCTTGTAGGCCAGTGTCTCCACACGGTGTCTGAGGATAACCTCCCTTTCACTCGTGCATGTGCTGAGAACCAGGAAACTATACAGCAGCTACTGAACCTGATGGGCCAAGTCTCAGAGTCAGCTGGACACATCTTACTCAAAACACTGGCAACAGGTACAGACTTGTTTTTCACTCTATATCTTCCTGCATTAGAATATATGAACACTGTATTTACCTGACAACAAACAGATGCCTGGTAATAAGCCCACCTATTGCATGTTATTTGCTGTCCTGTTGTAAGTTTCCTCTGACTTTCAGCCAGAATTATATATCTGTGTGGCCTCCAAGGCTTATTGTCTGATAAACACAGATACTGTATAATCAGTAATTCTTGTGGTGAGTTAATTTTCTTTAAATTTGTGGTTATTAATTCTATAAATCCACAAAATGATAAACAGATAAAAGTGAGACTGATTATAGTACTTGTGGATTATGTAGCGTGATTTATTCACAAAATCAAGTACCAAGAATGAAAATTGCATATTTTTCATTAAACCACTCTGCTGTGAACGGTGCATGATGGATGTCAAATTTCAATCTCTAGAAATTGTGTCAGCGTTCCCTAAAATCCACAAAGTAGATATTTTACCTACAAAATAGTTTGTTATACCACCAATGTTAGTTTTCTGTTTTGTAACTGCTGAAGAACTGATGCATGTAACTGAGGTAAAGAACCTTTAAACCTACTAGATATGCTTCCAGATTTAAATTCCAAAGTCAAAGGGAATGCTTCCTTTTTTAGGTGACAGATTTGGGTATACTGGTATGTTAAATACAAAAATGATACATGAAGTAGTTTTTTTTTAATCCTTTAAAACGTTTTAGAATTTTGTTCAAATTTTCCTTTATCTTAGTTCAGATATATCGAAAGTGAAGCCTTTTCAGTGTATTGATATTTTGAAATGTTTTAAATTTTCAGGCATATTGGTTAATATTAAGAGCTCAGAGCTCACTACTGCACCAGGCAATCTTGTTACTCACATACTGACTTCAGTATCTGAGGTGCTGGATATTAAGGCTTTAGATGACTTCACTGCTTGTCTAGATAGATTGAGAGAGGTAAGCTTTCACGGAGGAAAATTCTCTCTGATTTTTTATTTTCATAATTCAATCTCTTCCATTTAGAGAAAAAATTTTCCAACAAAGAAAAATCCCTCCCATAAAGAATAGTTTTTTCCTTAAGAACCTCTCCCCATAAAGAACAGTTCCTTTTTGGAAGTCCACCCCATATGGAACAGTTCTTCAGAAAAAGAAAATTCCTTTCTATATAGAAAGTTCTCCCCTCAAAGAAAAATCTTTCCCATAGAAAGTAGCCATTCCCACAAAAAAAAGTTGATCCCATAGAAAACAGATTCATGGAAAATAAATGCTCCCAAAGAGAATAGTTCATTGGCTAAAAGATCATTCCCTCTAGAAGTAGAGTGCCAGAGTGCTATTGTACCAGTCTGACTACCTGTCTCTTTGTCTTGTAGATGGCATCAAAAGATGATGAAAAGAAGGATGAAACTTCTGCAGGAAGTCCAATCAGTGAAGATAAAGTATGTAATAATTGGCTTATTCCTAGTATAATACGTTGTAGAATGATTACATCTGTTAAAAGTATGTTAAAGAGACATGAGCCGATAGTATTCTTCATAAAATCATTTTCATGTAAAAAAAAAAATAAGACATATGTTGAAACATTACATGTTAAATATTTTTCGCAGATTTATAGATATTCATATTTTACAAGGAAATTTATTTCCCATTTTGAACTTCAGATCAGTGTCAAAAACAAGCTGCAGGACATAGAACATTTTATATCAGCTCAGATGATAGCTCTGGAAATATCAGCTAATCTTTGTTGTATAGAAGGTAAGTATTGATAAAAACAAACAGAACTTATGACATGTCAACAAAACTGTAATTCTGCTGAAAAGTGATGAAATGAGAATATATGTATACCAAGAAGCTAAGAGAAATATTATGTGAAGGACCATTACAGAAATATAAAGATTGAAAGACCAGATGTTCTGAAAGGGTAATCTTATTCTGTTTGATAGACTGGACCCTCTTGATAGTGTTAGGTTTATTTAGGAAATGTCATATTCTCAAATTGAGGACCAAGTTAATGTAAGAAAAACCTACAGTCAGACTGATAAACCTATCCTGTCACACAGTAATGATAATACACACATCTTGTCACTTGCCCCTAAAGATAGTCTTTGTTGACCTATATAGTTGACCTTTCTTTACCTTTATAGTTGACCTTTTTTGCTGACCTTTATAATTGAACTTTGTTGACCTTTACATTATAGTTGACCTTTTTTGTTGACCTTTATAATTGAACTTTGCTGACCTTTACAGAAGCATGGGAGGACATGGATAGCAGTGAGTCCGATGACCAGATCAATGATGCTGACTTTGAGGAGGAAACCATGGATGATAACTTATTTGTAAGTATCTAGTTTTCTGGTACACTTAATTGAGAGGTCATTCTATATTTTTTTAAAAGTGAATCCAAATGTAATCATAATTTTCATTTTTAGGTCATCTGGACCCGAAGGGTCCGATGACCTATAGTCATCATGCTTCGTCCGTCGTCGTCCGCCGTGCGCCGTCCGCCGTGCGCCGTCCGTAAACTTTTCATTCAAACGACTTCTTCTCAAATACTAGAAGGTCTAGGGGGCTAATACTTGGCACAGAGGATACTGGCATGGAGCTCTACCAAGTTTGTTCAAATGAATGACCTTGACCCACTTTAAAGGTCACAGGGGTCAAATATGTTAAAATCTTTAAACAACTTCTTCTCATTAACCAAAAGGCTCAGAGTGTAGATATTGGGCCTGTGACATGCTGGGATGAAGGACTACCAAGTTTGTTCAAATGAATGACCTTGAACCACTTTAAAGGTCACAGGGGTCAAATATGTTAAAATCTTTAAACAACTTCTTCTCAATAACCAAAAGGCTCAGATTGCTGATATTGTGCCTGTGGCATGCTGGGATGAAGGGCTATCAAGTTTGTTTAAATGAATGACCTTGAACAACTTTCAAGGTCACAGGGGTCAAATATGTCAAAATCTTTAAATAACTTCTTCTCAAATACTAGAAGGCCTAGGGGGCTAATACTTGGCCCATAGCATGCTGGCATGGAGCCCTACAAAGTTTGTTCAAATGAATGACCTTGGCCCACTTTCAAGGTCACAGGGGTCAAATATGTTAAAATATACAAAGGACTTCATCTCAATAAGCAAGAGTCTATGAGTGCCGATATTGGGTCTGTAGCATGCTGGGAGGAAAGGCTACCAAGTTTATTCAAATGAATAACCTCAATCCACTTTCAAGGTCACAGGGGTCAAATATGTTAAAATCTTTAAACAACTTCTTCTCAATAACCAAAAGGCTCAGATTGCTGATATTGTGCCTGTGGCATGCTGGGATGAAGGGCTATCAAGTTTGTTTAAATGAATGACCTTGAACAACTTTCAAGGTCACAGGGGTCAAATATGTCAAAATCTTTAAATAACTTCTCCTCAAATACTAGAAGGCCTAGGGGGCTAATACTTGGCCCATAGCATGCTGGCATGGAGCCCTACAAAGTTTGTTCAAATGAATGACCTTGGCCCACTTTCAAGGTCACAGGGGTCAAATATGTTAAAATATACAAAGGACTTCATCTCAATAAGCAAAAGTCTATGAGTGCCGATATTGGGTCTGTAGCATGCTGGGAGGAAAGGCTACCAAGTTTATTTAAATGAATGACCTTGAACAACTTTCAAGGTCGCAGGGGTCAAATATGTCAAAATCTTTAAATAACTTCTTCTCAAATACTAGAAGGCCTAGGGGGCTAATACTTGGCCCATAGCATGCTGGCATGGAGCCCTACAAAGTTTGTTCAAATGAATGACCTTGGCCCACTTTCAAGGTCACAGGGGTCAAATATGTTAAAATATACAAAGGACTTCATCTCAATAAGCAAAAGTCTATGAGTGCCGATATTGGGTCTGTAGCATGCTGGGAGGAAAGGCTACCAAGTTTATTCAAATGAATGACCTCAACCCACTTTCAAGGTCACAGGGGTCAAATATGTTAAAATATACAAACGACTTCTTCTCAACAAGCAAAAGTCCATGAGTGCTGATATTGGGCCTGTAAGATGCTTGGAGGAGAGGCTACCAAGTTTGTTCAAATGAATGACCTCAACCCACTTTCTAGGTTTGGCTTGCTTTTTGTCAGATGACCGTTAAGGCCCATGGGCCTCTTGTTTGTTTGTTTTTGTTTATTTTTTGTTTGTTTTTTTAATAATTATAATTTACATTTTTATCAGTCAAATTTTGTGGGTTTTTTTTTTGTTTTTGTTTTGATTAATCATAATTTTCAATGTTTTTTTTGTGTCTAAAGATAACCTACATACATTGATAATGTATAGAGGAATATTGGAGACCAGTATGATAATGTATAGAGGAATATTGGAGACCAGTAAAACATTTACAGGCTGTCCAGCATCCCTAAAACTTCAAAAAAATCCTAATTTTTTCAGTTTTGCTAAAATTCCTAAAAAAATTAATGAAAAATTCAAAGGGAATTCCTAAAAAAAGCCCTAATTTTTAGCGTCAGTTCCTACTTTTTTTATATTTCTTACAATTTACTGAAAATATTTTCATTAAATTCATACTTAAAATGTATTTTAATGTAGTCTGTAGTTCTGATTCAGGGTAGACAATAAAAGGCAGTTGACCAGTGGATCTATATACCCAGATTGTTATTGGTTGTGACTGAGTGACAGAGGTGTGATTCTTAAGGTCACAGCCAACGGCAGCTGGGACACTGAAACCCTGGAAGACACCTTTCCTGCAATTAAGGCATTGTATGTTAGTTTCTATTTTGTCAAATTTTCAAAGGTAAGTCAGTTTAATGCTTTCATACTCCCTATTCTAGTTACAAAATTCCTAATTTTAGCCTTAAAGCCCTAAAATTTTGTAATTTTAGCCCTAAAATTAGCCCTAATTTTTTGTCAAGAAGTGCTGGACAGCTTGCATTTATAGTGAAACTCTAAAACTGGTGAGAAGAAGACAAAAGAAATGATAGTTATCTGATATATTTGTAATCTCATTTTCACCCATTGTGTTTTCATGATCAGTTCAAAATGGTTTTTTTTCAGTCTCCTTTATGTGTTTCATCTGAAATTCAAGGTGCAATATTAAGTAACGAGATATTTAGCAAGGTAAGAATTTCATGTGTTCATGGATGTCTTCACTGCTTACTGTCAGTGACAGATGGAAAAATCAGATGATATGTTCTTTTATCATTTGTATAGAAAGCTAAAACACATTTAAGTCATCACTTTCCAACTTAACAAACTGTTTGAGTAATATTATCTTTGTTAGATGCTTTCTCAAGATTTTGTTTTTGAACTATCGCAAAATATGAATATTCATGAGTCGTGAGAAGTTTAATTATTTAGTAGCTGATGTCTTTGATGGCAGTGAAGACTTTTGATGCAACTTATCTTATGAAAATTAAATGCAATTGTTTCACTGTTCCACCAGCTGATAACAAGGGTAGATGAATTCATTCACTTTTGTGGTTGATCTATTTTTGTCTATTTCCAGGGTACACTTAATCCATTAATTTATATGTCTATGAACTGTTCAAATAAGTATTAGTAGACTTGTTAAGCTCCTATTATTCAAGAAATCAAATTTCGACAAAATATTTTTTTTAAAAAACTTCAAAAATTTATTCCCCAAGAAAATATATGATTTGACAGTGGTCCAGTTTTGTGAACTCCAGATATAGCAAGAGAATCCAATACATAATAACTTCCCTTCAATTTTAAAATAATCCAGATATTTATGGAAAATTTTGAATTGTTTTAGATGAAGGACAATGATATATTTTACTGTAGCTGAATACAAGATAAATTGCCAAACTCTTGGTTATGCATTGTATTTATTAACTCATTGTAATGAAGTATAATGTATTGTTATGTAAGGAAGAAAAATGAAAAATATTAAGAATTGCCAGGGCAAAAAGTGAATATAGTTGGTTGAATGGATCTTTTTAAGATATTATCGTTTTGGTATTTTAAAGGTGTTGAAGAAAGCTCAGCCTTGTATTCTACCGGAGGATGGTACGGGTCTGAGTGATCAGCAGAAAAATTTAGTGAAAAGGTAAATTGATCTGACAGGTGTAACTGGTCTGTCTGTCCTTCTATGTAATAAATGAATGTCCAAAAGCACACGATTCGCATATAAAAACACTCGCTAGATGTCAGATCTAAATTATATCATAGGATTGTCTTGACAGTGAAAAATAGTCCTGTTAAGCTGAAAATTTGCCTGTCTTCAGGCAAGTAAGTTTGAGTATTCTGGTATGTGAAAAATAGAATCTTGCACTCCTGTCCATGTCATATTGAATAAATTAAAAACTTATAAAGAACTATATTTATCCAACAATAAGCCCAGGCTTGGTAAAAAGTCCATCCACCTGTAAACTGATGTTCAGTAAAATTAGAAAAAAAAAAACGATTTCATGGTCCAGTGATAAGCCCACCTCCTGACTTAAATTTGAAGTAGTGTGACAACTCCTTGGACATGTGACTAATGCAAAATAGATACAAAATACATTCAATTGTGTTTTCATTAAACAGTTTGGTAAGGTTGATATTCATTCAGGAATCGTCATAATGTCATGAGCCAATGAAGTAGACTCTGTGTTTAGAATAGAGTTGACACTACTTGATAGCTTAACAATATGGTTGACAGGTTTGAGAAGCTGGAAGTTCATGCCCTACTGTGTGTAAATAACCTGGTCAGTTCTATAGATCTTGAAGCCTTAGGAGGCCTGGATAACCTTCATAGTGTATGGCAGGGTCTAGTTCAACTGACCGCCACCAAACATGGTGAGTACTGAAAAGGCCTTAATTACTGTAAAATTGTAATTTGTTGTGGAGCTCAATTTTTGTGATTTATCAAATAATGTTGTCTCAGGGACACTTGATTTTGTGAGTAAATATAGCTCAATAAATTTACCTAAAATAATTTTACAGCTTACGGGCATTTGATTTTGTGGATTAAGAATACAAATAATTTCAATGAAAATAAATTTCAACAAAAATTAATGATTTTGCAGTAAGAAGTTTCTAGATTGCTCTTTAAATTTTGCAACCATAGTGATATTTGTTTGAGATTGTTCTTCAAATTTTTCAACGAAGGCTTTCTTTGTGTGAAATAATCTGTCCTGTTGTTCAGACACTTCTTGAATGCAAAACTGCTTTGGAATACGTATACTCATGGGAATTGTGAATGAAATCTTGACGAGTCAACATCTGTAAAAAATGTTTCATTGACCTCAGTTATAGTCATGTGACTAATGAAGTCAAGGTCAATGTTGTAGAACTTATTGCTGCTTTGTGTGTGTAAAACATGAGGACTTATTTACCTGTTACAGGCAATCATCTCTGAAGACTTGAGTGATGGTTGTTTGTAGTTATAATAGTGTGAGGTCAGAAACTGTTTCCTGGGACTCATTAAAAGTCATAATGTGTGTATTCATTATAAAAATAAAGAAAATTTCTATGGGGTACAAAAATCTTCATAACATTTTTAAAGAAATAAAACAAAAAATTGAGCATTGAATATTCATTCAGCTGCTTTGAAAAAAAATACTTGACATAATAATCATTGTTTTTGTTGGTTTGTTTTTTTAAAAAGAACTTGCATAGAAATGAAATAACAAAATATAAGAAATAAATGCATTAAAGCACATTGTGAATTGCCCATGAAATGAAAAGTTTTGCATTGATTCAACAGACCTGTAGACACAATTCATCCATAATATACCTTATGATGTACTTGCCATGGGCCTCCTGGTGTTGTAATTCAATTTTCCTGCCCTTGATTGATGCATTATGATAAAACAATGCATACCAAGATGCTAATGAAAGCAACACAACATTTTTTGTCACCATAAAGATTAAAACATTTTAATGGAGATGAAAATCATTGAGAACCAGAATGAAATACTAATATTAAAAGCAGTCATACTTTCGGAATTATTACTTGTGTTGATTTTTAGCATCTGTTAATGTGTTAAAGTATGTGTGTAATTTGTAGACGGAGATCGTAACGACCTTTTGGAAGCCGTTACTAGTGCTATGCGAGCTGTCATACAGAAGTTGGCGGAACATGAGTCCCCAAAGGTACAATAATTACTCTAAAAACTGAAGATGTGGCTTTTCTTTATTACCTGTGATAATTAAAATGTAGGTTTATCTCTATAAGAAACTATAGGCTTATTTTAATGTTAGACTTATATTTGAGGTCGACTAGTTTTCAAGTTTTTGGGGTGTCGTCTTTAAGTGTTATATATACAATTTTTGTCTCATCCTGGTCAGTGAGAGGAAGTTTGTGTACAGGTATACTGGGTTTTATGGAGTATAGATATAAAAGCTTTAGAATGGAAATGAAACAGTGTTTTAAAGTCTCATTGGTCGTTATTCAAGGTTGTACGTTGGACTTTAATTTCTAAAAAGCATTTTACCTCTCAAGAGTAAACAATCATCTGTTGTTACATTTTTTAGTGTAAATGATCAATGTAGAATATATTAGATATTGAAATATTAAATCAGATATTCACATATTATATTCACAAGTGGCTGCTTACTTTTCTAAGTTAAGGTTTGAAACAATCTCCAAAATGAATTATTAGCCAAATTTCAATAAAAATGCAATGAATGAATTTCTGTCCGTCTTGCAGATATCAGTTCATATGTACTTTGGAAATATGTAAATTTTAAGTACAGTGTACAAGTGTGTGTGTGAAAAATGTATTTTAACAGTGACACAAATTTTGTATGATGTTGGTATCTGTGCTATGATGTAAACTTAAAATTGCTGTTTGTTGACAGCTGTTGGAGGTTACTGGACAGGACCTACAGTTTTTATATGAGATGGGACAGCAAGGTAACGGTCCAGATATTCGTGTTAATGCTGTTAGGATTGTAGCCACGTTTGGAGCCCACTTCGCCAAAAACAAAGAGCCACATCCAATGCTAGTGGTAAGCAACATGATAAAGATATTAAATTTCATAATGTTTATATGGAAAAATAAAAAAAAAGTTATTTTGAAATTTTGAATAAATATGAAGCATAATCTTTGAGCTTTAGCCATAATACAGACTTTGAACTCTTTAATTAGAACCTTGGGCAGTTCCTGTTAGAGGTGGCCTGTCGCGATGGAGAACTATGGGTTGTAGCCGAGGCCCTGGATGCCATCTTTGATGTGTTCGGAGAAGACCACCTCAACAACATCCTGTCAGAGATCCGGCTGCTCGAAAGATTGCGACAGCTCCTCCCACTACTCAAATCAAAGGTAGATAACTCCTTAGGATGCCTTATACAATATTTATCCAATGGCAAAACCTCCCTATATGCATGCATTTTGTACATGTTGGTAAGAGTAAGCAGGAAAGAAAGGAGGGACTACTTTTGAGAACAAATTTTTGTTTGTATCATCTAAGTTTTTTAGTTTAAGTTTATATATATTTATTCACCAACCCATACTTAGTCCTTTTTCTTGATCCTGTCCTCATTCCTCGTGTCGTTTCCTTGGTCCTAACATTTCTCATGTTTTCTTTGATCCTATCCTCATTCCTCATGTCATTTTCCTTGGTCCTATCCTCATTCCTCGAGTCATTTTCCTCGATCCTGTCTTCATTCCTCGAGTCATTTTCCTCGATCCTGTCTTCATTCCTCTAGTCATTTTCCTTGGTCCTGTCCTTACTCCTCAAGTCATTTTCCTTGGTCCTGTCCTTACTCCTCAAGTCATTTTCCTTGGTCCTATCCTCATTCCTCGAGTCATTTTCCTTGGTCCTATCCTCATTCCTCGAGTCATTTTCCTCGGTCCTATCCTCATTCCTCGAGTCATTTTCCTCGATCCTGTCTTCATTCCTCGAGTCATTTTCCTTGGTCCTATCCTCATTCCTCGAGTCATTTTCCTCGATCCTGTCTTCATTCCTCTAGTCATTTTCCTTGGTCCTGTCCTTACTCCTCAAGTCATTTTCCTTGGTCCTGTCCTCATTTCTAGAGTCATTTTCCTTGGTCCTGTCCTTACTCCTTAAGTCATTTTCCTTGGTCCTGTCCTCGTTCAGAGGACTTTAAATCAGCAAAAAAGCAAAACTGAATTTCTTAGAGTTGCTTCCCTTTGCTCAAGTTGGCTTGGCTGTCCCTGGAATTTGTTTTCTTTTTGACCAAGATGGTGGGCTATTGAAATCAGCTTAAGCCCATGGTCTGTCGTCCATTGTTCAATCATCCCTAAGCAATTTTGGCTATCGCTATTTCTTGAAAAATATTTGATGTATCTTCTCAAATGTCGTGTGTAGGGGTCGGTTGGTTCACAAGAGGAATGTTCAAGTTTCATGTAATTAAGAGCAAAAACAGAGGAATGAAGGAAATGATGAAAAATAACCAACTTTTAAAGAACAAATGAATATCAAATGATGGTTGGGCCTATACCCCTCTGTGATTTCTTGTTTTATGCATTGAAGTTTGGACCATTTTCCACCAATACATCCTGTAATAAAGATGGTATTCGCATCGATAACAAGTTTTGTAAGATGAGAGCTGTATAGAATACCCGGTTTTCATGCGTTCAGTTTTATAGTATGGACTTGGATCATGTAAGACCTTTACTTAAATTCTATCAGGACATTTGACCATATAAAATATGTGTGTATGCTTTATGGTTTAGGTTAAAGGTCTAATCAAGATAGAATTTTTTTGGTAAATATTTATTACCCTTTGTATTGCATACAGATCAATTTTCAAAATTATGGAAAATGAAGTTGTCTTCTTTTGTTCGGGTGAGAGTGTAGAGGTTTTTCCAGTACATTTCATAATAAAATTAATTTGGCGGTTATATTGTCTTTTTCAACAGATGAAGACAAACAGGAAAGACTTGGGAGATCACTTCCCGGTGATTTCAACTGCCAGGACAAATCTCATACGCTTCATAAAATACAAGTCCTCATTGTGATAAAGTCAGATGATTATCAGTCAGACGTTGTTGTCAATTTTTCAAATTATAAATGGAGGATAAACTTTGAGGTTGGTGCTGAGGATTTCAAATGACACTGATATTGACGATAAATTCACTCTGTTGGAAAGATATCTCCTGTGATGGATTACAATGAGGATTAAGATAATCTGAAGTATTGGTGCAAAAATTACTGCAGTGTCTCCGTTTGTTTGCATGGCTTATTTTGAAAAAAGAATTTGTTCTGAAATCACCAATATTTTTTTCTTTTTATTTTGTTTCTTTACCCTTATATGTGAGAAAATAATGCATCACTTTATTCACGAAGAACACAGACAATGTTACTTAAATTTCTTGTAGTATAATTTTTCCAAACAATTTGCTATTACGAATATTTTAATTTCCTGGTATAGAGGTAATTTTGACATGAATTTGATAACTGTTGAGAAACTTGGTGTGGATATTTGGCCTGCCATATAAAAAAAACATCTTTTTGATAGATGTTGTTGGATTTCATACTTTTTTCGTAAAAACCAACATATGTCAATGAAATGCTTAATTTCTTGTAACAATATTTTGAAAAGAATGTTTATTATATTATTGTTTCATGGAAATATGTGTTCTGAAATTAGAACGAAACATTTCATGTTCTGAAAATAAATTTGGTTGAAGGCAGAATTTCTAAATATTAATTCATTGTGTATATCTTTTATCTAGAAATATTTTGTTATGTTGATATGATATATAGTCATGTTCAGAATGAAAAAAATAATGGTTTAATAAAGTTATTTTAACTCAGTTCTAATGGTTGTAATTATTGAGTGAGTTTAGGTGACAGTTATCCTACTTCTTAAATCAACGTTTTAGTGATGTTCTCGATGACAAATACCATTAAATCATGTTTTTATGGACACAAATTTCATGGTTTTCAAAAAATCAACGTTTCCTGATTTCATTGGATATATACACAACAACATTCTATTATTTTGGTCCCTAACCAAACTAAGCTACAACATTGGAATTTGAATTTCAGCATTTGTTTTTTCAAAGAGTTTTTCTCAGAAGTTAAATCTGTATGAAATTCATATTCCACACATGAAAACAGAACCAGTTTAAAAGTTGATAAAGACTGGTATTTTTGTTTGTTTTCATAATGCAAACAAAAGGAGAGGTAAAAGTCACTCTTATTCTCTTAGTTTCCTCCGCAAATGAAGATTCATCAACAGAATAACACATGTAACATACCTGTACTATCAGCATTTAAACAATAGGTATAAACGTACACATGTAAGTGGCGTTGAAGGCATTATTGTAATGAAGAGTTAACATTGATTGAGAATTGAATCCAAAAATCTTGATTTTGCTTATCTGAAATTTTCTGCATACTCATGAGACATGTCATTGTTATGCATACTTCCTAATAAGGTATTAGTTAACTCAAATTCTGATTAATTATGCAGGTACATAAAAAGATTTGTATCCAGCAGTGTTCAGAAAAAATAGAAGTCTTGTTTCTATTTATATATTGGATATATAGTTCATGTACTGTAAATGACATCTTGATGAATATAGAAAATTGGGAGAGAAAGAAGGTCACTATAAATACACTTGCTTGTGGAATATACAGAAGAGTCTGATTGACTGTGTGAAATATTTCATTGAATTGGAATGAAAGAAACCTGATAACTGCTTTATATATGAGGATGAACTTAAAAGTTTGCACATCATTACTGTCAATGGATTGTAGGAGAGAACAGTTTGACTTATAGTAATGAAAGAGTTTGGTGTCTAGTTGACTTATTGAAATGATCAGAAAAAAAACTTATTTTGTTTTTAATTTTTGTTTTTTGTTTTGTTTGTTTTTTTTTGTTTTCAATGGAGTAGAAGGATGGTGACTTTCTGGATTGCAGAGAAGAAAACACGAAACTTACTTGTAATTCATATGGGAAAAGGAGTGACTGACTTACTGAAATGAAGGGGTAGAAAGACACAGGGTCAAATGTAGCATAAACTGAAGATGTGTATACATTAAAGGAGCAAGAACTTTATGTTTAAGTTGTGTACAAGTAAGGCTGAAGAGAAAGGCGATTTCTTGACTAAGAGCATTGGCTGTGTCAGTCATAGATTAATTGTGATGTCAATAGTTCTAATATATACAATGATGTGACTGCCTCCATTTGATTTTGGTCCTTCACATTTGACTTCAGAATCTGTCAAAATATTATTTTACTGAGTTATATGATAAAAATATACTAAATTTGTTTTCATTTCATATGGCATTTTATGGAACTTGCCTTGAACATTTATTTTTGCTTGCCATGGCCCAGAAAAATAAAATTATATCGAATTCGTTTCATAAAATCCCACCAGACCTGAAAACAAATTTTAAGGTCCCTTAACTAAACTTTGAAAAAAAACGTTAATAACTTTAAAATAAAATTCTGTGTATTTCGTTAGTGATGAAATGCTATCATAACATTTTATTCAAAATAAGTCTTTTCAATATCAGTTTTTCTTATCGGGTTAAAGCGATAAAAGAAAAGTTACCGCAAATTTCGCATTCACACCAATACACCCAAGCTTGTGGTATTTGTAATAAAACCACAAACAAGGCAGTCTTGTTTACATAGCACTGTAACTATCGAAATTTATCGTCTTAAATACCCAACGGCGGCTATGTAGAACGACGTTATCATAATGAAAAATCCTCTCTGTTTATTTGGTATTGTAAAATATCCCCTCGACAGAAAATATATTGTTATACCGAAAATACAGGTTGTGGTCATGTCTGTTTTGAAGCCACTTTTATTAGGGTAAACATGTAATTTGATTGTTTTTTTTTTTTCTCAATGTCAAATTTATTAATTGCACTCAAAAAAAGACACACAAGTGAATAACACCTTTCAGTACAAACTTAGAATTAGATACCAAAGAGCCAGATAACTAACTGATCTGAATCACGCACCTGTTTCAGTCCTCAAGGATCCGTCGGGGATACTAAAGGCATACATTTTGAAGTAGGCTGTAGAAAACACAAGGAAAAAAATTATCGCATAAAATATTAGAATCTAGATTGGGAATTTCATATATTTATCGCGAACAAGCGCTTTGATAGATTTTAAACACGAATGATTGTAGATTTTTTCATTTAATAAATCTAAGTGTACACTGTAGCTGAATGAAAGCTACTGAGTTATGTACTAGTCTCAAGTCAGCCTCACATTCAGCAATATCTAACCACACCATAATCGTTAAAAGATTTTATTGCGCCCACGTTCCATCTGTTCCAAACGCAATGGAGTGTTATTTTTAGATTCTTTGAATATATCACTTACATCTGGTAAATCTTAACAATATTTAATTGAAACCCGTTTTTTTCTGCCTGCGTCCATTCTCCAATTCGTGCTATTTTTTGCAGTTAATATTAAGAAGGTAAATTCCATTTCCTGTATGACTCAAACAAACGGTTATCATAAAGCAGTTAACATACTATAGATATATTGATGTAACCACCGTCACAACACGTACAAAAACAGCGTTTCTTCCTTCTAGGTTTTGAAGAAGAAGGAAAAATACTAACATGTTAACACAGTCATAATCCAAACTCAATTAAAAAAAATGTGAGCAAAAGAAATATTTACGCGGAGACTACCCAAAAAGTGCAAAGGAGAATAAGACCAGATGTTCCGGAAGAATAAGCGTTTCTGCTTCATGAACGACAAATGCCATGTAACTCTTGGTCAATCCAAGGTTTACAGAAGTATGGTAATGTGTAGATAGATAAATAAAGAGATAACAAATAAATGGATACTTAAATATAACCACTAACATCATAATTTAGTCGTCGAATGTGACCTTAATGTCCCTCGGTGTAGATCAAGGAATGACTCTGTCATCAGGTTGCCTCGCTAATCCGTCAACGGGAAAGACCATGAAAATTAATTGTCGTTTTATATCATTAACTTGCATTCCAAGCTCTAGAAACGGTGGACTGTGTCAAACCAATGTCCATGATAACAGAGACAAATGTTTTTCTTGTTCCATCGTTAATACCTTAATTCTGGATATCTTATTTTCAAAGATTAAAGGATTTGGTATACTGTGAAGTCATTAATTTTTTTTTGTGTGTGTGTGTTTTTTTATTTTTATTCTTTTCGTAGGTACACTTAACCAACAATGTTTACGAACTATTATAAACAGTTTTATAGAACTATATTTATCTACGAAATCATGTGCCAACGAAATTGTATTTAAAAATAAAGAAAAATAAAAAAGTGAAAATTGAACCCTACAATACTTTCTGATTTTGCAGTACTGTAGCAGGAAGATAAGATTGTCATTGCTTTTGCGTTTTAGGACTCGCCAGTGTGCTAAGGGACTAAATTTTGAAACATAGGAATTGGCTGAGGAACACCAATATTGATGAGAGAAAAAAAAAAAAGAAAATTCAAAATTTAGATTTCGTAATCGTTATGTATCTCATGATTTCAAAACAATGTCAAGTACATGAGTACATTCTGAACCGTGCCACTATTCGAACGAATTAAACTGTGGCATGTAGATTACGGCATATCTCGAGGTCTAAATGTCCATCAGCAGTGCCTACCAATTGCTATCTCAATGATTGTACAAAAGACACACGAGTGACTAGCAACTTAAAATAGAAGTTTAGAATTAGATACAGTAAAGAATAAGTTAAACTACATAAAATTATTCTTTTTTTTTTGTTTTGTTAAGAATACTTTAACCACACTGAAAATAAAAGTCAGACTGAGTTCCATTATCCTGTACTTAAAACATATACATGTAACTATTCTGATATCCCGCTAGGAAGATCAGTAATATGATTGTGATAAGATAAACCATTCCTCTGAGAAGTATTAGATTTCTGATGATAAATTTTGACACGAGTATTAATGTGATTTACTGGCATTATATCTCGTTAACTGAAAGTTTGAGAATTACACTGGGTCTAACCTTATTATAGATAGCTGATAACATGATCTCGACCGGCAATTGTTGGATAGATAAATGAGCATAGGTATCTTTGTTTGATTGTTCGACAAAATTATTACTTGAATGTGTTCCCCCCCCAAAAAAAAAATAATAAAAAAAAAATTAGAAAACGCGCTATACAATGCTATCTCATAATTTTGCGGACTGCAGGACTTAGGTCATGTGTAACGATCAGTCATGCAAAACATGTAATACATGTGTATCAAGTGCTGTGTTCTATGTCACATGACTTAGTTCTCCGGCAGAGCCTTACTTGTTCATTTCCTTTTCTATGGTAGCCACTAAGTGTGATAGAATGATAGTGAAGTACACCTCATTCCATACATTTCATGGTCGGAGGCATGTAGTATTACGCTTGTCTGTCATTCCGTCTTAAATTCGTTTCCGCTCATTGATTCTTAAAGAACTTTAAGTGAGTATATAGATGTACCATTATGATATGCAGATCAGGTTCTTATTTGTTTATGGTCAGTTTTTTCTTTTCTCTTTTGAGTTATGGTCATCATATTTATTTAATTCAAATTTTCACAAAAACGGTGGGACCAATATTGGATATTAATAGAAAAAAAAAAAATCTGGAGACAAATCATCAGTTTTAGTTCTGATTCTCAACTATAAGATCTGCCGGCAAGTCTTCAATGTTATTTCATAAGACAGACAAAATGTCTCCTTGGTTGCTGCCGCGGGCTTTTGTGTTGTTCAACATATCTAGTCTGCTCACACAGTTTGGAAGCACTGGACAGAATCAAGTTGACTATGCTTTATAGTTTGTGATTTTTTGACCAAAGTAAAATGAAATAATACAGCTTGGATGAACTTTCATTGTATTACGTAAAGTAACGTGACGCGTAAACAACATCGCATTTTTGTTTACAAAGAGTAAGAAAAAGAAATATCCTTGTAGAATTAATGACTATACAATGTCCATCGACTGGTATACGATCTTTGGCCAATATTAAAAATTCCTGACACTGACGAGCGTAAACTGTTATCAATTTTTCAGATATTATGCTTTTAGTTAATTCTTATTGGTCCAGGAAACGCATCGAGAATGATAATATTGGTGGAAACTGGTATAACCAGACAGAGCCTCCTTGGTCGGGCTGTTGTCCTACTAAATTTTGTTGGGAGATAGAACCCCTGGAGAACAAACCTACAACAGCACATAGTGGGTCATGTTCATATTCCAGGTTTTCACCGATATTGCAAAGCGTGTCCTTTTTATTGACATTGAAGAACCGGAAGGTAGTACACCTTAATACACTTTCAGACAGGGAAAGGTTTTGTTAATTCATCAGAATCACTATTCTAACTATGTTAAAACTTGTACTTACTATTTTACTGTATTTTAAGTGGCACGGTTCAAATGTATGCACACGTTCTTTAATGAATACAGTATCAATAGATATAGATTTGATTATAATAGAATAGAGTTATCTAGTTCAGAAGTTTTGAATGGTGTGATGCAAGGTTTTGGTGAGATAAACGAATTCACTTGACCTTATTTTTTTAGTGTTCCAAAAAATGAGACCAGCCTCGGTTTGCCTTCTGCATTACTGTGTTCTTTTTGTACAATAACACAAAAAGACGTCTATGCATGAAAGGGAAATTTTAACTAAAACCGGACGAACTGCAAAGCAGGCATCGTACACTCCTTTACTCGATAACTCTCTGGAGCTGTTATTGTGCACTATCTGTGCATGCACAAGGCGTCAGTAAAGGCAACAATACGGACGTGATACCTGATAAGCACTTCAGTGTTAGCCTAGGTGACCCTGAGGTACTCATTCGCATAAGTTCAAGATAAAAAAAATGTTTTTACTACATACAAGACGATGTGTAGCTTGATTTTTTAAAAGAGTAAATATTTTTCCTGATTGGAATAAACTTTATGTGACAATGTGTTTTAGTAACCGAATGAATCGGTGTCGGTGGCTGATACGAGGACGAGGAACCCTATAAGAAAGAAAAAACAAAACAAAACAAAACAAAATAAAACCAAAAAAACAGACATACAGACACACCCTAAGACAAACACACACAACACCCCTTGTATTTCGGATATCTGCGTAACCATTTGACTGATATCCTCGTTAGTTCCTCTCTGTCATTTAGCCTACATAAATTTCCATATTCCAAACATACATAATTGTACACATATATGTGGTATATTTACAATGCTTTACAAATCATTATTTTGGGTAACCTCGTTTTCACTCGATGTTGACTAAAGGTGTTGGTTTTGTATGTGATTATATACACGAACATATATATTTTGCTTTAAAATTACCTTTTTAGTTTGAAAATAGAATACAAAATGGGAACGTAACACGTGTCATTATGTTCAGCTTTATATAAACGTCTTATCGTTTGAAGGCCTGAGTCACTACTCTGGTTATGCAAAGAAATTCTGAAACGTATATGCTTAGATACAATACAGTCTGTATCAACACGACGTTTGAAGCGTTAAAAAGTATCTTATTAAGGTATTTCTTTAATGCTAATTGTGTCATAGAGCAATAATGACATTTTCGCAAAGGTAATCTTTTGTCCATATGTACATACATATCGAAAATAATTAATTACGACTTACTCTTATTTGGCAGTAAATGTCGTCCTACCAAAATAACATGTTGCGTGAGGACACTGTTAAGAAACACACAACATTAAAATCCGTAAATTAAATCATTCTAAAATCTAGAAGAAAATAGTTTGTCTAATAAATTTTTAGTTAATCACACTCACACTCTGCTTCCGAGGGACAAACTGTTTAATTCCTGCCAAATCAAAGAAAGTAGATGAGATATCATGTCCTTGCAAAAAACTGAAATCAGAAAGAGAGTGTCTTTGAAACTCATCCCTTCTCACACACTCGCACGCACTTACATACATACATACATACATACATACATACATACATAACCCTTAGATATGAAAAGTATAATTGAGAAACTATCACTGCCCTTGGAGGAACATTCTTGTTTAAGGTCCAATATGAGGCAAAATCAAGAAAGAAGAGAATATCTTAGTGTTGGTTTTTCTGATGATTTCGTATCCGGATCATAACTTTTAAACCGTCAGTTATCTTATCGAAAGTTGCAGAACACCTTTACTACCTAACCCAGATGTGCACTGTACTACCGTTAGGTCACTGTGACAGGACGTAATTTTTAAAATACTATTGTCTGATCAATAACATTTAAGCTGTTAAAGTTATCTTAATGGAAGCTAATGTGTAGTACATTGTCTATAGGTCACTGTGGCCTTCACTTAAAGGTCAACACCAAGAATATACATTCAATACATGACCCAACTCTGAGCCCAGTCTAACTCAATCCGAAGTGTTGTACTTTCTACAAGGTATTTCAGTGACAGTGCAATGTTCTATAGTTACAAGGTCATTGAGGGATGATAGGTCAAAACACATGTTTCTCAAATACGTACAAAACGTGATGAATATTTGTTATTTTGCCTGCTTTTTGTATTTGCTACCAAAACTTTACCAACATTATTAAAACAAAATATAACTAGTGAATGGGAAAAGTAATGTTTTTCTTGCGTACCCATCCTGCTAAAAAGTAGCGAATATATTTTTTTTCTTGAAAGGGCAAGTTTATTGAATGGAATATTGAAGTGATTCTGTTGCCATGTAGATTGGCGTTGAGGTGTTCTTTTTGTCACAACATATGTAAAATCCATGGCGTTTGACATGCTGTAACTGTCTATACCATGCCGTTGTTAAATGGCATTTTGTTTGCTAACGAGACGACACTAATAACCTATTTTGTATGTTAATATTTTGCAGTAACGAATAATTGTGAAATCAAACTTATATTGGTAAATTAACATCATGAGAAGAAATGAAACAGAAAGTGAAAGGAAGTATTGCAAATACTGATGTGATTTCTTTATCAAGTTTGAATAAACAGGCGGTGCATTTTTAAAATAACCTATTTTGTATGTTAATATTTTGCAGTAACGAATAATTGTGAAATCAAACTTATATTGGTAAATTAACATCATGAGAAGAAATGAAACAGAAAGTGAAAGGAAGTATTGCAAATACTGATGTGATGTCTTTATCAAGTTTGAATAAACAGGCGGTGCATTTTTAAAACAAGATAATGCAATAACGGTGACATGAACCCATTGCCGTTCAAACTTATCTGCAGAAAAGTACCACGTGATGTAGTTTTGTTGATAAACGACATTGTCTTATTCTTATAGGTGCAGGTACCAACGAATTCTTATTTTTTGCGGCGGATTTGGACCGTCAACATGTTGCAAGCTGTTGTAGTTTTGTGGTGTGCACTAGGTCTACATATGGCCAATGGTGCCGCCACTACAGTTAATCCAGGCAAGTATGCATTTAACAATAGGAGATAATTTAAGAGGATATGTTGACAAATAACCCGTGGTTGCCTTCTAGTTTTTAAAAACACTTGGCCATCATGAAGTGGTTTGATCATGTAATGAAATTGACTTGAATAGAAATTGAAAAGTAACATACAAGTTTCATCAGAAAAAGAGGAAATACTGTTGATTGATTGGTCTACCTTCAATCTTCAATCTTTAATCAGATGATGGTCATGTTTATTGGTTAAAAATAACTCTATTTAGATTTTCCTTTTCTGTGAATTACGTATATATTGCACTTGCTCTGTAAGTATCTTTAGGAGTCTTCTATTTGGTGGGTCACATTCATAGATTCTGAAGCGAAATTGAATCGCATGGTAAGTTGCACCGAGTAAAATGTCGCATTGTTGGACTATTGGAAGAGTTTATTGTATTTTTAAAATTTATTTTCCTTCAAACATCTATTGCCATTTCATGATATATATATTGTTTTGTTTTTTGTGTTTTTTCATTGATTCACCGGTATTTACAGTAGGAATACTATATAGTCAAGACCAGCGTCAAATTTTATCAGTACATGTGTACTTAATACAATAATGTCGACAATAGCTCATAAGAAAATATCAATGATTAAAAACGTTTTTTCGTCAAAACACGTTTAGATCAGTCGCTTATTAACTCAATCCTTTTCTTCAATATTGATTTCTCTGTTGCGAATTCTTCATTTAAAGATAGCAACAACCCTGATTATCCAATCGATACTATTTGTTGCAGTTGATTCGGTATTCAAGGACTTGTTCCTAATATCACGGGTCATGATGTCGACAACAGGCAGATGAACTCACAACACAGGGTTTCGAGTGATGCAGGTTAATGCAGATTGTTGGTACATTTTATGGTCGTCAGAATAGAATTGGGCGTAGTTGGTGCTCATGGTTCCGTTACTGTTAAACATGCTTTCATTTGGGAACGTGACATTACTTACCTGGATTGACCTTGATTTACTTGACGAGATTCGTCGGCGATAGAAACGACGAGTAAATTTCCTGAACACCAGATCCTATTATCCTTTTACTTTTTTTTACAGAAGTCTCCGTGTAAATTTGTCGTTTGTTCTAGTTTTGTCGTAGTTTTATAGAATTTTTCTCTTGATTTCGCGGTATTTTGTTGTTAATTCTTTTTAGTAATATCCCATCTGAGTGCGTTCATTGTCATTTCAATGGACATTTTTATTGTGTCTGTTTTGATAACTTGTTAAAAATGTGGCGAAGCAAATGTGGATGTTATTTCCTACTTTTCAAAAGTTATCGAATGCTTTAATGTACATTTTTTAATTTCAAATAAATGAATTTATCTTGATGGTGTGGTCCTGTCCAAAATTTGGAGTAAGACATGATGTGATGTTATACGATGTATTATTGTGTGGTTCATGTGTTCAGAGAACCACGTCAAGCATATTCCTCATTAATTTCCTCGGGTTTATATATTTATAATGCAACCTAATTATATATTGCTTACCTGGAAATAATCATAATCGTACTAGGAAATAAAAGTAGAGCTTACTTGAAATGACCGAGAAATTCTCGTCATGTGATTGACGTGTTGACATCGCTCAGCATTAAATGTTTCTGGTGTTATTTGTGTACGCTTTACTGATATGACATATTGTCGTTAAACGAATCTTTGCAGATCTTAAAAACTTGTTACCGCAAATGGTTTGATCTCACTATAGCATTTGTTTCCTTTAAATTAGGAGCTACTTTTATCATTATACTTAATGATAATGTTATCCATTATTTTATCAATATTTACTTTGTTGGTGTCATCTATAATAAACTGATTGTTCTGATGGAACGTATTGTCTTATTTCACATCACCGTTCAAATCTTGCATTTGTTCAGATTTTAACCCAGTTTTGTCGACTTCGAGTTTGAAATTTGGTTTTGTTGACCAGTGGGTGTATTCTTGCGATTTTATCAGCTTATGAAGTAACCAATTAACTCCCTTCAAATCTTTTGTGCTGTAAACTTCGGTCATTGAAAACCAAATCTTGGGAAAAAGAACAAATTTTGTACAAATGATTAGTCTCGGCTCCTTGGGGCGAGAGAGCCGGGGTCCAACAGTTTAAATAGAACAAGTTTATAAAAATCCTACTCCTTCTGTTTGAATAATTGGAATTTGGCCAAATTTGGTATGAAGTATTGTTTTTGTGAAGGTAAAATGATTTTGTACAAATGGTGGGTCTCGGTTCCCTGGTGTGGGAGGGCTGGGGCCCAGCAAGGCAAATAGAGCAAGTTCTTTAACATCCTACGTCTCGCGTAGGAATGATTGGATATTGACCAAATTTACTCTGAAGAATTGTTGGGGGAAGTGGATCAATTTTGTATAATAAATAAGGAGAATTCTTTCAAATTCTACTACTCCTGTAGATTTGGTGTGAGGTATGAATGGTTTGGCGGATCACATAAGGGCAGAGGATTGGGTTCAAATAGGAAAATAGATGTGTTTTGTGTTGTGTGCTTGGATATTTAGAATTTCTTTTCCTGCAGCTTTGATGAAGTAATTTCAGCGAGCCAAATCCAGACGAGCGATACAGGCCCTATGGGCCCCTTGTTCCATCTCTTCCTTGAATTTGTCAGTATCGCGTATATTTATATGCAAATTTCGGATTATAAACAATAATCTTTTTAATACTTTCGTTCTTTTCTCTAACAGGTTGTGGAACTGTGCCTGCTGATATCGTATTTTTACTAGATGCATCCGGAAGTGTAGGATCGTCAAATTTCCAGAAACAAAAGGATTTTGTTGCAAAATTTGCTAATTCATTTGATATTGGACCCCATAACGTCCAAATTGGCGTGACAACGTTTTCCACTTCGACCCACAACCAGTTCAATTTGAACAAATATTTAAGCAAAGGATCCCTAGTACACGCCATCAACTCCATTCCCTATCAATCCGGCAGTACAATGACCAGCCAGGCCCTTACTTATGTTACCCAGAACAGTTTTACTCACGCCGCTGGGGACAGAGATCACGTGGCCAATATCCTGATCGTGATGACGGATGGACAGTCTAATAACAAACCTGCCACAATAGCTGCATCCGACAAACTTCATCAAACGAACATTAAAACGTTTGCAATCGGGATTGGAAGCGGCATCGATAATGGCGAGTTAGGTCACATTGCCTCCGACTCCAAGCATGTTTTCACGGTATCCAACTTTGACGCTCTTACGACTCTGCAAGCCGAACTCAAGAAGACGGCCTGTGAGAGTAAGTATATTACAAGTCTTTTTCATTGTCTACCAAGTTAGACCATGTAAAAGCATTCAACGGCATTTCACTGTCTTGCAATTTTCGATCGTTCAGGTGTTCAAGATTCCAGTAAAAGGTTGAAAAATGGATTTTAAGTTATGCAACTGGCGACGATTTTCTTCGTCAAATTTATTTTTTGGTTTATATTTTTTCGCGAATTCATTTAATTCTTTCAAGTAGCGAAAATTTATTAATGAAAGCAAAAAATCAATTACCGATGATTTTTTGTACGTGTTTGTCTATCAGTCAATTTTCATTGTATTCAATAGAAATTTGCTATATTTGGTTTTTCTTCACTAAAGTCTGTTAGGTAAACGAACGCACTCTTTGATGCTCAAAGCCAAAGGCGCGTGTCCAATTTCGTAATTAATATTACTGAATATAATACATGTTCATGTAAGGTTCTTGTAGCGAAAGCAAATATAACAGATTGACGGAATTACATCGCTGACAAAGTAAAAGTCGTACGACGTAGTAGAAATAGTATATCACAATATATTCAATATAGACATCATGTGATTGAAAGCAGGACATATAACAGACAAGAGCTTCTGATTTTAAACGCATTTGGAGGAAAGCAAGACTACATTATAGACTGGTGTTCTCGATTTAAACAATGTGTTCATGGAAAGCAAAAGTACAATGTGGGTTGACTTTTCAATTATAAACAATATGTAAATGAAATCGAGGCTTTGATATAGGCTGATGTTTAAAAAGTTGTTGATAGAAAACGAGAATACAATGTTGGTTAATGTATCTGTTGTGAACAGTATGTAGATGAAAGTGTGGATACAATATAGACTAGTATTATCGTTTCAAGTAATGTGTTGATGAATACGAGAGTGCCATGTGGACAGGTGTGTAGGTGTAAAACTATTTGTGGATGAAAGCGAGGTTATAATATAGGATGGTTTGGACCAGACAGGAAATAGATATGATTATTTAGGATTGGCTATGTTTATAGAAGGCCATTACTTGAGATTTGACATATGGTATCGTGGGTGTCAATACAACATCACGTGGGGACAGAGGAAAGTCATATGCTCAGTTTGATAAGATATGCTTAACGTCGGCGGTTTATGTCCTGAACGATTCATAATATTTTAAAATTAAACGCTTCCTTTTATTTGAACGTAAAACAAAGTGTTTTTTCTATTAACAGGATTAAATTGATAAAATCAAGTTTGACCTACAATGTTTAGTTAAGGAATGATTTTCCCGTCATTCAGTTTCCATACTTCTTTTGTAGCGTTTATTCTTTCGCATTCTATAGGAAAAAGAATTCAATGCTGCAATTTTTTTCGGGCTATTTTAGCTTGCTATGAATTTTATATTCAAATAAATTTTCAAAGTTCCTCACTTTTAGTTCATAGTAACAATACAAAAATATTAGGAGATACATGTACCACTGATTTATATTGTATATATTATCCTACGAAACAAATATGAAAACCATGCCATGACTATTGAACAGAAGATCCTTTTTGAAACCAAAATAAATCATTCGATTCGAGATTTTCAGAAAACAAAATTTTGTTTTTCTATGATCCGTTTTGTGTTATCATGAAATCTTATTACAATGTCATCGATATCGGAAAATTTTGTTCGCTTTTGATATTGTTTGATAGATGAAACAAAGACACACAAGGAAACAACTCATTTTCAATACATGTTAGAATGAAGCAAAGTATAATGAGTTTAAACATGTTCAAAAACTTCAATTGCATTTAGTTGATGGCGGTTGGTCAAAATGGGGATTCTGGAGTCCATGCACCAAAACATGTGGAGGTGGTACACATTACCAAGAGCGAACATGTTCCGACCCACCTCCGGCAAACGGAGGAGCACAATGTACTGGGCCACATCGTCAGACAGGAACATGTAATACCCATGCGTGCCCTACTCCACCACCTACAACAACCACCACTACGGCTTTGACCACGCCCATTCCAACAACGCCCTCACCAGGTTGGAAAAACGTTTTAGCCTTTTCTGTCAGTCCGTTTTGATGTTGAAGAAAAATTAATGTTTAATATTGAATTAAGTTTTATCTATTACATATTAGAAAGTCACTTTAAGGATGAAACGTTATTTTGGAAGCAGCAAATTAATGATAATCAAATATACGCTTTAAATATACAGTGTTTTTATGATTATATACTCGGTGTACTATACGATAGAAAAAACATCAAATAGATTACGTATTAATGTACAATGTTTACAAGAAGTAATTTTTCAATTAGTTTTCATTCTTAAGTAGAAACGAAATGACAAGAAATAAGACTAATTATATCAGCTCTGTTCAGACCAAACGTGTAATCACGGAGATGTGTGTTTTGGTGGCTAATAATGTTCAATAATGACATCATAATGTCATGGCATCACATGCATTGTGACGTCATCAGAGAAATAGAGATCTGGTTAGAATATCATCAATTTCGATATTATATTAGTTTTATAAAGTATTCTTTTCGCAAATTCTTAGTTATGTTGTGGTAGAATAAAAATCTAACTCTATATTCATTATGTATCTGTTTACAGGATGTGGCGTTGTACCAGCTGATATTGTCTTCATCCTTGACTCGTCAGGCAGTGTTGGATCAGCAAATTACCAGAAGATGTTACAGTTCGTTGAAAACATGGTTCAAGGATTTACCATTGGTCCAAATGAAACTGAGATTGCTGTTGTTACATTTAGTGACAAGCCGAAACTTGAGTTCCATTTGAATAAGTACCACGATAAGCAGTCGATTGTAAACGCCATATCTAATATCAACTATGTTTCCGGAGGGACGAACACAGCTGACGCGCTGAAATACGCTAGAGAGGTCAGTTTTACAGCTGCAAACGGTGAACGACCAAACGCCGCTCAAATTGCTATAGTTATTACTGATGGCATGTCCAACAGTGCTGGAGCCACTGCAACTGAGGCTGCGCGCCTTAGGGGTGATGGTATTACTGTTTTCTCCGTCGGCGTCGGAAGTGGACCAAAGACAACCGAACTCAATGCCATGGCAACTGATCCTGACAATCAGCACGTGTTTGTCGTCAATAACTTTGATGCTTTAAAACAGATTAAAGGGACACTTGCTCAGAAGGCATGTGAAGGTAAATTTGTCAATGTTTTATTAAACTAATGAAATACAAAAATATCAGAAACAAACAAATGCAATAAAAACACTTTTAAAGTAAACACCAATTAAAATCATAATGAATTTATTTTCTTTCCAAAGATGACGTTTGTCCTAGAAACTTTAAACAATGGTGATAGTAAGAACGAATCTCTGCCAGAAGAGAAAAGTGTCGTAGGATTGAACCAATATTGAAATTTTGTGATAGCAGTACAGGTGAACTTATAGTCAATTACACGAAATAAAAAACAATGTGATGCAATACTTAGATATTTTCCAAACATTACATTTGACAATTGATGTTTTTTTTTGTTTCAGTGAAAGCGACTGCAACACCACCTCCCAAAAATGAAACTGGTAGAGTAATTAATGAGAGCATTTATGACTTATTTAACGTTAAAAATTGGTTTATTGATATTGCTTTGAAATTTTCATTCAAATGTGTTTTTATGTATCGGTTCAATTATTGTAAAATAATCGATAGAATGGTAAATACAATCCCTGATTTAAAATGATTGGTCTATTTCTGCCGTGCTTTGCCGTTAACTTTTATTTAAAACCTAAACTGTAAGAAATATACAATAGAAGTAGACAATTTGAAGTATAAACTGTCGCCATAACAAATATCTTTGACAGAATGTGGTGCCCAGGCAGATATTGTGTTCTTGTTGGATTCTTCTGGTAGCGTCGGTAGGACCAACTTCAACAAAATGTTAGATTTCGTAACGAATGTGAGCAACAGCTTTAAGATTGGACCACATGATGTCCAAATCGGCGTGGACACTTTCCAAACATCACATAAAACTGAATTTACACTTGGAGAGCATTTGCAGAAAGCCGACCTCATTGCCGCTGTAAACAAAATCCCTTACCATAGCGGGGCAACACATACCGGCGAAGCCATTCAGTTTCTTCATAACACCAGTTTCACGACAGCGGCAGGTCAGTCGAAGTCCGTTACAGGACTTAAGTGGCATCCCCTTATTCAAATTTTATATTGATGCCTATTTTCAAATTAAATTCTTTGGAATTATGTTTTGTTAAATGTTTGCCTCACGAGTAAAAACATTGTGATATATTCAGAAAAAAAAGCCAAATGATAACATTTTATGCACATTTTCAGGTCATCGACCAAATGTTCCGAAGATTGCTATAGTAGTAACGGACGGTAATTCAAACAACAGGCAACTGACTGCAGCAGAATCTGACTTGGCGCGAAAGGATGGCATTAAGATGTTGGCCATTGGCGTCGGCCATGGTATCAACGATGCTGAATTGAAAGCCATTGCCAGCGACCCAGATAGTCAATACGTCTTTAGAGCAGACAACTTCGATGCTCTGGCGTCCATGAAGGGTTCACTATCAAGCAAAGCATGTGAAGGTAAGTGGTTTGATATTTTGTTCATGTGAATGCTTGCGTTACCTCCACAGATCAATGTTAACAAAAGTAGTGCCGAATATCTAGTAAACGCCACACTTAATAAAAAGACGGTGTGATGGAAAACGACTCTCCGTACTATCATGTGCGCTATTCAACAGTACTAAATACCGGTAGATAACACCAATTACCGAATTGTGTCATACACAGAATGTGTTTTAAGACAATTTCATATAACTAACCTTATTTTACAGAAAAAATTGAATATTCTACACATTATGTGTAGTGAATTGTTACCGGTAAACGGCAAATGTTTCTGTTTTTCAGTAGACAGATGACCTTATATGTTTTAATGGACGTCTTTATAGATGACGGTCTTAATTCTTTGCAATGTGGAGAGGTTATGCAAAACAAGTCAATTATCACATCAAGTTGTTTAAGGTGATATTTTTGACAGTTAATTGGTAAAAGATTAATTAATTCTTTTCAAAAATTTGTTTGATTTATGGTAGTCCGATGAATAAAAAAAAGTTGGGTTATTCTTAACACATTTATGGTTGAATGACAGAAGGATGATCTTCTGTAATTGTATATTGCTTTATTTTGTCATGTATTCTTCCTATTTCAGCATCCAAGCCTGAAAACAACACTGCATCTAGTAAGTTGAATTAAACGTTTTCTGTGTTGACCTTCTGACCTGTTAGAATAGTGGGCTGTCGTTGGTAATAGCATTTATAATCTTTAAGATAAAGAATTGTAAAATCATTTTTACGATAGGTAGTTATATTGTCATTTTCCATTTTTAATCATCCCAAGATATGTTAATATTATATAGATATTTAGATTCAAATAATTAGGTTAATCTGTATATTCTGTATTATTTTAGGGCTGCGTATGTTTTGTTGCCCACTTGTGTTGTATTAAGATATCTGTGTGAAAAATAAAGGGAATGCATGTTCGTTATCCTACCATTTGATACATGGAATCAACTCCCCGTGCTCAAGAGTATTGCGGTTCCCATACATTGATCTCTGTATCAGATACAAATCGTTTAATATCATCAAAAGCAGTGTTATATGATTCTTTAAGAAGTTCAAATGACAGCAAACTATACCATGCCGGATATTTAGGTAGACTACATTTAACAAAAGCTTTGTACTTTCTTCAAACGGTTAAGAGAGCCTTTTAAGTGCGCGTTTCCCTCCAATTTGAATCTCACATGTCCACAGATTAATCTAAAAATGAATTTTATTCCACTGAAATGTGTCAAAAGAAAATTGAATAAGCCAAAGCTATATGCAGTTCCATGTGCCAGGAGTCTTAGTATATCTGACTCTTGTTTTTAAGACAGGACATCTCACGGGCTACAAACCAAGACAATGTTCTGTCTAGTTTCTTTATGCAATATATAGCTCAAAATGACGCCATATTCAAAACTCGTGTTTCTGACGAGGGTGGCATTTTAGCCATATACGAAAAATATATGAAATATATGAAAATATCTCGCATATTTATGGAATTTTGACGGAACAGTGTATAAGATTATGAACGTATTTTGCAGTCACTTACGATATTTACATTTCGTTTGTAGCTTAGTCACGAATAGGACTCAAATTAATTGATTTCGAAATACAGATAGCGTGTTGTATCAAGAATCTACTTATCTTACTTATGACATTCAGTTCATTTTTGAAAATGGTTTTCATTTCATAGATATCTATCGTTTGATAATATTTTCATTTTACACCGACAGATTGTCATGCTGGCTCCAAAGCCGACATAATTTTTAACCTGGACTCATCCGGTAGTGTTGGAAAGACAAACTTTGACAAGATGCTCGAGTTTGTCAAAGGTATGGTGAAGAATTTCGACATCGGGAGCAACAAAATCCGGGTAGGTTTAACTACCTTCAGTTCAAGACCATATATCATGTTTAATCTTGATAAATATACAGACAAGGCATCGTTGATGGCAGCAATTGACCACATACCTTACAAGTCCGGCGGTACCAATACGGCAGATGCTCTGAAAGAGGTTTATTCCAAGATGTTTACAACGGCTAACGGTGACCGTCCCGGTGTTCCAAACATCGAAATAGTGATTACTGATGGCCGTTCGAACAACCACCCAGCAACCGTAAATGAAGCTTCTATTACTAAGAAGCAAGGAATCGATGTCTTTTCTGTTGGTGTTGGACATGGCATCAGTAAGTCGGAGTTGAATGATATCGCCAGTGATCCGGACAACACTCATGTCATGACTGTTGATGACTTCAGCAAACTGCAACAAATTCAAGGAGCGTTTGCCTCGCAGACTTGTCAAGGTAGGTGTTTTTTGTTTTGTTTTGTTTTTGTTTTTTGGTTTGTTTGTTTGTTTGTTTGTTTGTTTGTTTTTTGTTTTGTTTTTTTCATGAAAAATGTTTATATGGTTCCAGCATTTGAATAGCCTAACTAGAGCATCAGACTTATATGCTATTAAAAATATTGATTTATCATTTCATTGTTTTTCCTTACAGTTTTGTATTCAGCATAGTGGAAAGTAGACAATATGTAAATCATGAAATGCATTATGGACATGAATGCGGTATATTTCTCTTAATATAAGTGAAAGTTTTGTTTGTTGGAAATAAGTTGCACAAGGTACTAAAAACAACTGGCCGTGCGGATATCTAATTGATTTTGTAGTCTATTTTATTCATTACCATTACATTAACAGACGATCATATTTATATATATTGATGTTGTTGATATATTTTATTCATCAAAACTGAATTGCCTACCTTCAACTTTTTTCAGTAATACCACCTTCACCACAGACATTTGTCCCGACTTGTGAGTATTATTCCTGTAAAGAAATTTATTTTATGTTCTTAATTTCGTATGACTTGAATAATACCATGCACTCTTAAACATCAGACATCATTGAATGAATTTATATACCATTTTAATAAAATTATGACATCACCGTATGAAGACTAAAGGTGGGCAAAGAAGATGAATATAGTATAATTTTTCAAGTAAGGGAATTTTGGCCGAATTTTTGAAAACGGAAAGCATTCATTGGGCCAGTTGGGGCGAGCACAAGGGCGGAAATGGGGGTAAATCTTTAAGATTATTTTCCTTCTGTTCGAATCAAGAGAGTATGACCAAGGTTCGCTTAAAGCTCTGTTCGATGAAGTTCGCAACATTCAGTATGAACAAGTGGTCTGGCATCTAATAGGACAATAGGACAGGTGCTATAGGGTAAATGAAACCTTTAAAATCGTTTTTCGTTTTTCGGAGGATTACAACCAAATTTTATCTGTAAAATTCTTTGAAAGAGCATGAATGAAGAGAATGAACTCTCTTAACAACGGGAGAGAATGACATACTTTAATTGGTCTCTTATACTGGTCTTCAGATTGAGATTTCATGATGTCTTGATGAAAGTTTGATGTGAACTAAAAAGGATAAGAGAATTGATTTTGTTTTGTCGATTAAAAGTAAACGTCACTGCCATCATTAAGAACTAAAATGACTTTTGATATGTAGTGTCACCACCTGTGGCTGTTGACCCTTGTCAGGACAAACTTTCAAACTGTGACACCTATGCGAAGAGTTCTTGTGGTGGTATTTACACGCAGTGGGCAACAACGCAATGTGCTCGCACATGTCGCATATGTGATCGTGAGTGTTGTTCTCCTCAAGTGTAGTATTTTGTTATAAATTGTTGCTTTCAGAATAAAAAAGCGGAGGGGTGAATGTTTCAATATTACTGTTATTTGGTGACGACGTATTACTATACAATGAAAATGCTGTGACACCTTCTAATACCCCATTGTTGGGTAAACATTGTGACACCATCTATTACTCCAGTGTTGTGTAAACATTGTGACACCATCTATTACTCCAGTGTTGTGTAAACATTGTGACAAATTCTATTACCCCATTGTTGAGTAAACATTGTGACACCTTCTTTTACTCAAGTGTTGTGTAAACATTGTGACGCATTCTATTACTCAAGTGTTGTGTAAACATTGTGACACCTTCTTTTACTCAAGTGTTGTGTAAACATTGTACCACCTTCTTTTACTCAAGTGTTGTGTAAACATTGTACCACCTTCTATTACTCAAGTGTTGTGTAAACATTGTGACACCTTCTTTTACTCAAGTGTTGTGTAAACATTGTACCACCTTCTTTTACTCAAGTGTTGTGTAAACATTGTATCACCTTCTATTACTCAAGTGTTGTGTAAACATTGTGACACCTTCTATTACTCAAGTGTTGTGTAAACATTGTGACACCTTCTATTACTCAAGTGTTGTGTAAACATTGTGACACCTTCTATTACTCAAGTGTTGTGTAAACATTGTGACACCTTCTTTTACTCAAGTGTTGTGTAAACATTGTACCACCTTCTATTACTCATGTGTTGTGTAAACACTGTGACACCGTCTATTACCTCATTGTGTAAATACCGTGACACCTATTACTCCATTGTTGTGTAAAAACTGTTACACCTTCTATTACTCCATTGTTGTGTAAACACTGTTACACCTTCTATTACTCCATTGTTGTGTAAACACTGTTAAACCTTCTATTACTCCATTGTTGTGTAAACACTGTTACACCTTCTATTACTCCATTGTTGGATAAACACTGTTAAACCTTCTATTACTCCATTGTTGTGTAAACAATGTCACACCTTCTATTACTCCATTGTTGTGTAAACACTGTTAAACCTTCTATTACTCCATTGTTGTGTTAACACTGTTAAACCTTCTATTACTTAATTGTTGTGTTAACAATGTGACGCCTTCTATTACTCCATTGTTGTGTAAACACTGTTACACCTTCTATTCCTCCATTGTTGTGTAAACACTGTTAAACCTTCTATTACTCCATTGTTGTGTTAACAATGTGACACCTTCTATTACTCCATTGTTGTGTAAACACTGTTACACCTTCTATTACTTAATTGTTGTGTTAACAATGTGACGCCTTCTATTACTCCATTGTTGTGTAAACACTGTTACACCTTCCATTACTCAATTGTTGTGTAAACACTGTTACACCTTCTATTACTCCATTGTTGTTTTAACAATGTGACGCCTTCTATTACTCCATTGTTGTGTAAACACTGTTACACCTTCTATTACTCCATTGTTGTGTAAACACTGTTACACCTTCTATTACTCCATTGTTGTGTAAACACTGTTACACCTTCTATTACTCCAGTGTTGTGTAAACATTGTGACAAATTCTATTACCCCATTGTTGAGTAAACATTGTGACACCTTCTTTTACTCAAATGTTGTGTAAACATTGTGACGCATTCTATTACTCAAGTGTTGTGTAAACATTGTGACACCTTCTTTTACTCAAGTGTTGTGTAAACATTGTACCACCTTCTTTTACTCAAGTGTTGTGTAAACATTGTACCACCTTCTATTACTCAAGTGTTGTGTAAACATTGTGACACCTTCTTTTACTCAAGTGTTGTGTAAACATTGTACCACCTTCTTTTACTCAAGTGTTGTGTAAACATTGTATCACCTTCTATTACTCAAGTGTTGTGTAAACATTGTGACACCTTCTATTACTCAAGTGTTGTGTAAACATTGTGACACCTTCTATTACTCAAGTGTTGTGTAAACATTGTGACACCTTCTATTACTCAAGTGTTGTGTAAACATTGTGACACCTTCTTTTACTCAAGTGTTGTGTAAACATTGTACCACCTTCTATTACTCATGTGTTGTGTAAACACTGTGACACCGTCTATTACCTCATTGTGTAAATACCGTGACACCTATTACTCCATTGTTGTGTAAAAACTGTTACACCTTCTATTACTCCATTGTTGTGTAAACACTGTTACACCTTCTATTACTCCATTGTTGTGTAAACACTGTTAAACCTTCTATTACTCCATTGTTGTGTAAACACTGTTAAACCTTCTATTACTCCATTGTTGGATAAACACTGTTAAACCTTCTATTACTCCATTGTTGTGTAAACAATGTCACACCTTCTATTACTCCATTGTTGTGTAAACACTGTTAAACCTTCTATTACTCCATTGTTGTGTTAACACTGTTAAACCTTCTATTACTTAATTGTTGTGTTAACAATGTGACGCCTTCTATTACTCCATTGTTGTGTAAACACTGTTACACCTTCTATTCCTCCATTGTTGTGTAAACACTGTTAAACCTTCTATTACTCCATTGTTGTGTTAACAATGTGACACCTTCTATTACTCCATTGTTGTGTAAACACTGTTACACCTTCTATTACTTAATTGTTGTGTTAACAATGTGACGCCTTCTATTACTCCATTGTTGTGTAAACACTGTTACACCTTCCATTACTCAATTGTTGTGTAAACACTGTTACACCTTCTATTACTCCATTGTTGTTTTAACAATGTGACGCCTTCTATTACTCCATTGTTGTGTAAACACTGTTACACCTTCTATTACTCCATTGTTGTGTAAACACTGTTACACCTTCTATTACTCCATTGTTGTGTAAACACTGTTACACCTTCTATTACTCCATTGTTGTTTTAACAATGTGACGCCTTCTATTACTCCATTGTTGTGTAAACACTGTTACACCTTCTATTACTCCATTGTTGTGTAAACATTGTGACGCATTCTATTACTCAAGTGTTGTGTAAACATTGTGACACCTTCTTTTACTCAAGTGTTGTGTAAACATTGTACCACCTTCTTTTACTCAAGTGTTGTGTAAACATTGTACCACCTTCTATTACTCAAGTGTTGTGTAAACATTGTGACACCTTCTTTTACTCAAGTGTTGTGTAAACATTGTACCACCTTCTTTTACTCAAGTGTTGTGTAAACATTGTATCACCTTCTATTACTCAAGTGTTGTGTAAACATTGTGACACCTTCTATTACTCAAGTGTTGTGTAAACATTGTGACACCTTCTATTACTCAAGTGTTGTGTAAACATTGTGACACCTTCTATTACTCAAGTGTTGTGTAAACATTGTGACACCTTCTTTTACTCAAGTGTTGTGTAAACATTGTACCACCTTCTATTACTCATGTGTTGTGTAAACACTGTGACACCGTCTATTACCTCATTGTGTAAATACCGTGACACCTATTACTCCATTGTTGTGTAAAAACTGTTACACCTTCTATTACTCCATTGTTGTGTAAACACTGTTACACCTTCTATTACTCCATTGTTGTGTAAACACTGTTAAACCTTCTATTACTCCATTGTTGTGTAAACACTGTTAAACCTTCTATTACTCCATTGTTGGATAAACACTGTTAAACCTTCTATTACTCCATTGTTGTGTAAACAATGTCACACCTTCTATTACTCCATTGTTGTGTAAACACTGTTAAACCTTCTATTACTCCATTGTTGTGTTAACACTGTTAAACCTTCTATTACTTAATTGTTGTGTTAACAATGTGACGCCTTCTATTACTCCATTGTTGTGTAAACACTGTTACACCTTCTATTCCTCCATTGTTGTGTAAACACTGTTAAACCTTCTATTACTCCATTGTTGTGTTAACAATGTGACACCTTCTATTACTCCATTGTTGTGTAAACACTGTTACACCTTCTATTACTTAATTGTTGTGTTAACAATGTGACGCCTTCTATTACTCCATTGTTGTGTAAACACTGTTACACCTTCCATTACTCAATTGTTGTGTAAACACTGTTACACCTTCTATTACTCCATTGTTGTTTTAACAATGTGACGCCTTCTATTACTCCATTGTTGTGTAAACACTGTTACACCTTCTATTACTCCATTGTTGTGTAAACACTGTTACACCTTCTATTACTCCATTGTTGTGTAAACACTGTTACACCTTCTATTACTCCATTGTTGTTTTAACAATGTGACGCCTTCTATTACTCCATTGTTGTGTAAACACTGTTACACCTTCTATTACTCCATTGTTGTGTAAACACTGTTACACCTTCTATCACTCCATTGTTGTGTTAACAATGTGACGCCTTCTATTACTCCATTGTTGTGTAAACACTGTTACACCTTCTATTACTCCATTGTTGTGTAAACACTGTTACATCTTTTATTACTCAAATGTTGTCAAAACACTGACACCTTCTATTACCCCATAATTGTGTAAAACCTGTGACACTTTCTATAACTCCATTGTTGTGTTAACATTGACATTCTATTACCCCTTTGTTACGTATATAAGAGTGATTTAGTATTTAATTTCGAATACTCATGATATTCAACTATATGAATATTTGGTCACATTGACCAAAAGCCATTTTCCATTGTGTTATCTTTTCTTAACTCTGCAAAGTTTCAATACGGTAGAGTGTACTTATTTTATCATAATATCGTTATATTTTTGTTTCATGCAGTTCATGTTTTTCTTCAAAATTTTCTTATGATGTTAAACTAACTTAGACACTTTTGTTCCGAAGATCATTTTAAAAAAAACATTGATATTATCCTTGTAGTATTCGGAAGTCTCCATAATTTGCCCTAGTTTGATCGAATGCCACTTTGAATTAAAATTCTATTGATATGTCATTGTTTTCTTTGTTGTAACATAAATATTACCACTAAAACGTAGTAACTGTAATTATGTGTCCATTTGCGTTTATATTAGCCTGCTAAATGAATTATATCAGCTCGATCGAACCTTGTATAAAACATTTTACCGAGTACTGAATACGCAAGTAACTGATATTCAGCAATTATTCCAAAAATAATTTTATCAGCAAAGGAAGAAGCAAATAGGTTGATATAAATATTCCAAATAATAATGTTAACAAATTTGTTCAAATATGCATTAATTCAGTGACTTCAACAAATAACATTTCTATTTCTTATTTACCGCAGCTGCCATTCCAACAGTTCCTCCAGACTGCGTGGACAAACTATCCAACTGTCGGGATTATGATGCGCAGGTGTGCAGTTCCTTCGGACCATGGGCCCATGATAATTGCAGACAGTTCTGTGGTTTCTGTCGTAAGTTAAAATGTGACATCATTATAAGGTTAAAAACATAAAAGTAAAATATAACGTCAAATATACGTGTGGTCGCTAGCGAAGGATTTCTCGTAATATCACTTTGCGTAAGATCTGTATTATTTCCGTCGAATCCCCTTTCCGAACGAATTCCGAAAATCGCACGTTATTATGATATCATAATATTAATACTGTTTAACAGTGTGGTATGAATCACGAAGACAAATTATGCAAAAAGTCAAATAAACAGTCAGGATATTAACATCATTTTTTGTTTCATTTTCGGTTATAAAGCATTTTACTAACTTTGATATAAGCAAACATGACCTTTTTCAATGACGATATAATCTTAAATGTATTTTTTTATTTGTTTTATAAAATGATTGTTCTAAAAATGACAGATTTGTCCCAACAGGTCTACAGCATGTACTGTTGTCTCGATTGTAAACCACACGTCTTTGGATTGCTCATGTTGTACGTAACGAGTTTTATATAAATTGATTTGACGTTTCTTTTTTCCCAGACTTCAATGCTCATGGCGTTAATGGCTACTGTAAGTATTTGTTTAAGATTGTACCGGAAAGGTAAACCTTATGTTTGTCGCAAAGCATTTCCTCTCATCTTTAATTAAAACTTACTTGGAAGGAAATGTCCGTTTTAGTTTAACTACAAAAGGGAATACATTGCTTAAAGTCTGGAAGGCAGGAAGTGTTAGAATGAGAAAGAATAAGAGTTTTGTATTGTATTCTGGTAGTGGACAAATCATGCTACTTGCCTGCTGGTGGCGTTGAGAATGTGACATTGCTTACTTGAATTGACCAATTTTTACACGGCGGATGTCATTGATGAAGCAAAAGACGCTTACTCTTTCGGAACACCTGGTTTAATTCTCTTTGAACTTGTTTTGGAGTCATCGTGTAAATCTATCTTTAGTTCATATTTTCCCCTAGTATTAATGAATTTAAGTTTGAATTATATGGTAATGTTGACAAGTTGATATTTTCTTGATTTTTGTTTACTATATGATGGATTTGGATGAAGAGGATAAAAAATGATACAGAATTGGATATTTCTTTTTTCAGACGGAAAATGTTATTATAATGGAAAGTCCTACACACAAGGACAGACCTGGTCTGATGGTTGCGCCTATGACTGCACATGCGACGATGCCTCAAAGGGGAAATATAGCTGTTATAACAAGTAAGTTAAGCCCCTTTTATACTCGTATAAAGAGATCAAAGGTTATTTTGTTTGAACGGTCAGCATGGAATTTAATTACAGCTTTCTGATTGGTCAAAATATGATTACTTTCGATGCAGTTAAGTTATGACATCGCAAACACAACTATTGCATCCGTTGCCAGATTTGCGAAAATGTCCGGCGTTATCGTCATTTACGACTGCAGGAGTAGGCTTAAGAACATGAAATAAGCTCAGCTACAATAAACGCTTAAACATGTAATTTATGGATGTTATTTTTACTAATAAGACTCCAACCAATTCAATCTTTAATGTACAAATTAATCTTATTGAAAAATTAACATCGTATAATTGTCATCAACTGAATGTAAATATCCAATCGATCAACTTCAGGTTATTAACACTTAATGAAGACGAACCGAAAAGAACAAAATATACATGGCATAAGGAATGTAACTGTTTTTCAAAAAAGAAATTACCATTAGATTTTCTTCTTTAGGTCAAATGAAACAAAGTTTCAAAGAAGTTTTGCAGATACCTTCCCTGGTCTAAGATAAACCAAAATTGTGAATTATGCAGTCCCCAACCACCAGGGGCATGAGGGGTGGGACCAAAAGGGGCTAAAATTTCAAAAATCTTCTTCTCAAACCCCAGATATGGTGGAATCAAATACTACTCATTAATGGTAGCATCTTGAGGTGTTTTACCACAGTTATATTTCCCCGTGCGGAGGGGATTAAGTCAAATATAGTTTATTTAGGAAAATTAAATTTTCAGCATAATTTTTAATTTCCATTGGAAATACTTCAAACCTGGTTAGAATTATGAGTGAAGGATGACGGCTTGATGGTATGCCCATATTCATCTTGAGTGACCCCTACAGGCTGTTTGGCAGCCTGGTGCATCGCATAATAATTTTACAACATACATGTGTTGCAATTGATGAAAGGAAAAGTACCAGAGATTTATCATTTTTGTTTCCAACACATTATCTTTTTAAATATATTATCATCTGGGTTACATTTACATGCTTGTGTATCTATAAAATCGATCTGAAATAATCTTTTGCTGTCCCACAACAATCTTGCATGATCATAAAATGAGAATACTTATTATTTGTGATATTTGAATTTCCCTTTTGTCTGAATCTTTGAGATTTAATTTATCACATAAAAAGGATTTAGGTATTGCACAATATGTTTACATGCATTTCAGACTCGTCAAAAACATTATCAATCCAAAAACCTAAATGATTTTTGTCATTCATAAAGTCGGTTTGAACTCCGTCATGATAATAAACTTTCTTTGAAGGCTGACGTAAGCAAAGACTGTTGTTTCGCCCTCACATCTATAGTGCCGAAATCTGCTATTAATCGACTTGAAAAGTCGACAGAACGTCTAAATAATTTTGTACTAAATCGAAAACTGACTGACTAGCAAAAATACAACATATATTTATTGTGGGGACTTATTGCCATTACCATTTCCAGGTGTCCCTCATACTATAACCTTCCCCCGCAATGTACACTCACCAAAAAAGCTGGAGAGTGCTGTCTACAGCCAGTTTGCAACTTTAACCCGAACTATCAGACCACGAGTGGACAAAGTTTGGGAAATCTGAACGGGATAAGTATGTGCTTGGAATTAATCAATGAAAGTAATCCCTGAAGTCACTCAAAAGTAATTTTATTGTTCTTTTCATCGCCTTTATCTAAATCAACACATAGTGTACATACATTTGAAAAAGATACACATTGAATACTTGTTTAGAAAGCTATATGCAAGACTATAAATACTGATTTCATGTATTTAAATTCATTGAAATACAAACATTGTCATAGTTGTTAATGCTTATTTAATGTGTTTAGATTAAGATCGGCTTTTAATTTAATCTGAAATGGTATTTTTGCGGTTATATTTCTGTATTCGAATATCTATTAATGGTCTAGTTACAACTGGCTGATCGGTAGAAAGTCATCGTGTCAGGTGATGTAGATTCATACCGAGGGCGGTTTACGTTTTTCAGGTAGCTGAAATCATGGACCGTCCTCTTGCATTATAGAAATTTGTTGACTACGGTTACCACCTACATTTTCATAGACTCCGACTTAAAATGACCACTTCACATTCACGAGACACTAACCAAGAGAAATGAATATTCACTTGTTTCTGTAGGTACCTGCCATTACAAGGGACATGAATACTTCCAAGGACAGACATGGCAAGATGGTTGTCAATATGACTGCCAATGTACGGACGCTGGCGCAGGCATGTACAGCTGCCAAGCAAGGTAGGCCAAGCCCCTTTAGAGTGACTAATATAATGTAATGGACGTTAGAAGTGGTCATTATTCTCAATTTCAGTACATCACGAGTATTTTTTTTTTTTTAAATTTGGCACTTTGTGCATTTTGAATAAATGTCCTGTAAATCGTATAAAATAAATTAGCTCACATGGTATTTCAAAGTGAATATAAACTTTTGAAGAATAGAGGTAATCGCAGAATTCACTATCACTGAAAACTGTCAAAATTTCAATAGTTCCATTCAATTCAAGCATAACTCTCCCCTCTCCTCTTATGACAACTCCCCGAACAAATATTCCCTTAACGTAAAACAGTAATACATATTTATCCATGAAGCAAATTGTAAAGCTTAATAGCATTTGTTTTCAATAAAGATAATGTGTTTTCACAAAATTTGGTACTTAATGAACACTTCAAATTTCAAATGTTGGCTTTGAAATGCAAGCCAAAATAAGGCCCAAAAACACCTGTATTATGTAGGAAACGTATGTGAAAAAAAAATCATTGAAGTATTTTTTTAACAGATGAATAAATGTAAATATAAAAATCAACGCTATGAGGTTTCTTCTTAAAGGTGCCCAGTCTACAAGAATCTACCACCTGTATGTCATCTTCAAAAGCTACCCGGAAAATGCTGCCAGGAGCCAACTTGTGACTTTAACCAACAGTATGGAACATTTAACGGTGTTGGGGCTATCAGTGGCAAAGGAGTAGGTCAGTAAAGTGATATTCGGGTTAACAAATCTTCATGTCGATATCATGTAACTTTTATGATGACATATGTTCAATGCAGTGAGTGATAAGTTTTTGAACTGTGTTTAAAGGACTTTTGAATCCAAATACCGACTCGGAATCTGATTAAGACAATTAAGTAAAGAGTTATAATCCATGTACCCTCTAGAAAAATTTAAAGTATTAATTGAGTAGGTAAAAGGGCAAATATTTTCTCCAAAAAAATCTTTAAAATATTTATATACAATTAAACCCGCTTTAAAGCTCAATAAAATAGTATTTGTATCTCTGTATAAAGGAAAACTGTCTTAAAGGGCAATGTTCCTCTATTCCAGAGTGTGGGCTTTAAGTTTACGTTTCACAGTAGTTCAATGATAACTGATTTGAATTGGAATACATTATTTTTTTATGCGTTTTTGGAATTAATTGCAGGTGTGACCCCGACTGCACCTGCACCATGTGTTGACAAAGCTAAGAATTGTAACCTGTATCAAGCAAGCATGTGTACCAGCTCTGGATACCATGAATGGGCAAAGGAAAACTGTGCACTCTTCTGTAATTTCTGTCGTAAGTACAAACTCCCTAAGTTAATGATGTAGATACGTCCTATATCTATGAAACTTACATTCGATTGAACTCAGGATCTACGGACTCGGTTATATTTTTGATTTCCATTCGCTGCATGACAACCGTATTCCATTAAGTATATAACTTTCTAATTTCGATTATTATCTTGGTAAACTATATTTGGTTATTTATTTTTTGGTAACTTAATGACTTTCTAGTGTTTTCAAACATACCTTAGATTTGATAACTGTTATCACAATTTCTTCTTGAAACAAACGTTTGATTTGATATAATAATTTCAGATAGTTGTCATCACCCACCATATCTACCTTGCCTTAGATGCGCGCTTAAGATATTCTATTATATCTTTCATCATCATAACATTTACCTGAGATTACTTTGAGATTTGATCAGCATTCTCTGATAACTGTGATAATCACAGTTTTTACCTAGAATGAGACAACATATCCTACTTTGGAACTAATGGATCTACAGACAGAAAATATTCGAGTCTATCAGTTGAATAACTCGTTGATAAAAAAGCTGAAATAGTATACAAGCATACTTTTTTAAAAACTAATTCTGAAATCATCCATTAGTTTTATTTCTTTGTAATTTGACTGAAAGTACAAAACTGTATATGATGTTATTTCTGACAAAAACATCTGACAAATAATGATGCGGAATAATTATGTGCTGAAAATTGCATTTATTAATGACATAATGATTAAACCAAATATCTAAGATCATTTACTTACTCATGTTTAAGACACCAAAATAATGAGATGGAGAAGTGAACATCTCGAATGAAACCAAAGACTGGTTGAAACTTGTCATTGATGAACGTGTTTAAATTTTGAACACTGTTGTTGATAGAAATTATCGTTTTGTCTGCTGCTGAAACAGATCATTAATGTATTCAAACGCCCCTGTACATAACCATTAATGCCACATACGTGGATTGCAAGTTATGATACAATTTTTTCTCATGTGCCTTTTGAGTAAACTATCATCTATATATTTTTGCGATATGAATTTGGGCGTCTCCGATGCTTGTTAATGTGTCTGGTGGTTCCGTTGTTGTATCGTTTTGGAACATGTAATCGCTAACTTACCTAGTCTGACCAAGACTTATATGGCAGTTTGGTCTCATTCTCCATGTGTTTTTTTTTCCAGTAGACACCTTACAGATATTTCTCTCTTTCATACTTTGCTTTAGTTTAATCTAATTTGAATCTAAATTAAGATCCAGTTTACATATCTTAATGTGTATGCCGTAAAATTAACGAAATCATAAGTAACTGGTTAGTTAATTTCTTATGTTCAATTTATTTCATTCTAAATTTATGAAAACGTTATTTTCGCTGATTTCTTTCAGAGGAATTCACTCAGCCGTTGCCATCAGGTAATTTTTATTTTTGATTGTTGATTTTTTCATTACTTGTTCAGTGTCTTGTTTTCAATATTATCGAAATTATGAATGTGTTTCAAAAAATTCACACATGAAAAATATTGTTTTGCACTAAATAGCAGTTTTCTTTTCCACTGAATATACATCTAGAACTGACTTATAGCTACCGAACTTTTCATATTTCTTGTATCAGTATCAGTAAATATGCAGATTTAGGATGGTAATATGATGCAGTGAAAGCTGTCCTTTATCATTTTCTTACAGAGAAGTGTATCTACAAGGGTGTTGACTATTCCCAGGGTCAGACCTGGTTTGACGGTTGTGACTATGAATGCATGTGCGAGAATGCCAAATACGGATATTATAGATGTAACAAACGGTATGTTGCTGTATTGTAAGGGCACTGTGAAATAATAGATGTTTTTAAATCTAAAAATACTGGATTTTGTGAATAAATAAAATTCCCAAAATCTATACCCTTGCAAAATTTTACTAAATCATGGACTATAACTTCGTAGAAAAAGTACACACGAAAGCAGCGAAAATCAATGGTTTTTGAAGTACATTGTTTCATAAACCTGTACTATGTAAAACTTAATTCCTGCGACGATGTAAAGATAGGAAATAATGTAGAACTCGACAAATTAGCGAATTTTTTAAAGCTCTGATAGAAAAATAATATTTTATGCAACAAATGATCATATCTTAATTCATCAGTTTGATGTTTTGTCTGTTTTCAATGTTCTGAAATAAGATAAAGATACGTGATTGTGAATGAATTGTTGTTTTTGATAACAAACAATAAAAACATATTTTTACATCAGCAACATGCCTTTAAACATATCTACTCATGTCAATAAACTTTGTCATATAACATATTTACTGAATCGTCCTCGGAAAAATCAAATGTCGGATACAGTTGTTGGAGCCAAATGTTTCTTCAAGGGATGTTTTGGAACTACATTTATATGCTGCGATATCGACAGCAACACAGATGAACTGTAAAAATATATCTAGTGGAAGCAGAAAGCAATATTACAAGTATAACTTGTACCATATACATATTGTGTTAGATACCGTTTTTCAATTCAAAATTATAAATAGGAAATTTCTAATCTATTTGCCTTTTTATCCTGATTTCATTACGAGATATTATTAAATTCGGCATTTCCAATTTTTAGATGCCCAGATTATGTAAACCTGCCGCTTAATTGCAATCCTGTGAAAGTTAAAGACCAATGTTGTCAACGAATACAGTGTGATGGCGGACAGGGTTCATTCATAGGGTCTTCTACTGTCTCTGGAGTAGTTGGCAATTATCCCATACCCAACCTTCCTTCTGGTACCAGTGGATCCACAGGACCCGGGGGACTTACACCAGTTCCTGGGGGGCCGTCTCAGGCTCCAGGTCTCAACTCAGGTGGCGCCTCCAGTATTCCAATGAGAGTTGGTGTGTAGCATTTGTCTTTGTGGAAAAATATTTTTTGCGAAACTTGGTATTCAACTAAATATTTTTACCTGTATTCCATGAATAAAGCCTCGACTGAATCTCTAGTAGAACGTTAGGGGTATAGATTGTTAGAGTAATTTATCTAACATAAAAAATGCCGGTATAAATAGAGACTATAGCAATATTATGAAAGAATAACTACAATTTAATTTCAGATGGTTGTTATGTCAAGGGGAAGCTTTACCAACAGGGTCTGCGATGGACGGACGGATGTCAATGGACGTGTGTCTGCGAAGATGGCAAAACTGGACGATACCGATGTCAGCCCAAGTAAATTCAACCAATTTTAGTAGCATTCAATCAATTTGAACCTAATTCGTTCAATTATGTTCCTTTTTATATTACAAATATTACAAATGGGAGGGCAGGTAATATGTTAACATGACGCTATCATTTATTCCGAAATATAAATTTAAAATTTTGTCTGGTAAATCATAAACTTTGAACATAATTTGCATATTTCAGAGGTGTTTCATAGTCAGAGAGTATTTTGGCAATTACGCAGTAATACGATTCTGATATATCTACCTTCGACGCTCGTTTTAGATACTACGAAAACAAAGAAAAAGTCACGTAATAAAACAATGAATTGTGTTTTCCAAGTGTGAATGAAACGAATTAGATAATTTGCATTTCGAAGAAAAACATATATTTGATCATGTAAAAAGAAGAAGCCGAAACATTTATCTTCCTTACTTTGTGTAGATGCCCCGATTTTAAGAATCTACCGGTCCAATGTGTGTTGCAAGAAGATCCAAAAGATCCATGTTGCAAAGTACCCACATGTAGTAATGGAGCCAATGGACAACAGGTACACATACCAGTTCCTAGCTACAAACCAGGGTACTCGGGTTACGGCACTGCTGCTCTTCCACAGACAGTAGCATCTGGTGCCTATGGACCTGGTCCAACTAGTTCTGGAAGACCTTCTTCGTCATTCACTGGTCTTAGTGCTGGCCACACTGTTGTTGGATCGACTGGAGGTAGGTATCGTATGAAAAATGTCAAATTTTATAGTACAAGAACATGGGTTATGCATGTCAACGTTTTTGTACGCACCGTCGAAGATGACACATACATATTTTAAGTTTTTTTATAATGTGTGTGAAATACTTAAGAATAAATTATTGTGAGACACAAGAAGCTGAAATTCCTTCGGATTTACGTGCGCCTTGTCATTTATGAATATGGAGACACGTAAACATTTTCAACAGTCACTGTCACCTAGTTTGTTACCTACCCATGATAAGATACAGATATCAATAAAGCATGTTAGCGTTACTTCATCCTTCGCGTAGGATACTAATTTGGGATTCCTCCTTCCGTGCGTCCACCCTGGAGGCTTTATCCGAGCTACAACTTAAAAACCTTTCAACTGATCTCAGCGACAAAACTTTGTGTATATATAGCAGGCCTAGTGCCTAGGTGTTTTTTTTGACAATATATGTGTTACAATGGAACTAAGTAAGACGGACAAAATTACTGTTTGCAGACTTTTTCGCTCTTTAACTTGAAAACTGTTCAGTTTATGCCCACTTTTAAACATCAACAACAAGGGATGTTCAAAAGCTTTTAGACTCCTCCATCATTAAAAGTAACACGCATTTGGCTGCAGTTTAAACGCATTGTTTTAACTTGTAAAACGTGTTAGGTTGGTGACTGATAGAAATCTGATGACTAGAGTTGGAGCTGATATTTATTTCTATCGTCTTATTTAGGAGGATGTATTTACAAAGGGGTCGTTCATCACCAAGGAGACTCTTGGGACGATGGATGTGACTTCCGGTGTGAATGCTTGGACGCTCAACAGGGACAGTACAGATGTAATGATAGGCATGTTTCAACGTTTCCTTTTACGTCAATCTGCTGTATAACGCGAATTTAATGATATAATCGCCTTTTTTGTTGTTTTTGTTTGATTGCTCGACTTGTTTATGTTACATGATTTTATCAAAACTTTGGTATATAAGAGTTTTTAGTCTGACGTATGATTTCTATTACGTAGATGCCCGAGCATGATGAACCTCCCAGCACAATGTACGAAGATACCTGATCCTGCCGATCATTGCTGCCAGACATACACCTGTGATTTTTCACAAACCGTAACGACGCCACCACCATTTTATGCCAGAACAACACCACCTACAGGTGGAGGTGAGTACAGACGATCCACTCTTTTAATATCGTTTGTTTGTAATACCAAGAAATGATGGGTATACTGTTTACATCAGGCAACATGTCTACATCGGGTATTAAATTTAACGTACCAAAAAGTAACAGTTTGTAGCATGTAAGTGTTAAATCCCCTCCCCCTCGATGTACATTTATACACATGATGTTACAGAAATAGCCTTCAATTGTTTTTTGTCCACTAGCTGGACTCCCTGCTCAATTGAATTGCCGGTTTTGGGGCAATTTTTATTAACCGTATATCTATATCGTTTTGACTTCCGTATTTTGATTAAAGGTAGGACATGTTGCTGTTGTAAAGATACTAAAAACATGACAAAAAATGCGAAAACGTTGTTTATATTATCATAGAGTATGACAATGAAAATGCTCTTTTATATGAAATTTGTTTCAGATTACTGTGTGTACAAAGGTTTGTATTACAACCAGGGCGAGCAGTGGGATGACGGCTGCAGCTACAAGTGTCGCTGTGAGGATGCTAGGAACCACTATCACCAGTGTACCGATAGGTAAGAACTATCAATAACTACGTTTTAAGTCGTGCAATATATGTTCATTTGTAAAATCAGTTTTAATTTGCCAATAAAATATGCTGATACCTTTTGAATAACTAAACACTTTATTATTGAAATAAAAGTAATTAACGATAGTTAATATGATATACATGGTAATGAAACCAAAAAAAAAACCATCCAAACCAGTAAATGAGTAACGGAATATCACGACTTTGTATTCCTCTACAATGTTCCTGGTAATTTGAATTTATGAAGGCTTATCTTCATGGCCTATTTCTCAAGAGATGACTATTTTTCTCAAATGAAAATTCATTAGATGGATCACCCAAGGGAAAAGATGCCGATAAAAGTGAGGTTTTCCGACCAAAAATTCGTTGGCCTTTATAAGTATTCAAAGATATTAGTCGTACTATTCCAATATGGACACGTAATAGTAAAAAAAAAATTTTTTTCAAAAGGTGCGCTCGGTTTGACAATGTGCCTCTTGGCTGTTCATTTGTTCCCGACACTAAGGATCCTACTTGTTGTCGTGTACCCCAATGCTCTGCATCAATGGGTGGCCCAGTCTTAGGGGGCCAGTCAATGAACCCAACTGGATTCGTTGGATCCTTAACCGGATATGGCAAACCGCCCAGTGCTGGAAATAATCCCAATATATCTCAAACCGGATACGCAAGTATGAAAAATGGATTAAGTCTGTTTGGATTTCAGTTAAGTATGATGTATGGTCATATAGAAATTAGACGGATTCCAGTTGTATTGTTAACCAATTTGGCATTGCAACAGCGCAATAAGGATGCTATTTTTACATTATAATGGGCAAAACTGTGTGATGTCTCTACGTTTTATTTCTCCTCATGTTTCATACCTTATTTTCCATTTGCTAATTTTATCATGAATCATTTAATGATAATAATAATGTTATTACGTTAGTTTTTTTCATCGTCAATATACTAAAACTAATGAATTTATTTCTAGTTCTCGCCATTGATCAATATTGTAGGAGCGTGTATCTACAAGGGTCAAATATACCAACAAGGACAGACCTGGCAGGATGGATGCGATTACGACTGTGAATGCACCGACGCCACAAAGGGCATGTACAGGTGTACGGACAGGTAATTAATGCATGAAAACACGTGTACAACAAGACGTAGCTTGAGAGTGCCAATAGGTATGACATACGGGAGCAGGTGAGGTGTATGATAATCACTGGATGCGCTAAATGTGAACCGAAATGTTACGACTAGACATATTTAAGTATGAAACAGATAAGTTTATTTGCTTATATCAAATATATTTGAGCATTTGTGACGTTATGAGATAAGCCTACCATGGCCAAAATGGAAGTAATCACTGCCCTTAAATGCGTTAACGGAACAAATAAAATACCTAAATGTTAAATTCAAAATCAAATTGATGAAACTAGAGCAAAATATGCACAAGAGAAAAATTACATAAATATTACAAATAAAACAAGATTTTCTGGAAGAGTAGACATCTTATAACCTTACAAACGACACCCGTCGCGTAAATGCAGGTAAGTAATGGCTCAATCTCAAATGAGAAGATGATTTACAATTAAGAAACCGCTTGGCATATGAACGAGCATCAAGGTGGTAGATCAAACTCAAAGCGAACACAGAAGGAGAATATTTCCAAACTTGTAAATTATGGCGACCGAAAAAAAAAACGCAAAATATTCATCTTCACTTACCTACATCTCTCGGAACCTTAAACGTGGCATTACTAAACAGCTACGACAACAGACTTCAGGGAAATATCAATGGCGACGGTACTAGTCTAAAAATAAGAAATGAATGTTTTATTACATTGTGGCGTCTCCTAGTAAAAAAATTTAACGAATAGCACTGTGTATGATGTCGGTATTCAAATTGTGTCGGTCTCTAGGCTGTAAAAGCTTAGCAAAAAAAAATATTTTTCACGACACTTTATTGGCATTTTAGTGAGGTGGTTACAACAATCTTGGTAGAGAAAGTTTTGCTAACATATGGGAAAATATGTACCGAATTTTCAGGAAATATTGATGGGCTGTAAGGGGCAAATGTAGAAATACAAAACGTTTGAATGATAGACGTAACGCATAATAAAATATAGGTGTCACCCAAGTAAGATAAAGCTATATCAAAGTGTAATATATTAATCTGCTAACAGTATTGAGATTTAATAGACTGAGTTATAATGGAGAAAACAGGGTAAGTAATATGTTATCTAAAGCCAACAGCTTAATGAAACTATAGGTATACAGGAGTCTGGTTCACCGCTGTACCAATTGTTGTAGATATACGTGTTATTGAGCATAAATGTTTACTTATACCTATATACATATGTTATTAATCAAAAACCTGTCGTGTACAACACATGAAGTGTTTTATTAAACATGATTTATAATTCCAAAGGATTATGAAAATGGAAACAGATTCGTAACAGATATTTTGAACCTTGTTTTTTCCTCCATTATGAAGAGCCAAGTTGACAACAAAATGGTATTCAAGCAATTATCGTTACGTCGATTCCACGAGGCCAAAAATGCGTGTTACAATGTTCAACATGTACATCGCTCCCTTATAGGTGTCCCAGATTTGGCCAGCTTTCCAATAATTGCCATTTAACATCAGACCCTAACGACCGATGCTGTCAGAAAGCTGCATGTACACCGGTAGGTCCTGCCCAATGCAGGAACAAGTTAGCGCATTGTGAAAATTACGGACAATACGCCTGTAACGAACCGTACAAGGAATGGGCGAAGGAGAACTGCAACCAGTACTGTGGATTCTGTGGCAACACCGGTAGTATATACTTCTATATTATTTTTTCCTGTCTTACATGGTCAAGGTGATCATACAATGATCAAAATTTGATTACAGGAATTATTCTGTCAATATACTGATATATAAAGATAGGATATACATGATATTTGAATTATATTTGCGCTATTAACGAAAGAAGAATGGCTCTACCTTTACCTCCTGCATCAACTGAATGACGCAGAGATTTTGCACTACTTTAGCAATGTGACAATAGTCTTACTGTCAATACAGAGGTAAATATATTCAGTGATGCACAACTTTTTAGCAACTGAGTCATATATTTTCAAAGAACTCAATTTTTCAAACAATCACACGTTTTCGTGAGCACTCGATTTCGAGAATTAGCAGAACGTGTTCTAGTCCTTAAGAAATTGATCAGCACCGAGAACATACAAATGTTCGACATTTAATTAATTTATGGACATATATATTTTCGAATTAAGACAACCAACTAATCAATACATATACTATCCTATAATGTAATTCAAGGAATTTCGTACTTTTCAATATTGATTGAAAAGGAATGTAAAGTACAGTTGTATGTTAAGGAACTGTGGCACTATCCATAGGAGATTAAAAGTGGTAGGCAGAAGCATGCTGTTCATATTTTATTCAATGTACATTTTTCAGCCAACGTAATGAACATCATCTACAAATGTAAATAAAGTGAAAGTGTTAATATCAGTATAACAGATTGTGTTAACCTGTCCTCCCAACATTCATAAAACGTTGCCCGTAAAAACATAATTCTTAGCAAGTGAAGATGTTCCTAAAAAGCGCGCTCACTGTTGTTGTAGGAGTGACAACGACCGTCAGCACTGCTTGTGTTGATCGTTTACCCAATTGCAAGGATTACGGAACGGATAGTTGCATAGGACAATACATAGGATGGGCCAAGTTTAATTGTCCAGTAACTTGCAACTATTGTAGTAAGTAAAAAATCTTGTCCTTTTTCCAATAATTATGCATACTTCAGTATTACGGCAGTGTAGATACAATAATCTAGTATACATTTGTCTTACTTCAAAGGCAACATACTGTTTAATTGATAAAAGTCGTTCTGCTTATGGTTCGCTACCGTCTTGTTCCCAAATATTAAATTTTGCTTATATCTATGCATTGATATACGTGTATTTCGTAATATAATATTTTTATTGTTGTCAAATGTTTGCGGATTACTTAATTTCGCGTTATCCTTGATAACCAAAATTCAATCGCTCATGAATATTACAACTTTACAGTATGTGTAGCATGATGTCTCCAAATCGTCAGTAATGCAAAATGGCGTATGGTTTTCACGACAAGAGTTTTGCAGCCTGTTCTGAACATATTATTCATCTGAGATATTATAAGGTTTTTGTAAATCTATTTCGCTACCTCTGTCGTCGCTAACATATATTTATCATGGATGATTTCATTTCACCAAAAATCGCTGAACATTTTTCCTTGTACAGTAGAATCGCAATCGCAAGGTAAATGTATCACTACGTATCAGCACTTCTTTAATTCATAGATATGTTCATATTCGTAATTAGTAATACACTACTGCTTGTACGGAGATCAGAATAGCAGTTCAGTAGATATTTGTTCTTCTACATGCAATGTGACCACATCAATTAACTTCAATGACATGGACCGTTTGGTTACTGAAATTTCAAAATATCAGTAATTTCTTGGATGTTACCGCAATTACGTCTTTTCTAATTCTAGTAATGCACTACACAATTTGTGATCGGATGGACTGTAGACAAATCAGGAAAGGGTGTTTTAGTGCCAATTTTGTCTTTTTAGCTCCTTTGTCTGTAAGTCGGACAGACTAGGAAAGAGAAATATTTGTTCTAATCAACAGAATAGTTTCACATCATAATTTGATATCAGTAAACACCTAACGGGAATAGGATTGGGGGGGGGGGGGATATTTAACGACAATATCAATAAAGCATAATAACATTTCTTCACTCACATAGATACAGGAACTGGGACTGGAACTGGAAGTGTAGGACCAGGAACAAGTGGATCTGGGCCGAGCGGAACTGGTAGCACAGGGACTGGAACAGGAACTAGTGGCTCAGGACCGAGTGGAACTGGTAGCACAGGGACCGGAACAGGAACCATCGGGTCAGGGCCGAGTGGAACTGGTAGCGTAGGGACCGGAACAGGAACCATCGGGCCAGGGCCGAGTGGAACTGGTACTAGTGGCACTGGTAATGTTGATAAACAATGATATCACATGAAAGTATGAATTTCTTTCTTTCTTCTAGACTCGCATTATAAGTTTGTTTCATCCTTCTTTTATGAAAAATAATATTTTATGGTCAAGAAAAAACGGTAAAATGACATACATCTATTCAATCTATATATTTCACCATGTGTGATGTTCTTTTATTGTTTGTTTTTTGTTGTAGGTAGCGGAAATTGCAAGGATTCTATTTCCAATTGCAAAGATTACACAAGAGCATCCTGCGTAGATCCCTACGCGAGCTGGGCATTAACTCATTGTCCCCACTTCTGTGGGCTCTGTGGTCAGTTAAATACCGTATTGTCGCCAACATCCTGTCATTTACAATTCAATATCTACTTTCCAAATGTTTTACGATATTTGCAAGCACAGGTACCTAACAATTTCTGTTGCGCTCTCTGTATATTGATGATTTTACACGGGTGTCGATTTTGATGTGGAAGTTATATGGTTCAATGATTTGATACGTGCATGTCATAAAACTCATCAAATTATTTAACAAGTTCAATAGACTCCATGTTACATCAGCACCATTGTAGGAACCTATTGATTAAGTAACCCTAACCTCTGAGAAATAAACAAAAACTCTCAAATTGAATTCTTCGTATGGCGAACTTAATTCAAAATCGTTATACGTTTTTCAATAACGAGACAACTGTGTGTGATGTCATCAAGAGGTGACCTTTTTATGATATCAGAAAATTGTTATCATACACGTATGACAAGGCCGTATGAAATGTCACAACTGACCAGTTTTGTAATAAATTAATATATTTCTAAACATCTTCTCAGATCAACTTACGGTAAGTGGAACTCAGGGAGGCGGATTTTCTGGAACAGGACAAGGTGGCATCGGAACTGGAACTCAGGGAGGCGGATTTTCTGGAACAGGACAAGGTGGCGTCGGAACTGGAACTCAGGGAGGCGGATTTTCTGGAACAGGAACTAACGCAGGCGGCACTGGAACTGGAACACAAGGCGGAACAAGCGGATTTGTAACGTCCTATCCAAATCAAGGATTCACTGGACAAAGTATTTATTAATACTGAACCTTGTGGTGTTAAAAATAATGTCATTTTACAACTTTTAGTTATTAATTCTCCGATTGATCAAAACCTTTCTTCTTTAAACTTGAGAACTTGAAATTTCAGATGTTGACAGCTGTAAAACCACAGATTTATTTTTACAAGTACACGTAATATCCCCCTTTTTTGCATTTTCGATAGTACTATGCAACACGTTTTGTTTTATACACACAAAGTTAAATTTGTATATTTTTTCCTTCCTGTCGCTTTTTCAATGTTTCAATATACTTCCTGCTACTAATTTCTTAATGACATTTGTTCAGTAACATTGCTTTTGTTCTAGCTGGTGGTTGCTACTATAAGGGGCAGTTGTACAGCACCGGACAGATTTGGCAGGACGCGTGCTTATACAATTGCTCATGCACAGACGGCATTCGAGGACAATACTACTGTACACAGCTGTATGTTATTCAAACCTTTTAATACTTTAAATAGAAGGATCTTAAATGCGTTTTCATTTCGTATGCGATTTGATGCAGTAAGTCTTAGAACGTTTTATTTTTCTAACCTCGGCAAGCAAAATCTAAAAGCTCGAGACAACTTGTATAAAACTGTATAAAACATATGAAATCAAAACAAATGAAGACATCTTTAATCATTTAACTCATAAACTTTCATTTTTTTTTTGTCATTTTCAATAGTGGCGTAATGCCATTGTCCGTATTAAGACACCACTAAATCTTTCTGACTGGCACAGCCAATGAAAACCGCTCCAGAGTATATCAAAATAGTGACATCTACGCAAAAATATATTGACGCATTTACTTGCGGATTATGTTATACAAGCATTTATATCAATATCAAATTTAAGGAAAGTAACATTTTTTTTCAAATAATATCATGAATGCTTCAACATGCTAAAGTATCTTAACAATAATGTGATTGATTTGATCCAAATGATGAATGAATATCGGTAAGTTATTAATAAGGAAGTGGTCTATATTCTGTATTCATCATCAACCCTTGGTTATTAATCCATCCCTTAGCTATCTACTTCTGAATACCATTTAACCGGTTATTTTAAAAGGACGATATCTTCGCTATTTCGCGGTACATTAACGTGCCGCGAAAATTTTATTCGTGAAATAATGAGTCACGTGTGCTTTAAATTTTCTTTAACATCAAGGTCGCGAAATTTTTATTCTTTGAAACATAATTCAACCGTTTTGTCTGATAATTGCAAAAAGTTTCACCCGTTGAAATTACCAGCTATACGGTAGCTAAAACACTTGTTGGTTACTTTGAAACTAGTCGTAGTTGAGACCAGTTTGATAAACAAAACACAACATTATTTATCTAATCAGTTGATATTGAAAATATTCCTTGTTAAAGTAGTCTTTTCATCTTTTGGATTATGGTCATGGTGTATGTAATTTTTTACATTGATTATTTTCTCACTGAACGGAAAAAAAGACGATGGGTAAATTTCGAAATCTATCATCAAATTTCAAAAAAGAATTTGTAAAAAATCCATGAAATTCTGATATATGAATAAATGTCATTCAACTCACAAATACAAGTATAACACTATTTCAAAAAGAAAGAAATAGAATTACACAAAATAAGCAGTTTCCTCTATTCTTTTCTTAAACAGAGAAATGGCAAGGCTCTAGCAAATAACAGGTTTCACAGTAATTTTTACTATATCATATCTAGATGTACGCAGTATACCAATATTCCCCAAGGATGTACCCTTCAGAAGTCGCCAGGTGAATGTTGTGCGCAGCCAGTATGCAACGGCGGAGGATCTTCAACCGGAAGCGGCGGTACAGGAACTGGGTCTCAAGGCTCTATCACCGGAACTGGTGGCACGGGATCTGGGTCACAAGGTTCTTTTACCGGAGGTGGTACTGGTTCTGGTACAGGTGGTCAATATACAGGTAATTGTAGTTGTGAACTGTTTTGTATTTCTTTTTTTTTTGTTCTGTTCCAGTTTTGTCATTTTAATGTGAGTGGTTTGAGTTGAATGGATTTCAGAATAAACTCGATTTTTCTTTTGGTATACCTGCGATGTTATAGTACTAACATTAAAGTATAATGCAATTCCAGTTTTCACCAACGGCAAATCCTTATTCATGATTACAGTGTATGGTGTAATAACTTGAGGTGGGCATGGGTAGGAGAAACACACAGGGGCGTGTACTTGATTAGTCATATTCATTATTCTTCCTTTGATGGTTAAGATGCACTGATTTGATACATTCAATATTTTCCCTTGCTTTTGTTTATTCATCTCTCTTAACTTTTTTTCATTCAATCGCTAATTTCTTCATGAGCATATTTTCATTACATATAGTTATTGATTTGCCCATGCCATTATTTGATGAAATCATTCAAATGACAAAATCACGTTATATTGAGAAAGTGAAAAAAAATTACTGAAGATTATCATTTTTGTTGTTCGTAAAAAATATGTTTAGCTGATAAGTTATACAATGAAGTTTTATTATTTGTTTTCTAGAAATAAATGATAAATTTACCATGACGCTTAATGTCTTGCAGGCCAATCTCGAGGTTGTTATTTCAACAACGTACTGTATTCCCAAGGACAGACATTCGATGACGGATGCACGTACATATGTACGTGCATGGACGCAAGTCGTGGATACTACACGTGCAAAAACAAGTAGGGATCTTTATATGAGTTTGTTGACTTAGAATACAAAAGTGATAATTGACATTGCCATGCTTCGATACTGACATGATTAGACACGTTATTGTTTAATCCTTGTTACATAATGTGTTTTTCATGCTAATATTTTATATCACAGTTCTATTTAGAAATGTATTATGTTTAGTCAAGCTTGGCGGTGTCTATGTCATTGTTTTAAATTTCAATCAAAACAAATCTTTATATAATCAAGTTGTATGTAACCAAGTTTTATGGGGTATGTAATCAAGTTTTATGGGGTATGTAATCAAGTTTTATGTTGTATGTAATCAAGTTGTATGTAATCAAGTTGTTTGTTGTATGAAATCAAGTTGTATGTTGTATGTAATCAAGTTGTATGTTGTATGTAATCAAGTTGTATGTAATCAAGTTGTATGTTGTATGTATTCAAGTTGTATGTAATCAGGTTGTTTGTTGTATGTAATCAAGTTGTATGTAATCAAGTTGTATGTTGTATGTAATCAAGTTGTATGTAATCAGGTTGTTTGTTGTATGTAATCAAGTTGTATGTTGTATGTAATCAAGTTGTATGTAATCAAGTTGTATGTTGTATGTAATCAAGTTGTATGTTGTATGTAATCAAGCTGTATGTATTCATGTTGTATGTAATCAAGCTGTATGTTGTATGTAATCAAGATGTATGTATTCAAGTTGTATGTAATCAAGTTGTTTGTTGTATGTAATCAAGTTGTTTGTTGTATGTAATCATGTTGTATGTAATCAAGTTGTTTGTTGTATGTAATCATGTTGTATGTAATCAAGTTGTTTGTTGTATGTAATCAACATGTATGTAATCAAGTTGTATGTTGTATGTTATCCAGTTGTATGTAATCAAGTTGTATGTTGAATGTAATCAAGTTGTATGTAATAAAGTTGTATGTTGTATGTAATCAAGTTGTATGTAATCAAGTTGTATGTTGTATGTAATCAAGTTGTATGTAATAAAGTTGTATGTTGTATGTAATCAAGTTGTATGTAATCAAGTTGTATGTTGTATGTAATCAAGTTGTATGTAATAAAGTTGTATGTTGTATGTAATCAAGTTGTATGTAATCAAGTTGTATGTTGTATGTAATCAAGTTATATGTAATCAAGTTGTATGTAATAAAGTTGTATGTTGTATGTAATCAAGTTATATGTAATCAAGTTGTATGTTGTATGTAATCAAGTTGTATGTAATCAAGTTGTATGTTGTATGTAATCAAGTTATATGTAATCAAGTTGTATGTAATCAAGTTGTATGTTGTATGTAATCATGTTGTATGTAATCAAGTTGTTTGTTGTATGTAATCAACATGTATGTAATCAAGTTGTATGTTGTATGTTATCCAGTTGTATGTAATCAAGTTGTATGTTGTATGTAATCAAGTTGTATGTAATCAAGTTGTTGTATGTTGTATGTAATCAAGTTGTATGTAATCAAGTTGTATGTTGTATGTAATCAAGTTGTATGTATTCAAGTTGTGTGTAATGAAGTTGTATGTATTCAAGTTGTATGTAATCAAGTTGTATGTTGTATGTAATCAAGTTGTATGTAATCATGTTGTATGTAATCAAGTTGTATGTTGTATGTAATCAAGTTGTATGTTGTATGTAATCAACATGTGTGTAATCAGGTTGTTTGTTGTATGTAATCAAGTTGTATGTAATCAAGTTTTATGTAATCAAGTTGTATGTAATCAAGTTATATGTTGTATGTAATCAAGTTGTATGTTGTATGTAATCAAGTTGTATGTAATCAAGTTGTATGTTGTATGTAATCAAGTTGTATGTAATCAAGTTGTATGTTGTATGTAATCAAGTTATATGTAATCAAGTTGTATGTAATCAAGTTGTATGTTGTATGTAATCAAGTTATATGTAATCAAGTTGTATGTTGTATGTAATCAAGTTGTATGTAATCAAGTTGTATGTAATCAAGTTGTATGTTGTATGTAATCAAGTTGTATGTAATCAAGTTTTGATGTTATTGAATTACATCAGGTAGTTTGACACTTTAATCAGATTTAGGATGTTTAGATTTGTAATCTTCAATTAGTTATGAAATATAAGATTACTCTCCTCCAAGGGAATGGGCTAATATTTTCATGTTTAAATATTAGAAACACGAGTGAAATATATTTGATTTTCCTGAAGACACTATTAGATATTCTAATTATTATATTTTCACAGCCAAAATAGCAAAATTACTAGCATGTTTAGAATTAATATGAAACCAGGAAGCGGACTTAGTTTTACGCGGACACTACTCACTCATTATAACTTCGGTGTACTCGACAAAATGTGGTCCGTTTAGAAAAAAAAATAGTAAAAATATGTAAACACAAAAATAAAATCCAAAATGTAATGGTATTGTAAAAAAAGAAACATATTGTGATGTCGATTCGGCAATTCATGCTTTAAACGAGACATTAACATTCTCTGTTGTATGATATGTTAAAAATATCAAAATGCAACCTAGACCATATCAAAATGTAATAAAATAAAGTAATAAAAAAAACCGATGTACGGACCTGTAGTCTGAGAGAAGGGCAATGCCTATTAAGTCATATGCTTCAGCTTCAACGTGAATTGAAATGACAATTGAAAAGACATCAGATACCCATCAGCTCTCTTCACAAGGAAATAGAATAATACATTGGTAATGTACGTCAGTAACGTTTCAAATGAAACGCTTTATTCACGAAAAACATTTTGATTTTATTAAAGTTTAAAACATTAACTGTAAAACAACCGTAACGTATACAATTTTTCAATTAGTTACATGTTGTAAAAAAATCTAGAGAAAACTGATATATCAACATTAGAATCGATAAAAAACAACGGCCAATATCATGAAAAGACACAAATAGAATATAAACAGATGTCCCAAAAGGATGTGCGTCTTAATTTATATCGAAAACATCCGCCAAGCATATATATACAATCCTGCCTATGAAATATAATGTTATTAAAACACGAAACACGTTAGTAACAATAACAATTTCGAAAACTGAACAGATCTGACTCCAAATCATAAAAAATACAATGATGATAAAACTGCCCGTCAAAATATTCTATAGCGTTATATTTCGATAATGTATGATTTACTTTTGTGTATTTTAGGTGTGTTAACTGGAATCTTCCCTCTGCCTGCCACTTGAATCCTCCTGTTCAGGGTAAATGCTGCAAAACTCCCAGCTGTCCTCCCGGATATACTATCAATTATCCCCCTGGATACGTAGAGCAGTGAGGAATATATTGCTTGTTCCACTAATCATTATGTGTTGTAATACAATATAATAAAAGCTGTTTTTTGTAATTGGATGATTTTGTTTATATTTCACAGCAAATTCTCGTCTCGTTTTTATTTCTTTATATTTCACTTTTTCATTTCTTATTTCTTACATTTATTTTCCGCTATTTGAAAACGTCTCGGAAAATTCAGTACCAATATAAGAAAAAAGGATCTATGTGTAAGTATCATGTAAATTCAGGGGGATGCATTGTTGCTTATTGGCATAAAATTAAATTCAAATGATGTAATTTCAGAATGTTGTCACGGATCATAATAGAAATGGAAAGCGGACGAAACTCCTGGGCTTTGCAAAACATATTCTTATGGTATTAAACTTACACATATTGCAAGTGCTGATGGAATATATAATCAATTCTGTATTTATTGAAACAATGTTTCTTGATATTTACGTGATAACTACGTTGTTCCTAACAATTAACATAATCATCAGTTAAAATACTATCCTTACAACCAAAGAAACATGTTCTACATGTTTGTACGGCTATATAAAAGCAGATTTGCATAGATTGTTACCGGTTAGAACATAGTTTATATTTTTTGGTTATAATACTGTCATATTCATGAGAGAAATGAACAGCCGAAACGTTTTCCGTTGTAACGATCCTGCGTGTATTATGGATTAGCAGCCCTTGATTGATATGACAAGGAAACAAGCGGCCAAGGTCTTTCGTTGGAGAACCAGTCATTAACACACATATCAATGTCATAACATTAACTCGAAAATGCTAAAAAAAATCTTAATGGAAAAAAGGTAATTCTTAATCAAAATTGATAGAGTTGGAGCATAACACGAACATAGGAATCTTAAAAAAAAAAGAAAAAAACAAGAGAAAGAATAAGGCCATGCTTTCCGGAAGGATAGGCGTCTTCTGCTTCATCGACGGCTTTCGTAATATAAATCTTGGTCAACCTAAGGAAGTAACGTCGCTTTTAGAAATAGAGCAAGTCTTCCAACGATACAATACATGTCATACTAGTTAGTATCGAACAGATTTAATCTCAAATTGAGCAAGAAACTAGGAAATTTCCCGATGAAGTCTTCGTGGCGACCACAAAATCTCCAATAGTCACCCCATTATCATGTGGAAATGAGATATTTTGCGCAAATTGCAGTCATTTAAGAAACAGATATATTTATATATCATACCTATGTAATGACAAGTTTTCAGACAATATCTTAAAAACGCTATTTCTAGGCCATCAGCATTTAACCAGCCGAAGGTATGATCGAGACATTTGAAATCATTGTTTTTATAGCCTTTGTGTATAGTTCTTTATATGTGAGGTAACTTGTGTAGAATTTTTGTCTTAATAAAGGAGTTGATTTCCTCGAAAGTTTGACCATTTGTCCATACTGTTGTTAATACTTCATTCATTTTATATGAAAAAAATGATGACGTAAACTGATTACATGTATATTAATATATACTCGGCGTCAATGAAAACGCAACACCTTTAAATTACTGTCAAAATTTACCAGTTATAGTTTTGAATACAATATTTAATAAAATACCTAAAAGTTGATTATGTCCATAACAAAATTCACTCAATGCAATCAGCACTACATCATGGGAATACTTTGATTTCCGGTGACTAATGTCCATACGCCCAAAATCAAAATTACCACGTTCAATATCTAATGTGGCCACCATTTGCAGCGACACAAGCGCGGCATCTTCGAGGCATTGACCGAATAAGGCGTTGAATTTTGATTTGAGGAATGTTCCTCCACTCTTCCTGAAGAGCGATTTCAAGCTGCCGACGCGTCTGGGGCTGTTGTGGTCGCTCTCTCACAGCCCTACCCAATTGGTCCCAAAGATGCTCGATCGGACTAAGATCCGGGGGAAACGCGGGCCACGGAATGGTTGCGATGTTCTGATGTTGAAGGTAGTCTGTAGTGATACGAGCGGTATGTGGTTGTGCATTGTCCTGTTGTAATAACGTTACGTTTGGATGTCCAGCAAAGAATGGAACAACAGCAGGAGTTAAGACCTCGTTGATGTAGCGCTGTGCTGTTAGATTGCCGTCAATAATTACTAGAGGGGTACGGTATGCAAAAGAGATACCTCCCCACACCATCACACTGCCCCCGTCCCACCTATCCGTTTCCGTTACACAGCAGTCCAAAAACCTTTCACCTCGACGTCGCCACACTCGAATTCTACCGTCATTTCCTCTGAGGCGGAATCTCGATTCGTCGGTGAACAGGACGCCAGCCCACCGACGTTGGGTTCATCCTCGGCGCTGTCTTGTCCAATTTAGACGATTTTGACGGCGAATTTGAGTCAATTCGTTTCCTCTAAATGGACGGCACGACGCCAATCCGGCTGTGCGAAGGCGACGGCGCACAGTACTAGCTGACAAACGTCTGCCATGACTTCCTATCGTCTGTCTAGCCATTCTTGTCGCGGTTTGAAAACGATCTCGCAGGTGACTTAGTCGAATGTAACGGTCCTGGTTTGGCGTCGTCACTCTCTGTCGCCCCGGACGAGGTCGATCTCTCACGGATCCGGTTTGTCGCACTCGTTCTGCCAGTCGATTGATTGTGGAAGCAGAACAACCCATTCTCCTGGCAACTTCCCTCTGAGAAAGCCCTCCTGCCAGCATACCCCGAGCTTCGTGTCTTTCATTGTCTGTCAGTCGAGGCATTTGTAGCAAATAATGATGACAATTTAAAAAATTGATGACGGAAAAATGTCTGCCTGTAACTACAGTGTTCACTAGTAGTGACTGAGCAAGGATATAACGCACTTTAGAGCGCCGACGTGCAAACTCATGCTTTTACGACAATGCCCTGTGGTACGACAAGGAGTTGATATTACTCGACCATTATTTCGTTAGTTTTGTTGTGCATTGTGTTGTGGCTAAATACAGCAGAATAAGAATCTAATCCTTGTTGTGAAGAATATATTATGTCCAAAATTTTAGTGTTGCGTTTTCATTGGCGCCGAGTATATGTTGTTTGAGGCTGGATTTACTTAATTATTTTTTATATAACGATATACATAAGTATTACTCGTTCACGGTTATATACATATACAAAAACAATAATTTTCATATTAATGGAATATGTTTGGAAACCGGTGAACACATATGTTTATGCATTTAATACTCAATAATTAAGCTTATTATATTCTATGCTCCTTGAAATAAACAGCGATAATTCAACACCAGAGTACAATTTAAGATTTCAAAATTTACAAGCAAAGCTAACCTAAAAATAATTTTGCAATAAAAATTGACTATCTATTCTCAAATCGATTTTATTTCGAAACCAATACTGCCTGCAGATATTTCTGTAAATAAATCATGACACCGCATGGCCATTCTATTTGTTATTGTGTTACATAGTTTTGTAACTTCAGACATACCTATATATCTATGTACTAAAATTCTTCACCAGGCCTATCTTCCTTAAGTCGCTAATCTCAGAAAATCTTGGGTCATGTCTTGCTTAAATCTACCATTATCTGCGCTGAATCTTCATTTGATCCTTTGTGGGTCGATTTTCCATATATAGAATTTGTCCTCGTTCCCTTCGGTATCAAGGTCAAACCAATGTCCCTTGACGATGTTTGGAATATCTCTGGACCTTAGTGGACATACCTTTGTTGCTATAACTGTTCACTTACCGGCCCAGTCAACCCAAATGTTTGCATGCTTGTTACAAAACGGAGACATGGATATGTAATTGTACTCGATTATTTTCACTGAATGACCTTTTTCTGACCGCATTACCCATTTCACCAGACTTTGTCAGCTTATTTTCTATTGACTAAATAATTATTTCTTTTCAACTTATCCAACAGAGAAATTGCACAGATGTTCATTTATCAGACTTTAAGCAACATGCTGTAAAAATGAGGAATTCACTTTAAATATATATATATATTCCCATCGATTAGAAATGATATGTGTCGAAGCGACGCTTACCATTATGACGTCGGTGACCATATATTACGTTCTTTAATGTCACGACATGAACTACATAAATATAGGGAATCACCACATGATGTTATTTATCCAAAGAGATCAACATATATTATCTAGAATGAAAAATAGTACTGTATTCCAGATCCCTATCCAGATTCCAGTCAAAGATTACCAAATGCACTATATTCATACGTGTGTGCATCGGTTCTTCAAACATTTAATTCATTATGATTGGTTTTTTTTTATATTTTAAAGTCCTAAGTCAAAGGCTGATAAGTGTATTCTAAATCTGGAAAGAAAAATATGATTGATAGGAAAGAAACACAAAGTTTGCAATTCAAAAAAGACTAAATAGAACAAGAAAACTAAAACTTCATGGCTGTAACAACTGAGACCAAGAACCATGCCTATTCAGCCGAAAGACAAAGACTGTATTTAACAACATATAAAAGGCACACAGGCCCATTCCTTGTACATAGAATAAATTCTGTTACTTTCAGAAACAACGGTCAAGGTCACTTTGGTCATATAACGAAATTTCTTTAGAGAAAAGTATTTTGAAGCAAATAATCAACCTTGTGACAAGTGTTTTCATTCTTAAGATTATCATCCCTTTAGTCATACTTATATCAAGATATTAAGGTAAAGGTTACAGATATTATCGCTTCGATGAAAGCTGTATCACGGAGAATTATCATATAACATGCATTTCGTAAACAATGTACATAGCTCATCTGATTAAACCGTGTCCAAATATGATATTTCGCTACTCGTACTTTACAATCGATTTCTCATCATCCTCAGGGTGATATTCCTAAGATACCAAAACGTTTCGCTAACAACAAGAAAATACTTGTCAACATAATTGTTATCCAAAGTCAAATTCAACAAAACTAGGGCAAATTATGAACAAAAGAAAGCTTTACACGAATACTCTGGAAAATGAGGAAAATGATAATAAGGTAAGAAAATGCTCCTGAATAGTAAGCGTCTTCTGCTTCATCTATGATACCAATCATGTAAAGTATACAACGATGAAACTAAGTGGCAAATTAAAGAACATTATCCGCGAGTTTAATATATCTTACATATACCAATTACTGAAGGTGATTTTTTTTAATTTACACGTATACCATAGACTAGGGCTTGTCTCTTTTTTGTTACTGGTTCTGACTGTTTTGCTGATCGGTCATGTGATTATTTGCAGGTGGCGAGATCACTCAAGCCTACGTGAGTTCAGAAGTCCTTAATCAGCGTAGGATATCATGAAAAAGGTCCTACTTAAATGGAATGTGCAATCCTATATTAAAAATTAAGGAAATACAGATAAATAAAACAGAAAAACAGGATTTGCAAACTACAAATATTTTCTCATTCATCTAGTTGATAATTTGGAATAACACTAAATAAGCGATCCAGGAGTGGTTATGTCAGTATTAAGAAAAGTATGATATTTTATGAAATAATGATAAGCTTATCATACTTTTAAAGACCAATCCCAAATAAATAGCCGCTATGGCATATATAGTATCCTATCTGTATTGCGTCACGTGAATTTCATATGTTGTACTAAAATAGAACAGCCGGAAATACCATAGTACTTTCTCAGACTTAGGTGTGGAATGTGTGTTGTTGATTGTTGATAATCTGAATCTGTTGTTATTTATTATTGTTCTTTGATTAATTGATTTTTATGTTGGTTGCTGTAAGTGTTGTTGTTATTTACTTTATTCTTGTTCGTGTTGTGGATTTTTCTTTTTTCCATTGGATCATTCATTAGAATAATTATTAATATCCTGAGTCTTTGTTTTTCTTATCCTTATTATTTTCAATATTGATAACATATTCCAAGAGATCTAGTAAATGCATTTTTCTGTTTAACTTTGACCAGGAAAATATATACATTAAGTTTGCTTTGAAGGTAATTTGTGCTTTTCCCCTTTGAATGTGCAAACGTCGGCTAATCTATTACTGAAACAGAAGATGTTCGCTCAATAAACATATTCAATAACTCGGAGCAGGTAAACCTCCTCGTATTTTTGTATTCTAATTCCTCATGATACAATTTATGAACACAGAATATTTTTAAACGAAATAAAACGACTTATCATTTTTCATGTCAAATTAAAAAGCTAAGGGATTATACAAATCCCGATAGCTAATGTATTCAGTTAAAATATTTTAACATAACTCTTTCTTTGAGACAGTCACATTATTTAACAAGTCCCTATTTTTCTTTCCGCACTGATACAACAGTGAACTTATAGGGAAGCCATATATATTCTGAGGTTTCGTAAGAATGAAATGCAAAATAGCGGTTTGCTCTGTATTTCGACCGATGGGATGGCCTATCACCGATTAGGTTACGCTAGTGGCACGGATATGTAGGCTGGTCAACCGTACGCATTGCTAACGTGCTTGGCAAGTTCACTATTTGTGTCAGTCCTGATAAAAACTACAGATCAGCGTTTCGGACCTTCAGTAGCTGACTAGAACCGCTAAGATGCGGCCAAAATTTGTGACTTTACTTTGCGCTCTAGCGAGCCTGGGCTCAACGGCCCAGGGCGCTGCGACAACTGTCTCTCCAGGTAAGTTAAAAACGAAGCGTTAAAATATATACTTCTTTGGTTAATTGAAAATAAGTAAAGGGGAAGCAATTAAGAAAAATATTTCGAATATATGTGACCTTATTATTTTTCTTATTTGATGGCGAAAAAAAAAATTGTTTTATTTTTTTTTCATTTCTGCTCCTTTGTGTTGCTATTTGATTTTTTTAGCTAAATTGTTATTAATCATTCTTATTTCATTTTGAAAAGTGTGTTTTTTACCATATAAAAATTCGTTTAAAATTCGTCACAATAAAAACGTTCGTTTCCTGACAGCTGTGTATATCTAGTTGAAATTGGCCAACATCTAGTAAATAGTATTTTTTTACTGGTTTAACGTGAAGCTGTGAACTCTAACGAAACTTTGTTACCTTTTCTCATATTGACATGGTTAATCAATTTGCTTTTTGAGGAATAGAGCTATCTAATTTCATACTCAGATATTTATCATTTTGTAGCACCAGTATTTTGAAGCTTTAGCTCACATTTCTTAATATCTTGATGAACGATGTATGTGTATTTGTATATTTACATTGGCAATTGTGAGGTCAGCGATTCCTTATATTGTTCCCTTTTTTCTTTTGATATTTAAATTCAAAGACATGTTCTATTTAATCGTAATAATAACTTTTGTAAGTTCCATCATGGAATGGAAAACAAATCGAAAACTATGAATTTGCTGTGTAGGGATTCGACATATTCTATAGTTGAATATGAACTGCTTATCTTTATTCATTATTAATTTTTAACCCGTCAATACTTTCCGTTATCTGTCGTCCAATTTGAATAATACAGACCTTTCGTAAAACAATAATAGCAAATAGCATTAAATATTCATTGCAAGGATAATACTTGCGTGTCTTCAAATTGTCTTTGAGAAGGTGCTTATGTTTGAAAAGAACATGTACAAGTAAATAATAAGAAAAAATATGATACTTTCAATTGGTAAAGTTTAAAGTAATGCACGTGAGCACCTTTTCAAATGTAATTAATAGCCATATATGCTATAAACTGGCTCAATAAGTTATCTATGCTCTTTCTCAATACGATGTCAGGAATAATCTCATTTGATACTGACATAACAAATCTTATACTACAACAGGATGCGGAACGGTACCAGCTGATATCGTCTTTCTTCTTGATTCGTCTGGAAGTGTAGGTTCCTCAAACTTTCAAAAGCAAAAAGACTTTGTTGCTAGATTCGCCAATTCTTTTGACATTGGACCACGAAATGTCCAAATTGGCGTAACTACCTTTTCCACGACGACCCACAACCAGTTCAACATGAACAAATACAGTTCGAAATCTCCACTGGTCAACGCTATCAATGCAATTCCTTATGATTCCGGAAGTACACATACGAGTGAGGCTATTGACTATGTCACTCAGCACAGTTTTACTCACGCTGCTGGGGACAGAGATAATGTAGCAAATATATTGATCGTAATGACTGATGGTCAGTCTAATAACAAGCCTGCTACTTTGGCCTCAGCCAACAAACTTCACGCTAAAAACATCAAAGTTTTTGGAATCGGTATTGGTAATGGTATTGATCGTGGTGAGCTGGAACACATCGCAACCGACAACAAGCACGTTTTCACCGTATCCAATTTTGATGCTCTGACCACTTTGCAGGCAGAACTCAAGAAAACCGCATGTGAAAGTAAGTTTATCGTTGACATTACACTCCATTTATTTGTTTGCTACTTAAATTCGCTTCAGATTTCAATTTGTTGTACTGTACCTTGATTGGAAGGTATCACATTTAACATCAACTGATAGATTTTGGTTATATATTCTAAAGCGTCTCTCATTTTCGCATTTCGACGTCATTTTCATTCAGATTCAGATTTCTCATTTCGCATCGTTCTGACTTTTGTTATAATGCAATTGTACATGTGTATCACAAGAAACATCAGTGCATTGCGTCATTGTCATTTCGACATTTTCTCCGAGTGTTGTCTTTTGTATACGATAGCCTTTATGAATCTGCCCTGTGTACATTGTAGAAAAGTATGAAGTTTACATATTATATATCATGCTACTTTAGATCGGAAAATTGACAGACGAATTTTTCTTTGTTTCTACAGTTGACGGAGGCTGGAGTAAGTATGGCTTCTGGAGTCCGTGCACGAAGTCTTGCGGCGGAGGCACACACTACAGGGAAAGAACCTGCTCTAACCCACCTCCAGCCAACGGAGGAAAGCAATGCGTGGGTGCAAGCCGTGAAACGGGCACCTGCCATACTAATGCTTGTCCAACTAAAGCCCCCACCACCACCACCCCTAAACCACGAACCACCCATGCACCGACCACCTCAGCCCCAGGTAAGTAATGATGAATTTGAGATCAGGATCGTACCGTTTGTTCCCAGTTACATGTAAATTGTTATAACATCTCAATAATACCTTATGTATAATAGTTATGTTGTTATGTGAGCTCAAACCATGACTTATCCTTATCCTTGGTAAGTCATTATATCATCTTGATTTAATAATATTTATCTCAGGTAGATCATTTTGTGATCTTGGCAATACCGTGTGTATCCCTGGAAATCATTTTGTAATCTAGACAATAACATGTTCATCTCAGGTAAGACATATTGCGATCTAGACAATACCAGATTTATTCTTGGTAAGTCATTGTGTGATCTTACTCGTATCGTATTTACCCTAGTTAAGTCGCTATGTTTTCAGGAAAACACCGTATTTACCCTAGGTAAGTCGCTATGTTTTCAGGAAAACACCGTATTTACCCTTGATAAGTCGTTAGGTGATCAGGGCAATAATATTAATAATTCTAGGTTAGGAGTTATGTGAAGTTAATCTCTTTGTATGTAATTAAATCTAATCATAAGTATATCAAAACCAATATAACACCTAGCATATATCGCTAAATATATGCTAATTATGTACAAGGTGTACATGACAAAGCGTGAAGACTTCGAAACAGGTTTAAATAGCAAGGGAATGGGGAGAAATTGACTGGTCGTTGGAACCACATTTACTTTGGAGATAATTTTCATTCATAAATCGTTTTGATTTTTCCAAAAGATTTATAACAATACAATCATTTTACAGGTTGCGGTTTGGTACCAGCTGACATCGTTTTCATTCTCGATTCCTCCGGCAGTGTCGGCACAACGAACTTTCAGAAAATGTTGCAATTTGTCAGGACAACGTCTCAAGGATTCGATATTGGCCCTAATGGTACAGAAGTATCCGTCGTCACATTCAGTGATAAGCCTCATTTGGAATTCCATCTCAACAAATATCACGATAAGAATTCTGTTTTGAACGCCATTTCTAACGTCCACTACATAACTGGTGGTACCAATACAGCAAATGCTCTCAAATACGCACGAGAGACAAGTTTCACAGCGGCAAATGGCGTCAGGCCAAATTCTGCCAAGATTGCCATCGTCATTACCGATGGAAAGTCCCAGAGCGCAAGCGCAACAGCCAGTGAAGCTAATTTGCTCCGTAATGATGGTGTCACTGTCTTCTCCATCGGCGTAGGCTCAGGACCGAAGACGAGCGAACTTAATGCCATGGCAACCGATCCCGACAACCAGCACGTGTTTGTCGTCAACAACTTTGATGCTCTGACACAAATCAAGAGTACACTGCAACAGAAGGCTTGTGAAGGTACTTTAGAAGATCAATTAGTATTCGAATTTAATGACAAGTAAATATCATTCCTCATCGAATTATTTTGTCTATGACGTTGAATTCAAACAGAAGATATCCTCTGAAACTGATTTCAGAGCGATTGTATTTTAAATCAATTTTGGTTTTGTTACCTCTAGAAAACAAATATTTTTGTTAGACCTATACAGCATCTTTTGGAATGTAAACGTTTATTGTTACTTCAAATATCTATATTGAATCAGATCTGCATGAGAAGAGTTATTTATAGAGACAACCGCAATTGCTCCTTAGAAACTGCTAACTTACTTACCGCTTACTCGCCATTGGTGTATTTTAAGCTCTTCAAGTTTATAATGATGATCATATAACTAAACGTATTTTGTGTTGTAAAATATTTCTTGCGTTCTCTTACCGGAAGTTTTGCCATTAAATATATTCATTGAGCAAATATGGCATTTGGTTAAATATGTATATATCTGTATTTTCCAGTGAAGGCAACAGTTGCTCCTGCTCCACAAGCCAACGTCGGTTCGTGTTCCTTTGATTAATGTAACACATTCTATAAGTTTTTTTTAGATATTATTTCAATTAAAGTTCTTTATGTAGAATCATACTAGCACCAAACACATAAGGTCTTAGATCAAAGTTTAGATTTATAATTGACAGTTTATGAACAATAACTGATAACATGATTTTTAAATGATTGAACATTATACTTCTAAATATGCCCAAGTTTGAAATCTATGGAATTTTGGGGTTAGTGTACCTCGCCTACAAACCTGATTTGTTAGATATATTTTCTTTCAAAAAAATCTAAAAATAGAAGCAATCTGAAAGCTAAAAGCATTATCAGTTTCAGAATGGGAAAATTATTTAATCTTCTTTCATTCGATTGGATATGTATTTAGAATTCTCTGTCCTTCCTCCAAACCATATCCCCCCATCCCTACTTTATTTTTCTTGTCACGAGACACGGATATTAAAGACTTGTAATTGCTACTCTCTTTCATCGAATTACAACATAAAATATACTTTGAGTTTATTATCATCATTATGGCAATATTTCAGGTTGTGGAGCTAAGGCTGATATCGTGTTCTTACTGGATTCCTCCGGCAGTGTTGGATCGAGTAACTTCAACAAAATGTTACATTTCGTCCAGAATGTTTCTGACACCTTCGCCATTGGGCCCAATGATGTCCAAGTTGGAGTAGATACCTTCTCAACTGGTCACAAGTCAGAATTCAATATGGGAGCGCACTTGACCAAACCATCTCTTCTTTCCGCCATTGGCAATATTCATTATCATAGTGGATCAACACACACCGGACAAGCTATTAACTTCATGCATACTTCGAGTTTCACTTCCGCAGCAGGTAAATCGTCGTTGATCCGCATCCATATATCATCTCTTTCGTTTCGTCATAATAATCTCATTTGGAAATATTCTTTTTTCATCTTACGAAATGAAGTTAGACTTGTTTCATGTTTGATGGTTACTTAGCAACCATGATCTTATTTCGGAACATGACGTTCCTTAATTATCGTGACCATTACCCTTCCAAAACAACTGGTTTTATTCTTGAAAATGTTCAGGAGCCTTCATATGAATATTTTTCATATTTTGCCATAGTTTTATCAGATTTAAATTGACATGTCGGTATTTTCTTTGTTGTTTTCAAAGCGTAGTCATCCGAAAATGGTAAAAGTAAAACATGTTGTTGTCATTCTATTATTTGTATTAAAAACGGATACGAATATAATTACATCATATCACTAGCGTCAACGTCTTAACCACTGTATATAGCTGTGATTTGTCCCCGACATTCGCGTTTGTTGTGTTGTTGTTTTTAAGTACATAACAAACTCATCATTGGTTATCATCAAAGTGGTTTGATGTGTCAAATGACGGCATCTTTGACTTATGAAATCTGTAATACTTTTATAATCATTGTAGATAAAGTAAATAAACGCAGTACTAGCGTCATATGATACTATTTCTTCATTATGAACTGAATGCAATGGCGAATGGATAAATTGAAAAACGCAAAAGTAAAGAAAATGTTAATCATATTTTAGGACATCGTCCCAACGTTCCTAAAATTGGAATCGTTGTCACTGATGGCAATTCAAACAACAGACAATTGACCATTTCGGAAGCCGCAAAGGCAAGAAAGGATGGCATCACCATGTTGGCTATTGGAGTTGGGCACGGCATTAATTCAAATGAACTGAACGCTATCGCTAGTGACCCGGACAGCCAATACGCATTCAGGGCCGATAACTTCGATGCCTTGTCATCCCTTAAGACCCTTTTGTCAACCAAAGCTTGCGAAGGTATGGAAACAATCTTTAAACACCGTATTTACTAATTTGTGTTTGTAATTGTCCTGTCGTATAAACCAGCGATAATCTTGTCATATTGTTTCAGTTCTACCTATGATGGCACTGTTAACATTTATACATATAAAACATAAACAATGTAAATAATGTGTATCCGGTTAAACTTTCGTTCAATGTTTTCTTTGCTCTCGCATTAAACTATTTATTTTCCTCCAGCGTTAAATTCATCTCAACATCCTTAAACATATATTGCAGCTTTAACAGTGAACATTTTCCAACCTTTTCTTTTCATCCTATTGGCCAACGAGCGAAAATTTATGTATGGTAAAAGTTTCTCAGTTAAAGTATTTCGTTATCCTCAAAGAATTAATTAATATCAATAATATTTAAATGTTATACAAGAATATCCATCCCAGTGGTATTCCAAATTATTGCTATATATATATATCTATATATAAATTTTGATGAATTATTTGTAATTATGTGCTGTTTCTGGTTGCCATAGCTTCAGTTTTAATTGTAGTTTTACATGAATAGGAACACATGTTTATTGTTTAAATCATTCCGATTGCATGTAGATTTCTGCACATTATAAATTATTTTCTTTATTCTCACTTGATTGATTTAGATTTTTATCTAAATATTCTTGGGATATATCGGATTTTTCTTATTGTTTTTAAAGAGCTTTAACTGTTTTTATGTATCAACATTTCCCTTATAAAACATTTGAATGTTGGTTTCAATATATATCTGTGCGTTTTATTTTACAGTATCCAAGCCACATCCAAATAACACAGCAAGTAAGTCAGTCGACATCACGAAATCATACTAATGGGGGAAAATTAGCATAGTTTATACCGTTGTTACGTCGTCAACATAGAACATATTTAATGATGTTATCTATTTTTTCCTCATGACGTCACATTTAGAAATGACACGATATTTGAAGGAATATTTTGAATATGTAAAATTAGGATATAGGAAATATTAGTATTTTTAATTTCAATATTAGAGTTATTCTTAATCCGGCATTGGTATCATAGCGATACAAAGGTGAAAATAGTTACTTAAAGAGAAAAACAAATTAATTACAATTATAATACAGTATTTCAAATAAAATTATGTATTGCCATTGTAAAGGAGTAAAGGACTCTAACGGCGATGTATTTCTCCTATATTTTTGCACTGACCTAATCAGCATTGTTAAGTAAAAGAGCTGTACTTGAGACCATTTTTACCTTTTTTAGATTGTGGAGCTGTAGCCGATATCATCTTTAATTTGGATTCATCCGGTAGTGTTGGAAAAGCTAATTTCGATAAGATGCTCGAATTTGTGAAATCCACAGTTAAGAATTTGAACATCGCCAGCGACAAAATTCGAGTGGGTATGTCTATTTTCTCTTCAAGGCAGTACAATATCTTCAACCTGAACCGTTACACCGACAAAGCGTCTCTAATGGCTGCAATTAACAACGTACCATACAAATCTGGAGGTACCAACACTGGAACAGCACTTAAAGAAGTATATAGGTAAATTTGCAATAAAGCTAGCATAACACTTTAGCGCATAAATAAGAAAAAACTTATTCGTGCATTGAACAAAAATAAGTTCAGATTGATGTAGTTAAAGTAGTACATGATAGAAAACGAACGTTTTCTTTTGGCATTAATCTGGAAGAGATAGGTTTGCTAATGTCTTTACTACGTTAGAAATACTATTCACGCGGGGAATCCTTTTAGCAATAACAAATAGCCTTTTCACTGCATATTCTATTAAGGAATATAATTACCAGATACTATTCCATACTAGTTTCCAAATTATTCGACACAATGTTCCTCATTCAAATGTATTAAATCAACGTATAGAAACTAGAATGATTTTCCTTTGCTTCGACGATGTTTTGCCAACTAGTGACTTGACGCCGTCTACCCCTACTGTTCATTACTCTTTGTCAGTTTAAGTTAACGACATGAGATGATATTATATAACAAGAACGAATAAAATGAACACTGAACACATGGCATTGTCAGCTAGGTCAAAGAGAATATTCGTATATATAATTTCTCCGTTAAAATATTTTAACACAATGGAGATGTGACACATATATCTCAAAGCTGAATGGAGTATTTTCGATGTAAATGAAATTGCATTTTAATTTTCCTATAATCATTTACTGAGATGAAATTCATTTCATAATGTAGTGACTATTAATACTATAATGGACAATCATCTATTTTAATGTTACCTGTATAACTCAAGTATTTGTATTTTGTTTTATCAACAGCAAGATGTTTACACAGGCCAACGGTGACCGTCCAGGCATTCCTAACATCGAAATTGTTATCACTGATGGTCGCTCCAACAACCATCCTGACACTGTGAAAGAAGCCACTAACACTCAGAACAAGGGCATCAACGTCTTCGCGGTAGGCGTAGGATCAGGCGTTAGCAAGTCTGAACTGAACGATATCGCCTCAAACCCAGACAGTTCACATGTCCTGACCGTGACAGACTTTAGTAAACTCAGTCAGATCCAGTCAGCCTTCCAGACCCAGGCTTGTGCAGGTACTTGTAAAGCTGAATATATATTAATGTTATTGCAGTACTAAAATATTTACCTCAATATCAACATATAAAAAGTAAATTGTGACCAGTGTTAGTGAAAACATTTGTGGCAAAAAATTATCATATCTGTTTTAAAAAAAACAAACAAAAGCAAGATAAATCATATTAGAAATCAATGTTTATCTTGAATAAACCAATAAACGTAGGCCAAGAGTATCAATTCAAACAATCTTAATCGTCCAAATTGAGATAAAATAATTTCCAACTAAGTGGTGTTACTCAAATTTATTTCATCTTCGTTGATTTCAACAAAACGTATTTTCACAAGACAAGTGTAATGTTTAAAATTAACAATGATAACTTACAAAGTTAAGATTTTGCAAGGTTATGATTGCTAAGACGAAGGGAACCCAATTAATTTTTTTGCGCACCCACCGGCACGTGTGACATGGTACAAGGGTTATTACACAATTAATATCTGGGAAGTGATATTATGAAATATACCTTATATTTGTTTCAGTTATTCCACCGACGGCACCAGCACATATTCCAACAGGTATGTCAGATAAAACAGAAGATCAACATCACTACACACAACAGTACAGACTTTGTCTATTTATCGATATAATTATAATTGTTTCTATATTTTTCTGGCAGGGGCAATATTAGATATGAGAAGACGATTTACTTCTAAAGTTTTGCTACATTAATGCTCACATATCAAGTAAATAAGGATCTTATTTTTAGAAATGAAATATAAAATATCATCAATTACAGATGAAATACCTTGAAAATAGAGTTACTTAATAGACTCACTGGCATTTTCAAGACTTCGAGAATCAAAATACTATTTTCTCTTCAAACTGCCGGAAAAAACGCAAACATTTGAACCATTGTGTTAAGATTATAAAGCCATGGTGTTTAAAAAGTAGTGATAAAAAATAGAGGGTGGTAATGTCCATGCATGAATATCCTTCGAACTTGTATAAAAGTTATATATGAAATAATGTGGCGTGGTATTATATAGTGTAGATAATACTAGCGATCATGTCTTAATAAGCTTTTTAAAAATGATGTAAATTAAAATATCTAAGCTACTCAAATTAAGACCACTTCTTGATGAATAAAGTTTAAGACTGATTCACTTGTCTTGTAGCTTTTCCATCACAACCTCCACCCCTTGACCCCTGTCAAGACAAACTAGCAAACTGTGCTACATATGGCTTAAGATCCTGCGCCGGTCAGTACACACAGTGGGCTCAAACTAACTGTGCCCGTTACTGTGGATTCTGTGCAAGTGAGTATTTACTCTTTATAAATACTTAAAGTAATTAAGCCATACGTCTCTCCATTATAAAATAACTGATATTAGAAAGCACCCGGATCTTTCATAAAACTGTGCATGTATTGCAATGAAAGTAAATTTCGGTTATTGACATATCATATGGTGGTTAAATTCAAAACATTTTCAACTTCAAATATATTGAATACGATGGGAATCGGTAGGTAATATGAAAACTACTAAAGTAATATCAAATATGTTCGTTTTAGGGAGCTAGAGTGAAAACTTTGTGTGGAGGTTTAGAGGTTATTGCAAAATCGGAACGTTATAATGTTATCTGCAAGTATGTGGCATACGACACAGTAATTGCAACTCTAAATTGTTTACTTCACATCATCATTATGTTTTAATTTTGAAAATCGTAGCTGCTGTCCCTACTATCCCTCCTCCCTGTGTGGACAAGCTGCCAAACTGCCATGAATACGATGTATCCGTATGCTCTCAATACGGTCCATGGGCCTCTGACAACTGCATACAGTTCTGTGGATTCTGTCGTATGTATTCACAATTCAGTGTTGTTGTTGAGTAGTGTTTTAATACTCTTCTTCTTCTTCCGTATTAATGTCAATATCAGGCTTCCAGATGCATGAATTAAGCCCTAAGCTTCGTTTTTGCTTTCATCGTAAATACTCACATTTTTAACTTTTGTTCAGCACACCTTAATTCGTAATTTTACAGCTTTTGAAAATAAAACAATTGTTTATCATTTACAGAATTCAACGCCCAAGGCGTGAATGGATACTGTAAGTATATATCGTATGTTAAATTTACTGTTTAAAAGCGTTTTCAGTTTCCCTTTGAATATGATTTATTGAATAGCAGCTTCATATTTGTTTTACTTGTTACGCAGACAAATGTTTGTTCCAGTTATTAAATGTAAACACCTATTAGTCGTTCTGTTAATGGAATAAGAATATCGCGTTCGTCTAAATTATTTCCTATCCTAACTTTCAAGATCATATATTTTATAAGGTTATCTTACTTAACTTTATTAAATAATTTTATTTGAAAACAAATAAACCAATAAAGTGATTAAGAGAATATTAATTTTGATTCAAACGTTTTCTCGGTGTCTACACTCGTGAGTACACTTACTGTAAAATCATATATTTTCGTGGTTTTTCAGCGAAAAAAAACCTCTTTCGTGGACACTTGATTCCATAGATAAATATAGCATTACATATATGCTTCCACTTAACTTAAACTGTATATGAACATGTGAATTCATAGATTAAAAGTATCCATAAAGTTAACGAAAATTTATCCTTCACGAAAAATGAATGATTTTACAATACGTTTCACGAAAACGTAGAGTTTCTTTGCTATTTATTTGTGGACACTATTGGCTTTTAAAGTTGTTATCAAATTTTATTCGTTAGTTTATAAATATTTTTGCTATACATGTTTGAATTTTTTTTTTCTGTTTACTCTGTTGTGGTTTTTTATACATTTTTGTTGATGTACAGATGGTCGATGTTCCTACGGCGGTAAAACATACGCACAGGGACAATCCTGGTCTGATGGATGTGCCTATGATTGTACGTGTGACGACGCTACTAAGGGACAGTACAGTTGTTACAACAAGTACGTTTTCTTTAAAGGGGACTGATTGAAAATTAAGATACGCTAGATATTTATCACGATGTAAAACAATTCACAAATATGTAAGTGAACCTCGATATAAACGCTCCTTATTAATAAAAGATTTCTCCTTAGCGTCCTTGAACGGCCTTTATAGGCAGCCTTTATTTTACTACATTTATAACAATGTATGTGCTAACCATACTTGGTTCGCGTTTTGCATATGATGTCAAAATATTTTATCTTTTGTACTAACATTCCTTAATAACATCTGTCAATTCTACATATATTGCTAGATTATTACTTGTGTAATTCTATTAAATGACGTATTTAAAAATATCAAGCAAAATATCTCTCTCTCTCTCTCTCTCTCTCTCTCTCTCTCTCTCCTCTCTCTCTCTCTCTCTCTCTCTCTCTCTCTCTCTCTCTCTCTCTCTCTCTCTCTCTCTCTCTCTCTCTCTCTCTCTCTCTCTCTGACACAATACCTAGTGATTAATAAAAAATATCTTATATCAATGACAAAAAATCACTGCTTATTGATTCGTTTGGTATTAAACCAGACATTGTACTTTTCAAAATAAACTCGTGTTTTTGCAGGTGTCCTTCCTACTACAATCTACCTCCCCAGTGTACTCTCACTCAGAAGAGAGGACAATGCTGTCTGGAACCTGTTTGTAATTTCAACCCGACCTACCAAACCACAACTGGGCAGACTGTCGGAACTGTCAATGGAATCAGTGAGTTATCGCCCTTTCACGCCACTTCCCTTCATAATTGCTTGATTTGAAATAATAAATCTTCTTTTCCTAAAACCTTCGTAAAGTTTTGAAAATTAGAGTATAGTTATCAAATAAATGATGGCGTATTCTAAAAACTGCGGTCTTTATACACGAAGTATGTTCAAGATCAACTAAAATCAACGATCCTTATTTACCAGCATATGTCTGCGAGAAACTGGACTTATTTGGTAGCCGACGTATTATCTAAAAATGAAAATAAAAATGATTCGACCCTTAATTTTTCTGAGGTGATGTTTAAAGAAACAATAAATATATATCCAGATTCTATGAAGGTTAGAAGCTTTGGTTGCTTGTTATTTTCGAGGTTAAAGCAAAATCACAAAAAATATAATAAGCTACATTGAAAATAGGATTTATAAAGAAAACAAATATATCCTTTCGGATTCAAACTATAGTTCGCTTGAATTTGAAACATATAAATACATTGTTGCGTGACAGTAAACAGGTTATTGAAAACTGAATATGTTCCTTTTTTTGTGTAACAGATACATGTAAATACAATGGCCATGACTATTACCAAGGCCAGACCTGGAATGTTGGATGTGAATTCAGCTGCCAGTGTGTCGATGCCGGTGCAGGCATGTACAGCTGTCAATCAAGGTTAGTCTGAAGTGGATTTCAGTCTTTAATACAGGTCTTATGGATATTAGTTGATTACTATCTTAGTATCATTTTGACTTGATGCATTGACAGTGTTAGTTTGCAGTCAAAAGTATATTTGCATATATGACAGATGCCCAACATATAAGGACCTACCATCAATGTGCCACCTGCACAAGGAGCCAGGAAAGTGTTGTCAGGAACCCCAATGTGACTACAACCAACAGTATGGTACATTCACCGGTACTGGAGCCATCAGTGGACAAGGAGTCGGTTAGTATGTCTTGAAGTCTCTCATCGCCAATACTGCTTTGTGGATCATAATAGTCTTAACATTCCTTTGAAGAAATGGAATAATGATATTTATAGAAATTCGGGTTAATGAACCCCCCGGTCTGGACTCTGACATTTCGATCTTCTTTTGATTTCACTCAATCGCCCCTGAGGTTTCACGATTTAGGACCGTTGAATCACGGACCAGTCCTAAAAAGGCGGAACACTCATATGATCCAGTTAAATTTATTATTTGGGGGCCGTGCTATATCCAATTCGAAACTAACTTGTATTGAAACACTATTTTGTTGGCACTTTTTACAATATTTATAATAGATAAAAAAAATTCCATTTTCTCTTCAATAATGACATATTGATACTATGAAATATGGTTTTTACCTTACTTTTACGGAAAAATGTTATAGGAGCAACACCTACTGCTGCTCCAACGTGCGCCGATAAGGCAACCAATTGTGCTCTTTACCAAGCCAACATGTGTAGTGATGCCGGGTACCACGCATGGGCGTTGGAAAACTGCGCCAAATACTGCAACTTCTGCGGTAAGTCCAATGCTTCTAACAACAGTCTAAAAATGGCGGCCATCTGTCCTTTTGAGGCAGATGATCGACCTTGACACTGCAAAAAAATTATTACAATGACATCCTCAAATGTGTCATCGAAATGTGAGGTTGAGAGTACGACGATAACAATCGACGTCGTCTCGTGTAAAAACCAAAATTCATGATCCACTCTCCAGCATATGTAAAGGAAGGCATACTATCCCCTTAATGTTATTGAAACTAAACTAATAATTTCTAAAATAACTTTATAAAGACATGCTGTATTGATATTTCTCCGGACAATGAATAACGTACACACATTTCTCAATAAATCGCATTAATGTTATAATTTTGTACTGTCTATAAAAGTAAGGCCGCATTTATACAAAGGCCACCTGTCTATAAAGGCCAGTTTGGTTCCCTTTGTAATGCAATTCATAGTAACTGAACCTGTATACAAAGGCCACCTGTCTATAAAGGCCAGTTTGGTTCCCTTTGTAATGCAATTCATAGTAACTGAACCTGTGTATAAAGGTTACCTGTGTATATATGCCACTTTTCTTTGCTCCCTTGAGTGGCCTCAATAGACAGGTTTGACTTTACATATATGTTTCCTATATGCGAGTCCAATTTGACTAATTTTTTTATTATTTCATATTTCAAATTACAATGTTTTGTAAGTTTGCAAGTCACATCTGATCTTAAGCATTTCCAAGACCTAAGAACATGTTGTACTTTGATGTTGTGATGTTATCTATCATTTTCGGTTTCCCATACCAAATAGATATTACATTTTGATTTTACAGATGAGTTGAATGCACCATCGCCAAATGGTAAGTGTTAATTATGAAAAAAAAAGAAAAAAGAAAAGAAATACTTAATCTGAATATTACCCCTTGATGCAAATAACCTTTTAAAAAAAAAAAATAAATAAAGATATCGTACTTCATTTATTTGATTTTAACAACGTTTACATTGAAGATTAGTCTGCAAAAAATGATCAAGTCCACAGTTAAAACAGTTGATATACCTGATGGTTTCATACAATCATCTGATTGTAGTTATTGTGCAGCGTCCACACCACGTCTTGATATTTTAAAAATGGCACGGTTTAGAATATTCACAAGTACTTTGCGTTTCTTTTGAAATTTTCAGATATATGGAATTGACGATAAACATCTAATTATAGATCTTCCCTCCATCTACATTTTGATATTTTTCAAAATCAACATAGATTGTCCTCAATCGCATTTTGAGATTCAAAACTTCTAAATCTAAATTTATCTTAAAAAGATATATTCATGTATTCATGTGTGTATTTTCCTTTAACTAATAAATATCTTTAATTTCTAAGTATTCATAAGCGCATTTTCACATGAATTTTCCTAAGTTTTTCCAAGTCAAAAAAACAAAAAAAAAAAAAACAAAAACAAAAATAACGCTTTTTCTTTTTTAAAACTTTGTCCAGTATAAGTTCTAGTGGGTTTTTTTTTACGTTGCCCCTGCCCCTCCCCCACCCCATCAACGAACATAGAACCTCTAAAAAAATGACTAAGAGCCATTTTTATATTTTCTTTTTCAGCTCGTTGTATTTACAAGGGCGTTGCCTATCAACAAGGACAGACGTGGTACGATGGGTGTGATTACGAATGTATGTGTGAGGATGCGCGGTACGGTTACTACAGGTGCAACAAACGGTGAGTTGTTTCCCTTTATACCAGTCGTTACTACTATTACAAAATATCTTTTACTTTGTTTAAAGATTTGTATTTACTTTTGAAATTTTGCTGTAAGAATTAATCAAGAGAATTCGTAAGACAAGTACAGTGATTGGTGTGTTATTTATGGTAAAAATATAGTAGTTTTCGTAATACCAGTGAAACAAGTATTCTAGAACAAGAATTCTAGATTGAAACTCGCGACATTAACACTTGACCTCGTCTGAGGCTCGGTGGTTTGAAGTACAAATCATATGAGTGAAATCTCAGGACTTATTTTTATATCTTATAATGATTGACGTGTATTCAGTGTAATGTAGGAAATAAAAAACCAACATGCTTGCCATATTATCATTTCTTCGTGTTTTAATTTTGCTTTCATTAAACAAATCTTTCTCTGATCGTTAATTTTAACAGCGAAATGCTATCCCAACTATTTGTCATGAAAGTAACATTTAGGTAATTAATAAATAACAAACGCCACAATATTGACTGGACTGTAGAACTGAACATTAACATTTTATAACTAACAGTTGCCCAGACTACGTCAATCTGCCTCTCGGCTGCCACATGGTTAAGAACTCTTCTGAATGCTGTTCCAAAATCCAATGTGATGGAGGACAGGGAAATTTCGTGGGATCTTCGACTGTTCCTAATGTAGTTGGCAGTTACCCAGTACCAAACATTGCCCCAACCCTCGCTCCCCAGCCCGGATCTGGCAACGTTCCAGTACCCGGTGGTGCCACGCCTCTACCTGGTCAAACATTGGCACCAAGTCCTAACGGTGGAGGTGGCACCCCAGGATTAGTACCAAGTCTGATTCCAAAACAAATTGGTAAGAAATCATTCATAACGTTTTCCTTAGATTATCAGTAAACATTGATCCGATGTTTTGGTTTTATAATGAATTGTAATTAACTGCTATGTTCGATATGACATCATTAAAGCCTGATAATAATAGACTGTATAACATTACTTTCCGCGGAGGATTTATTTTACATTAATTTCGTGGCTACTCTTAATTCACGAACACATTTGTCCACGAAATGTTTTATAAGAACAATTATCGAAAAGATTTATTTATTAAATAAAGTGTTCACGAAAAAGTGACCACAAATTTATATGATTTTACATAAGTCCTTGAATATCAGCATACCTTAGTTTTCAAATAGTTTTATTTATTCGAAGAAGAATCCAATTTCCACAAGGTAACTGAATTGTGCACGCGTACATATTAAAAATATCTCGGTAAGGCCAGGTGATTAAAACCTAATGTTGATGACCCAAAGAGACAACAAAGTCTATAATTGATATCATATAGAACTTGTTTTAATAAACCTTTATATCAGCTTCTTTGTTTATTGATAAAGTTTTGTTGATGTTCTCTAGATGGATGCTATGTCAACGGAACCCTTTATCAACAAGGCCTCAGATGGCAAGACGGATGTGATTTCACATGTATCTGTGATGACGGCAAAACAGGACGATTCCGATGTCAGCCAAAGTATGTGTGTTTATAATTTGTTATCCTTGGTGGTGGGCCAGGACAGGTGCATTTGCCCACTCGTGTCATGAGTTGAAAATCTATTCATTTCTTATTTTTGTTTCATAAAAATTTCTTCAGATGATCTCACTCTGAATATTGCACTTGTTTATCTTTATTATTGGAGATGATTACCAGTTTAATGTTAAAATGCAAAAACGAATAATTGTATTCTATTTCTTGTTATAGGTGTCCTGACTTCCAGAACCTTCCATCCCAATGTACGTTGATTGAGGATCCTACCGATCCCTGCTGTAAAGTGCCATCATGTCCGCCCGGCTCCAACGTTCAGATCCCCGTACCTTCATATGGCCCAGGTTTCTCTGGATACGGGCAAGCTCAGCTGCCACCACAAATTGCCACAGGAGGTTATGGTCCCGGACCATCAAGCAATGGAACAGCTGGTCAGCCATCCTCATTCACCGGAAGTAACCCTGGACCAACCGTCTCCGGAAGTAGAAGTACGAACAAAACAATTGACTACATATTAAGAAAACTTTATGTTATAATACTTAACAACAATTAATATGTTTTCAATCTTACACATCCGTACCTCGTCTAGTGCACCTCCCCATCTAGGTCTTTGAATTTGATTTTGTAATTTGGCTAAACTCTATCAAATTCTGAATTTGTATGAAAAGAGGAAATTCACGTGTGTGTGTGTGTGTGTGTGTGTGTGTGGTTTTTTTTTTTTTTTTTTGTACGTTCTTGAATGACATGGATATGGGTATTTACAATTCAACACTGTTTAATCTCTGTCACCATACCCAAACCCTAGTCTTATCAAAAACAATAAAAAGAATCTGTTTTCTTTCAGACGGTTGCGTATACAAGGGCGTGGTTCACCAACAAGGCCAAAGCTGGGACGATCAATGTGACTTCCGATGCACATGCGTTGATGCTTCACAGGGACAATACCGATGCTCTGATAGGTATGCATGAAATAATCTGTTCTTGTCTAACAAGAAAATCCCATACTGGGTTTATTCCGATGAGGCAATCACATTTATCTTAGTTATCAATAATCAGGTAGACAGTGTTAACCTTAAAACGTGTCGGTCGTTTCACTGCTCTGTTAATTATTTGTCCTTATGATAATGAAAGGTGACCATAGCAAGTTTTTTGATCGAAATCCATACAAAACAAACATAAAGACAAATGATAGTCTGATGTTGTCCTTTTGACCGCTCCGTGTTAGAACAGAGCTGGTGTATTCAATATAAAAATGATGTGATGAAAATTGCTATTATTCGGAAGTGATATGTTCTGATTTGATACATGGCATTATAATTGATATTATTAGACTTATAGATTTGATGTCGAACAAATTAATAATGATTATTTTGATTATCAAATTTTGATGGTATTAAAAATTCCGTTTTTTCTTATATTTTTTTTTGTGAAGGTGTCCATCCTATCAAAACATCCCTAGCAATTGTCGCATGGTACAAGATCCCAATGACCGTTGTTGCAAGATCCCCAAGTGTGATGGAGCTGCGGCCACCACGCCTGCGCCGTTTTATGCCCGAACAACCCCGCCTACTGGAGGAGGTACATGCTTTCCCCAATTTCATATTGTGGTTTTAGAATTGGGATCTGTTTAAATCATTTTATATACTCGTGCACTTGACCTTGTTCTAAGATTATCTGATATGTGAAAATAACCCCTCCTACTGGAGGAGGTACATGCTTTCCCCAATTTCATATTGTGGTTTTAGAATTGGGATCTGTTTAAATCATTTTATATACTCGTGTACTTGACCTTGTTCTAAGATTATCTGATATGTGAAAATAATAAAATATATCTAATTATGAGGTTGCTGCACCTCCACGTCCAGATTATGATTTTTTCTTCAATCACATTGAAGTTTCCTCGACCGCCTCCCAGTCTTCAAAATGTAGACCCTTCGCAACACTGAGAAGTCCTAGAAGGACGAAACAAGTGCGTGATGCAGTTTAATTCATTGTTTTGCTCTACTGTATCTAGCTCTATATTTATTTCAAAAGGTGGTATGCACTTGTGTGTCTTTCTAGAACAGATAACGTGTATCATACCGATGAAAATTAATACTACTGGAAATCAAACCCAACCTTTCTGATATATCATAATTGATTCTTTCAGACTACTGTGTGTACAAGGGATCGTACTACCACCAGGGTGAAGAATGGAACGACGGCTGCAGCTACAGATGTCGCTGTGAGGATGCTAGGAACCACTACCATCAGTGTACAGATAGGTAGGAACAATCATCAGTTAACTTCACCTTTACAAACACTGCAATTAATAAATATGATAAAAAAGCTCGGTTTTATATTCCAATGATGACTCCTATCATTCAAAACATTATGTATTTTTTTAAACCTAGATAAGTATCAACTAACGAATCTAAAGAGAAGATTGCGATGACACAAAAAAACAATCAATCTAACGCCCTCTTTGATCAAAAGAAAAAGATGTTCTTGATGTTTCAAATCTAGGTTTACTAAATCTTCCAACTGTCTGATTGCAAAATGAATGCCACCTTTTATTTCACTCAAATAGTGGCATGGTTCAGAAGATAACACATGTCCTTAACCTTTTTTAAAACTACAGATATATGAAAATTTCAAAATTTATCAAATTATGGAGCTGATGCATCTCACAATCTAGATTTTGACATTTCGTTCGCCTCTTAAGTTTCCAAATTTCACTGATGGATCCTAGAAGGACAAAACAACAGTGTGATGCATTTTAGTCATTTTTGGGTCTACTGTATTTACAAAATTGATAGAAATGTGCTTTTAACGTTTGTTCTTGAACGAAACCACAAACAGACCGTAGTGTGATACACTTAATCCTATCAAACGGGATATATGTATTATTTGATAACTATGCAAAGTACGACAAGCATAACTGATAAAGAAGGGCCACTAACAAAGTGATTTCTCATCAAGACCGTTCATCCAAACGATTGGAGTTGAGCTCAGTATATGAAAGAATAAAATGTTTCCATAAAGAATACTATTGAATTACATATACTTATGTCACTAAGTTTCCTGTATTGTATGTCATTAAGTTTCTTGTATGTCATTAAGTTTCCTGTATTGTATGTCATTAAGTTTCCTGTATTGTATGTCATTAAGTTTCTTGTATTGTATGTCATTAAGTTTCTTTTTGTAAATACATATTTCTCTTTATGAATATATTTAAATTCATCAAAGAACAGATAGTTACATCAGAAAAATCACATATATAAAATTCAAAACATCGAGTCAATATGTTGTAGTGAAATTTATATAAGCATTGCAGATATTTCTATAATTGTACATCGTACGTCTTATCAACCACAGATGCGCTCGTTTCGATAACGTTCCGCTAGGCTGCTCATACCAACCTGATCCTAAAGACACACAGTGTTGCCGTGTACCAGTGTGCAACATTGCAGGAACACAGGGTGGAGTCTCTGGAGGATCCGCCCCAACAGGATTCACCGGATCTTTTACTGGATACGGAAAACCCCAAGGCAGTAATCCTAACAACACAGTCACCGGTTATACCAGTACGTAAGATCATTCATCTGTTCACATTTTCGCTTTGAAAAAGATGCTGAAGTTCATTACAATGGTAACTGATATTAACGTGTGTATCGTTGAGAAAATATGTTGATGTGATGACGTTGTATATACGGACCTCGAATTATCCTTGATATTTTTCTCGAATCTTAGATATCTTGAAATCAGTTTTCTGTCTCTCATTGGCAATTATGTCCCAGTCGCCTCCTTTGATTTTACTTTCAAATCACAAACACAACACTAAGCTGTATGATAAGGGCAATGATTTTATTTCTTTACACCTAATTTCATTTTCCCATGTCTTGATAGCAAGAGCCATGCTTCCCCAGCCTATCGTATCAACATTTCTCTTCTAATTTTCTCGATTAACATTATCTCTATGATAAAGAAACAGAAAGAAACAACTAGAAATCTCGGCCTAAACGGCATTTTAATGACTTTATAGGGGCGTGTATCTACAAGGGCCAAATTCACCAACAAGGCGAAACATGGCACGATGGATGTAATTACGATTGCGAGTGTACAGACGCTGCAAAGGGCATGTACAGATGTACGGACAGGTAAGCATTACCTCTTTCATTACTCATTGTGATTTTGGTTTCGCTTATTCATCCCCTTCCTATTTCACACATGTTGATTTCATGGGCTGTACGGTAATTTTTGTTGTGTGTATATTTGTAAGTGCATTCAAATAATGTTTTTATATCTCCTGAACCCCAAATGACATAGATAATCAATATATAAATATATATGTATATATATTATATATTAGCATCACACCTTCATATTCTAACTTCATCTTTTAATTATGGTGGATGGAAGGTCACATTCGGCCATGTTTGAACTTTTAACAAATAAAATAAGATTTACAGGTATTTATGCGGTAATATTTCTTTCTGATACTGAGACGTTTGACATATTTTTGCAACTACCTTTAATTAATTAGGTGTCCAAGATATGGATCGCTTCCCAGTACGTGCAGTTTGACCGCTGACCCCAACGATCGATGCTGCCAGAAAGTGGAGTGCGCACCAACAGCATCTGGTCAGTGCAAAGACAACAGAGCTGACTGTGCATCGTTTGGCCAATACGCTTGCCACGCCCCTTATGCTGACTGGGCTAGAGATAACTGCGCTGACTACTGTGGATTCTGCGGTAATGGAGGTAGGATATTTTTGTCTATATCTTTAGAGGACTACATCTAACAGTTGTTAACGTTATCATTGTGTTCATTCCTGGTTATACATGCAAACTGTATTCTTATCAATATCGAAATGCCGGTGGTTGATTTGAATTTCAATTACTCGCAAAATAAAATGTTCTTACATTGTTCACCACATAACTTTTACTTTACTGAACACATATAAAGATTTAACAACATTTGGTGAATATTTTACTCTTGGTGTTTATATTAATTAACCAATAGCAATAAAATGTCACATCAAGAGTTGACGTTTGTGTTCTTGTAGCCACCCAAGCACCCACTGTGTCTGGTGTATGTGAGGATAAGATCCCGAACTGCCAAGACTACGGTTCCGACACATGTACTGGTCAATACACTGGATGGGCAACATTCAACTGTCCAAAGTTCTGTAATCTCTGTGGTAAGCCCCACACTGTATATCAATTTATTACCACAAGTGTTTTACAAGTTTGCTTATTTTATTCCCTGAATTAATCAAATAACCACGATAGTACAGAACAGTATATGATCGTAGCTGACGGTGTTATCATAAATGTGAAGGAAAATCATTAAATATATCCGACAAGAAATAATATTAACATGTATCCAGAATGACAGGAAATGTACAGTTGATTAAAACCAAATTTTTCGAAATAGGCTAAAGTTTTCCGAAATATCATCTTCATTATTGACCCGCACAATATGTCTTGTTATTAATTTCCCCACTTAGAACCGCGATGAGGGGAGCTATAATTCTGCGCTGTGATCGTCGCTTACATCCGTCCATGACCTCCCGCTATCTTGTCCGGACTCTATCTCCTAGAATATTTACACAAACACTTCACATTTTGAGTATGAGTTCACTTTAGTGAGGCGATGTGGTGTGTTTCGAAAGTAGGTTCTATCTGGCCGATGTAAATGTAAAGTTTGTCCGGGTTATATCTCCTTCACTTCTAGTCACTGGGACTTCATACTTTGGGTTTTTCATACAGTCTGACATTTGATCTACATCAAAAATTATGAACTCTACTCCTTTATTCACTTGACCTTTTTAATTGGGGCATTGGTTCATGTTCATTTTGGCATATGATTTCCCTTACCGCGTCTTGTTTAATAAAAGTTTTATAATAATTGTTACACATTTTTTCCAGGAGGAGCAACCCCAAACCCAGGCCAGGTTCCTACCCCAGGGGCAGGTAATAGAAATATCTAATGTATACTTTATAATTTGCTACTGCCATGAGTATTTTCTTTAACTTATATCTTCTGTAAGGCCACACTATAATTTACTTAACCGTTTAATTGGATAGTTATATACTGATGTATTTTTCCAAAATTATAGACTTCAGATTTCCATAAGGTTGTAGTTTTCAAATCATTCTATTCACAAGCAACTAGGAAATATAAATTCTCAACGTAAAAAAAAATACTAATTAAGACTTTAATCTTTTAATTGTTAATAGGGGTGCGTGCAGACTTGTGCACAATTTATCTCTGGATTTAAAATATTGCCACTCAGAAATATGAAAATTATACTTATGTTTTCTCTCCTCTTAAGGATCAGGATCAGGTACCTGTGTTGATAAGTTGACCAACTGCGCGGAGTATACTCGTGACTCTTGTTCGGATCCATACCTGAACTGGGCTAAGACCAACTGCCCTCGCTTCTGTGGACTCTGCGGTAATTTTTGTTTTTTTTGTTTTTTTTCAAATTTTTTTTTCCTTGAACAAATGTATCACGAATCAATATAATAACTGAAAAATAGATATATGCACATACAACAAAGAATTCAAAGTCGTTAGAATGAATTTTCGAATAGATACATATATGTATTATGTTTGCAATGTTAATTTACTTGGGATTTTTTAAGTAATCAAATAAATGTTAAACTTCAGCAAATAATAATTAATTTGCATTTTCATAATTATATTAGATCAACTTGGAACTGGAACAGGAACCCAACCAGGTGGTACAGGAACTGGAACACAAGGAGGATTTAGCGGAACCGGAACACAAGCACCTGGAGGAACCGGAACTGGTACACAAGGAGGATTTAGCGGAACCGGAACACTAGCACCCGGAGGAACCGGAACTGGCACACAAGGCGGATTTAGCGGGACCGGAACACAAGCTCCAGGAGGTGTTGCAACAGGAACACAAGGCGGTGGCTTTTCGGGAACAGGTGTAAATCCAGGCGGCAGTGCATCTGGAACTCAGGGAGGATTCAATGGTCAGGGATATGTGACTATTTTGCCTGGACAAGCCTTCACCGGAAGCAGTATGTATAATTCTTCGTTGAATTTTCTCGTTTGTATTTATTGGCAAATCTACCATGAAAGTCGGTTGTTAAAAGCTTTGGTCAATACGGCAATAATACATGTATTAATATACACCAATTTTCACTTTAAATTTGATTCAAATTGAAGGACATAAGAAAGAAATAATAAAGATTCTTATCAAAGACGGTACATATATCTGTTTCTCACATCACCTGTTTGAGGTTTTGATCGGGCAATTTCCCGAAACAGATATTTAACTATTATAGAATTTTTCATTGATTTCAATATGCCTTGTATGTATGGTAGTTGCATTTTTTCTACTATGTTATCACGTACGTCAAATCAACAGGCTTGATGATTTTGACACCATATTACTCAGAAATGTTTTCATTGATTACAATTTAATCAGAGATGTAGATATTTGGGTATTATCTATCTCGGAAATAAATTGATAGATAACAATATAATTGAAAACCCTTTTTAAATGTCGTATCATTATTCTTTCCCCTTTAAAATATGGAGAGACTCTGCTCTTTCTGTTACTGCTATTTCAAGGAATTTTGGTTTATTTGTATGGTGATATCTTGTCGTTTCATCTTTTTATATTTTCATTTAAAATGACATACATCTGATTGATAGCATATACCATTCGTTTAAAAAGGCTTGTAAATATTTGGATGTGCTCTGAATTCCCCATTTAAATTTTCTAACGTGATGTGAGATGACAAATCAAATAAAACTACAGATATCACAAAGAAAAATTAAGATAAAAGGTTACAAAAGAGAATTTGTTCCGCCACATGATTTACACATTTTTGTTTTAATCTAAGATTCCGGATGTTATTACAAGAACCAGCTCTACCAGACTGGACAGTCCTGGCAAGATGGCTGCGAATACAACTGCACATGTGCAGATGGTATTCGTGGATATTACGTCTGTAACCAGTTGTAAGTAAAAACTCAAAGACTCCATTAATTGGCGACATGTATTGTAACCGCACATCGCTACAAGATCTTTTCTTCTTTCCTTTAACTTAAACGAGGAAACATTTTCTTTTTGGGCAACATAGTTCCGTCCGGGATATAACGACTATCTTAGTATGTACGTTGTATTTAAGGAGCTATATAACAAAGGTAAAAATGAACGCGGCTGAAAATTTACCTATTGAGTTTTTTATTCTTTTCGTTTTCGAATTAAAAATCCATTTCTATTTCCGAATAGAAGCATTCTAAAGATGTTTATTTCATTGATTTATTTATTTTCTTACTAATCTATTTACTATTTTATTAATTTATCTAATTATTTATAATTGTATCTCATTCCATTTTTCTGTCTTACCATTAAAGGTGTACTCAATGGACAAATCTCCCAGCAGGCTGTGTACTTGAAAAACCACAGGGAGAGTGCTGCTCTACTCCTAAATGTGCCGGAAGCGGATCATCTTTCGGAAACAGTACTTCAAATACTGGTGAGTATTTCAACTATGCTTTCTTTTCTGTTTAGGCACCAACGGTTGTATTCATGTAAATATATGCTATATTTTTTATTTTCATGGCTTGAGTGTCTATAATTTACATGATATACAATACAATAAGATATAATTATATAGTGTAGAAAATGATAATTTTTGTACAGATTTCATACAAAACTTCCCGGTTTAGAAACAGATGATGTGTGTAGAAAATGATAATTTTGTACAGATTTCATACAAAACTTCCCGGTTTAGAAACAGATGATGTGTGTAGAAAATGATAATTTTGTACAGATTTCATACAAAACTTCCCGGTTTAGAAACAGATGATGTGTGTAGAAAATGATAATTTTGTACAGATTTCATACAAAACTTCCCGGTTTAGAAACAGATGATGTGTATTATGACCGATTTCATATTTTGTTATGCGTTTATGATGAATTAAGTATCAGGGCATATTATCCCCCCCCCCCCCCCCCCCCCCCCCCCCCCCCCCCCCCCCCCCCCCCCCCCCCCCCCAGAAAAAAAAAAAAAAAAAAACAACCACAACTGATATTGTATGGTATTGTTATCTTCAGGTGTCTCTAGTGGATGTTTTTACAAGGGTCAAACTTACTCTCAGGGTCAGAATTTTGATGACGGATGTACATACAAATGTACCTGCACTAACGCCGCTACAGGCTACTACACCTGCAAAAACAAGTAAGAAAAATATTACACCTTTATATGGCCAAGGCAAAATATCATTTTCAAATATACAACGCAGATTTTAATATACAGATAAATTCTGACATATACAATAAAGTATTTAATGGTGAAGTATATTCGGCGTATCTATATCACAACGATGTTCTTGGTTTTTAACATTTTATTCGAGAATTTTATATTGAATATGAAACTAAATTATCACTTTATTTTCATTTCATTTTTAAATATTCCTTTTAAAAAGAAAACATTTATCATAAATGTAAAAAAATTAATTGTTTGTTAATATGACTTTATAGGATACATATAGGCTAATTTAATTATCTATTTGATTGCTGCCTTTGGAGCCTAATTTCTATTCTGCAAAGTCCAATAATTTGCGATTTTAAGTGTTATGCATGCTTATGATCAATTTTGTTTCATTCAAGGTGTATTAGCTGGAATCTACCAGCTGCCTGTCATTTGAACCCCCCAGCACAGGGAAAATGCTGTCAGACTCCCAGCTGCCCCCAGGGCTACGTTCTTAACTACCCCCCGGGCTACGTTGAGGAATAGGAATTGCACCCATGCAATGTCTACTTTCATTATAATATTGTTTACTGCTATTGTTTTCTTAAGTGCTTTGTAAATAAAGGACAAAAAAGATTCAATTGCATTCGTATTGTGATGTTGTGAAGAGATAATTTTTACATGTATCTACATAGAGTGTACAAAAGACACAGATGAATAACACGTTTTGATATAAATTTAGAATCAAACAGTGTAGAGCCAAATAGCTGTTACGTCCGTTAACGATTCGTCAGGGATGTTAAGGGCTTAAATTTTGAAACATGGGAAGCGACAGAGGAGTGACTGAAAGACTTGTAAAAATCTAAAATCCAGAAGTAGAGACACAATAGCCCCGTACTTCGATGTATGTGTTGTGGGTTGTAGTGGTAACCTTGTTGATGGAATTTTTGTATAAGTTATCAAAGTCTGTTCTTATTAAAATCATTCATTTTGACCATTACAATGTACTTTTAAATTGTACAAAAGACACACAAGTCAATAGCATATGTTCGTGATTTAGAGTAAGTTACGGTAAAACCAATTAATGAGTTCTATTGCATCATACAGCTGTTTCGTCCTTCTGGGACTCGACAATAAGGCTAAGGGCTTAAATTTTGAAGCCTAAGAATCGACTATGGAATAAAAGAAAGGCCTAGATGGGGAGGTGCAGCAGCCCATAATTATATAAATTCCGTGCTTTTCATACATTAGATCATTTTAGAACAGCGTGAAGTACATGTGTATTTTCTGAACCATGCCACTATTCGATTGAAGTAAGAAATGGCAAGCAGGTTACTTAACGGCACACCTCGGGGACTTAAGTACACCAGAAGTGTCTACCACCTGCTATATTAAACATAATACAAAAGACACACAAGTAAAATTGATCCAGATATACCTTCAAAAGCTTGTTTATACAGAATTGCAATACACAGTTGCAAAACACGTTAGATACAAATTTAGAATAAGGTAAACGGTAGCTCAAAAATGTGTCAAATAGTCTACTTGAGTGTTATGTCAATGTTTCACCGCAAAAAGTACACGATCACAACACTGGATATGGTACAACAACAACTCGACTTAATGAAGCAGGAGAAAAATGAGAGGAATAATTTTAATCTGGAGCTTATGAAGATAAACTGCATCATACAGCTGTTTCGGCTCTCAATGACTCGTCATTTATGGTGCATCATACGGCTGTTTCGGCTCTCAAGGACTCGTTAGTGATGGTGCATTATACAGCTGTTTCGACTCTCCAGGACTCGTCAGTGATGGTGTATCATACGGTTGTTTCGACTCTCCAGGACTTGTCAGTGATGCTACATCATACAGCTGTTTCGACTCTCCAGGACTCGTCAGTGATGCTACATCATACGGCTGTTTCGACTCTCCAGGACTCGTCAGTGATGCTACATCATACAGCTGTTTCATCATTCTAGGACTCGTCAGTGATGGTGCATCATACAGGTGTTTCGGCTGTTCAGGACGCGTCAGTGATGGTGCATTATACAGCTGTTTCGACTCTCCAGGACATGTCAGTGATGGTGCATCATACGGCTGTTTCGACTCTCCAGGACTCGTCAGTGATGGTGCATCATACGGTTGTTTCGGCTCTCCAGGACTCGTCAGTGATGGCGCATCAAACGGTTGTTTCGACTCTCCAGGACTTGTCAGTGATGCTACATCATACAGCTGTTTCGACTCTCCAGGACTCGTCAGTGATGCTACATCATACAGCTGTTTCGACTCTCCAGGACTCGTCAGTGATGCCGCATTATAAGGCTGTATCGGCTCTCCATGACTCGTCAGTCATACTCAGTAATTGTCTTTGGGGAGTAACATTACATGTGATTTTTCATTTTCTTTCTGACGTCTGTACATGTTTGCATTGTTTTTCCTTTCAGTAGATGATGTTTAATATTAGCTAAAGTATTTTAAGATTTTAACCGCCCAAAATAAACTGATTAGATAGTGAAATGTGAGGAATGTTTTTGAGTCATGTGAAAACGAGGTCAGGCGTATCTTTGTCAGTGGCAAATTATTTTGTGGTTGCAACGAAGTATTGCTAGCTAATATTTCTGAATGAATTATCCATTAAAACTATTCCGGAAATTAGTTAATTCATGTATATCACATTTTAATTCATAGGGATGGTGGCAAGGTTCAGAATATACATATATACCTGACGTTCTTTTAAAATAATGAGATATTTACGAAATGTATTGAATTATGTTGCTAGTACACTTCCCTGTCTACATTTTGCCTTTTCTTGCGATCATTTTAGATTTTGGATTTTCCTTAGACTTAGATTTAGAATCTATGCCCTTAGCATCACGTCTCCTACTAGGACGAAAGAGCTAAATAATGAATTAAATGCTTGACTATACTGTAATTTATCAAAATTGGCATTAAATGGTGATATTTACTTGTTTGTACAATCTTAGACAAAGTGTCTCCCTTTCGGTATGTCAGGTCATGAAGGGTGATTTTTAATATTCCATTTAAAGATTATTTTCCTCGTAAGGAATTAAACAAATGCACCGTTTCTTTAACATAGTTCATTGCTTCTCTCTTGAAAATTGTCGGGTGAAATATTGAAATTCCTCACTTCAAGGTTGATACCTGTACCTGTATGCTATATATATTTGTGGACTATGACGGCTTTTGTTAGTGTGCAGTAAAAAATTAGTTTACATTCCTTAGAAAAAGGTTTTGGGCTAAATGCATGTACTTAACAATATAGTGTGTAAATGCTTGTAGTACACGTACGCATACGTGTTACCCTCTAATAAAGCCTTTGATATATTTTAATTACGGGAAAAATGCTTTTCACCTAACACCTACCTTGTATCAAATTTGTTTAAATAAAGAGAGGATCTTACATAGGGTACCATTCCTAACCAAGCATACACTTTTTTTCATTTTACCGAGGTTCAATAAACAAAATTTTAAAAAATCATGACGAGTTCATAGTAGTCATATGAAATGGAAATGCATGTAAATTTATATTTATCACTTCATCTAGGTACTTTTGCGAACATTTGAGAAAACAACTGATACGTTATAATGTTGAATTTGGTGATATTCTAGCTTGATATCTCTTTGACAACATTACGTTATGACGTCACAATGGAGAAAAACATTCAGCCAATTGCATTTCCAACAGATCATATTACACGTGTGACTATAACAAAATATTTGCCATCGGTGTTATTATACTCAAATGTGGTGGATGTATGATGAATTTGTAATGTTAAATTGCAACTTCACATTTTAATTCAGAATTATGTAATTCAAAATTCATTTCGTAATGTTGTATTGTAGCTATGTTCGTCTGTGTTTCGTTCTGTGTCTCATTGTCGATGCCTCAGTTTTCATTTCAAGAACATTGCATTATTTTAAGTAGGCAAATATGTCACACTCACAGCTTTTGTTATCAAATAAATATGTCAAATACTGAAAAACAATTAGATCTGAAAAACAGTAGAATTATCTATCTTGAATATCTGTTTTTGTAGTACCAGAAATATACGACCTGACGTCGTAGACAAATTAATCAGTATCTTGAACAGACATTAGGAATGTCCATTAAATTGTTCAAACAGAAATGACAGTAGTCGGTACAGTCATGGACTCAGAATCTACTCTAAATCCGTGGTACAATATATAACAGTTACGAAAATGTCGATTTACACAAAGGTCGCGGTGCAATATATGTAATCAGAACACGGCACCTGTGAAAGTCGTTAGGTTTTTTTTTTTTAATTTACTTGTTTTATCGCAGTGGCCGATGACATATCCCATCAGGACTATAAATAGATGATACATAAGCTGTGTTCTAAAAGCTGCCTGCTTAGTAGGTAAGACTTATTATATTAGATACGAAGATTTAAATATTCATATATTTTTTGTGAACAAATCTTTAATCAAACATTGATATAAAATCCAGAAGGAAAATATATTTTTAAGCCTTGTCTGTATAAGAATATGTGTGCCAAAGTACTCTATATTTATGGTCATCCCAGAGCTAGTGATAAGAGAATGGTTGCCATAATCAGAATATACAGGTATCAGCGTATATATTTATATAGATCGACGTATTTGTCTCTCACAAGTTTCGGTAATTGTCACCAGAATGCTTAACATTTCATAGTGAAATGTATAGCACTTTAGGAAATAATGACATTGAACAAGTATAATATGATATAATTATAGCACAATATTCTGTATTCATATTAAAAGGATATACAACTCGCTACATGAATAACACAAACAAAATATCCGTTCCCCGCCCATAAATTCAAATCGCCATTATTGGGCATATTGTTTGACGTTTATCATGCTGTTTTTAAATTGCTGACACGCTAAACAGTAAACCAAGCCAATACACAGATAGTCTTCACACAAGGTCTGCTCCTAACCAATATTGTGTTTTCACTGTAGATAACTCCCATTATGTTTTAAATAAGGTATTCAAGGGCATATCTAGCGAAAATCTCTCTCCCCTAGCTTTTCAATGTGTAAATGTATAGCAGTAAGGAATATCTAGCTGGTAGACCCGTATGCACAAAGACGTGGATAGTTAAATATCTTAAGTGGATTTAGTGTACACTGTCACTTTGTCAGTAAGTATATATTGGCAGGTATTCGTTGATCATGAAGAGTTCAAAGGAGAATGCGGACTTATTTAACCGGGCCATGCCATGTTCCTCGGTCACGTGGGCCAAAAGACTCGACAAGGGGATTAAATCGTAGAGCTAATTAATGACATTATAACTGGTGTGTGTTGTAGGTACACCTGAATTTGATTACAGGTGAGTGAAAGTCGACATTCCCTCTCAGGTGTACAGCATGAACACCATAAACAAGGTAAGAAAAAATAACTTATATTACATACAACATTCGTCATTAAATATTCAACCAGTAACATTGAAGGGTTATGTATATATGTTTCATTGAATATATGTTTTTGGTATTCTTCAAACGAAATCGATATCTTGTCAAAT